CAGTGTAACCGTGTGCTCCGTACTTGCGTGTGTATTCATTAAACGCGTCATCATTAAGGGCCTTCCGTGTCTCTTTGCCGGATATCATTTGCACTGCCAGCACAGAATATTGGTCAAATGTAGCGAAGCATCCCTAGTCCCTGGTCCGTAACCCTAGGTTTAGCCATGGCCCTCGTGGCTGAATCGTAAATCCTGAAGCGAGGAAAGGGCCGTTCCTAGCTGCGTAGCTCCAGGACACCCAGATAGCTCCAGCCAGCAGCAGCAGCAGCACCACCACCACCACCACCACATCAAGTCCGTTCTTGTTGCGGCGTCCAGGCCGAAACAAAGACCCAAGCAGTGACATTGCTTTTGAGGGACTCCTGTGCACCCGTGCTTTTCCTCGCTAGATATACGTGCCCCCGAGAATTTGTTCATAGTCATTTCATCCGGCATGCTTCATATCCAAATCCGTCATACCCCGTGCTTCGTCATTCATCACACTCGTGGCCTCGTGGTAGTATACCATCGTACACCGACGCCATGGTCGATCTCGTAGGCCTCAAAGCCCAAGAAGCTCTGGGCTTTGCGTTGCCGAATATGCAGTCATGGACTGCCTCCATTCAAAGTGTTGGTTAGGAGCGCACGGTCGGCGCCGCCAAACAAACGCAGAGTCGGACTCTAACGTCTCCAATCCTTGAAGCGACCGAGAACTTTGGCAAGCCAGGCCCTTGCCAATACAGCTGCTGCGGATGTGTCACGAGCGTGCATACGGCCTGTTCATGGCGGCAATCTCTCTCGCCACCGTCGCCCATTCCAATTCCCTACATAGCGGTTCTCCACGCTTCTCCTGCTGCTGCTCGTCGAACTTCATCAGCTCGTACACGAAGCGGAGATGTGGTTGGATGATCACGTTCAAACGGCGGGCACGGACGAAGCAACTTGAAAACAACGTCAGCTTCACAAACTGTGGAGGAAAGGAAAGGGTGGGTAAAACTAACTATGCACGCGGAAAACTCAGTCCTTTGGAAGACATGACCTCTGCGATGCAGATTGTGGCGGAGCGGGAGACACCGACGCGGCAATGCACTAGAGTTGCTGTACCGTCGGATTTGCCTCGTCCTGCGTATCGGTCAGTTCGTGGCTTTCAGGAAGGCTCGAGCATGCCGGATGATACTCGAGCAAGGTGTACAACTTACCAATAAACTCTAAGCAGCGCTCCATCTCCAGCGTCAACTCGTCAATCCCATTATCCTGGACTCGATCAACCATGAGGAGGTTTTCCCTCCCCCAGTCCTTGACCTGCTCTTCTGTCCACGATACCGGCTCCCCGACGCTCAGAATCCGCCGGATGCCCAGCAACTTGAGCATTTCCGGATTGTTGGCGTGTGTCAGATTGCCAAGGTACATGTATGGTAGAATCCTGCTAGGTAGACTACCATCCAGTTTAGCTAGCCATGAGGGTGGCTCGACAGTAGCTATCTTTGACACGTCGGCGGTCGGTGCTTCCCGCAGGATGCGCTCTTGAATAGCATTCAACAGAGCCACGTCGGAGGGATACGCGAAGAAGTTTCTTTGTTTCTCACAGTGTAGCCGGATCCAGGCTTCATGCAGGGGCACCCCCTCAGCATACATAAAGTAAGCGACGGCAAGCATGGATGTCTCGGTATACCCGTCAGCACAATGCAAGAGCACACGACGTGGTCGAAGGGTGAACTCGGTCATTTGAATGTCGCCGTCTTCATCCTTGGCTCTGCTGGACGGCTTTTTTGCGTGGGTGAGCTCGTAGAGCCATTTGCACATGCGCAGAATGCCGTCGACTTCGACTTGGGACCACGAGGGTGGTAAAATGCTGCCTGAACTGGGAAAGGCTAGATGGACGGATTCTTCGCCCGGTTCTCGCTCTTCGAGCTGCTTTCGTTTCGCCGTGAGAACTTTCTCATCCGGGAGCGAGGCGTGATCACTAGCTTCAACGTACAGGTCATAAGACGGGTCGTCGACAAGCGATGGGGGATCCGTGAACGGTCCAGGCGAAGGTCCCTGGAAGACGCCTTGAGAAATCTCCGACGCCTTGGACATGGCACACATCTCTTTTCTTTCCTGTTGCAGAAAGTCGAGGGTGTGGGCAGTGTACCGTCCTTGAGAGTCGATCGCGACTAGTTCTGGATGGTCGTGCTCGAAATCTTCGAATGACTGTGTCAACACGAAGGTGTTGAACGTCTCGGGACATTGTCCGCCATTTTCCAGCTCTCTGCGCCATTTCCTCTGTACAGAGGCCGTGCGCTCGGCCACCGACTTGATGATGCGATGATCAGTGTCTTCATCACCATATATCACGATATCCGAGACGAGTGCCATCTTCGCCGCCTGGATGTGGAAGTTGCGGACGGAGAAGCCTTCTCGAGGATCGCATTCGACGAAGCCCCGACCATTGCTGTCAGACAGATTGAGGACTTCATCTGGAGCAAGCGCGCCCTTTATGCGCGAGCGGCTCAAGTCTCCGCCTGCTTTTATTATGGTAATGCCTCGCAGGCATTTGGGAGTCCTTCGCAGCGACTTCTTCCTCGCTACGAAGAAGGCCAGCTGGATATGGTTCTCAGGGTGGAGGCCGTGCAGCCATGGGAAGACAGAGGCAGGGTTCGGCAGGGGTTGAGCGGCGTAGTGGTGGAGGGCGTCGGCGAGTTGGTCAACGGAGATGCCGTAGATCGGTGGAGAGTTGCAGAGTTTCTGGTAGTTGGTGGCAGGATGAAGAAGTGACGTGGGTTTCGGGCCCGCGTTTCGTAGTGGAGGAGAGTTTGGCGGGGTGATCTGTGACTGCGAGGGAACTGGCCCTGGCGGGCAGTAAGGCAGATGTTTGTTGGGGACTGGAGTCGAGGATCGAGTGTTGGTGATAGGAATCGTCGGACCCAGAGGCGGAGGCGTCGACTGTCGGAGCTGAGGGGCCTGTTGAACCACGACTGTGGCCATCTTGAAAGGCGCACTTCAAGTGCCTTGCGGTCGGACTCAATGATGAATGGGTCCTTTTTACAGGCTCATCCTGCGATCAACAGGAGTCCTAGCCGGTCCTGCTGGAGTGCAGGGAGGCGGAAGGGAAGTATTTCAATCGTGCTATGGTCGTAGTGTCGTCAATGCACGGCCAGTCAAGTGATGGTGAGACGAGGGGAAGGTCAGCAAGCCCGTCCAACTTGCTCTCTGAGGCGCCAGATGGAACGTTCACCGAGGTGGGCAGTGCGTCAACGGAGAGGAACAGATTGGTGTCAAGGGAGAATCACGTCGGAGCAAGTATTCAAGGCAGACTCCGGCGGTGCAGGCTTGGGTGCTTATGGGTCCAGATGCTGTTGGCAGCGTCAAGTCAAGTTTCAGCAGTGAAGTTCAAATTGTCACAGATATGAGTAGATTCAAGCGACAATAAGAGTATCAGACTCGAATATCTAGCCGACACAGCAAGTCTGGAGAACATGGAGAAGAGCAGATCCACCGACCTGGAGAGACAGCTGTAGGAATTCCTGAGGGCGGGATCGAAATGGAGGGGGCGATAGCGACCATGGTGGGGCAGGGATTGTTGGAATTGGGCGACCCGGGGCCCCTAGTGGCCCAAGCAGCGGGCCCGCAGTGCTCATGGCGCGGGGCCGACCAGGGTGCGCCCATGCCAATGGCCCACTCACGATAGCTCGTAGACAGAGAACGCGAGGGGCGGTTCGGATGGTGTCAATCGTGGAACCATCACTGGTGGAAGCGCGGGCGATTGGATTCCTTGGGATTGTCGGGCCGGGGGGATCTCCCCAGTCGCAGCTCGCGAGGCAGGCTAAACCAGGCTAACAGAGCACCATGCGTTAGCACAGACTTTGAGAGAAAGAATGTCCTGATGCAGCGAGTGATGACATGAGAATGCCTCTCGGTGACAGCGCAGAGAGGCCGCCTGGACCGGCAAGCGTAGGGCTGCTGCTGCTGCCGGAGATGTCGAACAGCCAACGTAGGACACACAGGCGTGGAGAGCGCAGACTCTACTGCGTACTGAGTACGGCACAGGCACGCGCCAAGAGCCCAATGCTGGCAACTCGACACGCCACCAACGCTGCAGTGGAGCGGCAGTCATTGGTAGACGACGGTGCTTGACTGGCGGCAACTCTGATCGCACAACCCTACAGGAAGAAGGACCCTGTTCAAACCATTGGGAGGTCGATCGCCGCCTGTTGCATATAGTTTGCCGAGGGTGCGAGGGTCCATTGTCATGGTGAGAGGCCGGCGAGGGGTCATGCCATGGTGCGTAAGAGCGACAGAAAATATGGGATGAAATCTGGGATGAAATCTGGGGATCCTCTCACGAGACGATGGCTGAGTCGCCCATCCGTCATCCGCGATGCTCTGATCTGACACGCATGGCATGCGACTGTGGTGAAAATGAGGGGCACGCGCTGAGTAGTGGAGCGGCTACGACTGCAGTGTATTATCTGGGTATACGTCGACGAGCTACTGGCAGAGGAAGGCGAACACATGCAGCAGTGGAAAACGTGTGATTTTCTCCCGGCGAGGGAGATTGTGAAAACATTTGTGATCTCTTCAGCGAGTGTCGATCAGAGCGGCCGAGATGGTGGCAGCCCCCGTCTCGCATCTGTCCATTCTCCTGTGCTCGATGATCTTCGATCGTGGGAAGTGATCGCCCACCCCCCTCTGCATGACCCTGGCTCTTCTCTTTGCCCATCCCGTTCTTGCATCAGTCTTTGCAGCGCGGTTGCACAAAGTCGCTTCCATCGTGATCACCGTTGGATGGCGCAATCTCTCGTATACTGCATCCAGGCTTCGTGTGGGAAGAGGATTCCGCTAAACGTGGCTGTCGTGTGAGAACCACAAGCACATGCAACTCGTAGTCGTGGTGCGTAATAGATGTGTGACCCCCAAACTTGCTTTGATTTACCCGTCGCAAAGTAAGCAAAGTCCGAGTGCCGCGAGGGAGTGGACTCGTCCGCAGGAAGACGGCGCTTCCCCGGTCGCATCGCAAAATGCGGGGGTCGGCTACCTTTTCATGAGGCTTGCAAACAGAAGAGAGATGTGATGCTGCTGTCCTTTGCGTCGGAGTTGTACTCCTTGCACCCGCCAACCGAGACTGCAAATTCTTCTGCCGCTTTCGATGCGATAGCCCACGAATACGCCCATTCCCTCTGTTCACCGTTGAAGGATAGCAGCGGAATCGTTGACTGAGCCGAGCGCACTTGTTTTCCGCTCATCGCTTCCACGAAAGGGATGACAAGCGACGCTGGAAACGCTCTGTGCTCGGCCTTCATCAGCAGCGCAATCTCCTCATCCGCAGTGAGTGTTCCGTCTTCAGCCAAGTCGACCTTCGCCGTCGCCCTATCAGGCATCTCCCCTTTCTCGTCCATCATGAACTCCTCCGGCGATTGTGCCAACTCACGGTGCACCGTGAGGACTGATGACCCGTCCTTGAGCATGAAGGTCGGGTACATCATGTAATAACCCCGCACCTGCATCATTTCGAGCACAGGCTGAAGCCAGCTCGGAAACTCGTGAGATAATCTAGGGGACGATGGTGTTTTCTGTCCAAGTTCTGGGTCCAAGAGGAGACGGTAGGATAGGAAGGTGTGCAGTTCAACCCACCGATCTCCGAAAATCAGCGCCGCACTCGAGGTTGGCGCTTGCCACAAGACACATGGCTCGGCAAGATGGGATGCATATGGCGCCTTTGTCTCCAAGTCGGGCGCGGCAGGTGGCAAGTCCAGCGAGATACCCATCAGATGCTCGGTCAAATCTGGGTTTCCTGTACCGTGCTTGTACTCGAGTACGGAGTACATTAGGAATTGGAAATAATTCGGGGAGAGCTCGATATTCGGCGAGAGCAGTAGAACATGGCTAGTGCGAGGTGCTAGTGGATAGAAAGATTCTATCGTTCGCATCGACGCCTGTACGGGCGACATGAGCCGCGCGTCAAGCCTATGCCTAACCACCAGTCTGCTCTCGCTGCCTGTACCATCAGCTGGCCATCGAAAATTTGCCAAGTACCTCGCCAGGAATGAGTCAACATTGGTGGGGAGCTCAACTGTCAGCCTGGGGAGGGTCCATCCCGTATAGTCAGCGTCCTTGATAGATCGTAGAAGTCGCATAAGGGACGCCGAGGATTCTTGTTGAGCCTGGATGACAATGTCAAACTGGATCTTATTGAAATGCGACAGCGAGTTGGTGTCCAACGCTGAGATCCAGGACAGGCTCTGCAAACCGCCGCTCGGCAGGTCGACCAGAGTAAGATCCAATGACGATGTCTTGTCTCTTATGGCGTTGAGGAATTGATCCTCGTCGCTGCCCATGATTACGACTGCATGTAGCCGCAGCGCGGAATGGATATGTCCCAAGCTCGCTCTGGCACTAACGTCCAATCTCGCCGTAGATGATCGAATCGGATAGTCAGGGCGGGCATCATGCAGGTATATGTCACATGCTGACTCCGTGATGCCATTTAACTCCCGAATCTCTTTCCAGCTAGCAGCATGACGGCCCATAAACGCTAGATGGACTCGAGTTTTGTTATACTGCCCCATCGAACACGCGATAGGTAGCAAATGGGGTACGCTTTTCAAGTCGCTGACCGCAAAGAGAACATTGCCTCTGGGATCCTGGGTCCACGTATGCGGTTCCACCGTACTGGCAAGTCCATAGAATTTGATGGGGCCTTCATATACATCTCCAATCTGGACCTCGTCTTGAGATTCGCTTTCGTGCGCAACGGGTGCGCCTCCACCGAGTCGGCCATAGCGGCGATCATAACGTTCCGAGACAGGAGGGAGGTCCGTAGGCATATGCTTGAAGAAGAGGTACAGGAGCCATCCCGCGAGCAGGACAAGGATTATGCGCCTGCGACGAAATGACTTCCACCGACCGACGAGCAGGTTGTAAGTGTTGGAGCGGCGCAGAGTGAAGCTCTCGGGTCGGTCATGGTCTCTACCCACTGTATGAAAGCGGCTCCTGGCAGCCATGCAAGCTGAGCCGCCGGGAAAGAGCGGTTCACATTGAAACGCAACGCGATATCTGAACGTGAAATGAGCAACGATGCACGATCCAGATTCGCGTCATGCGTCAGTGGTGCGGAGTACAGGAGTACGGAGTACGAGGCGGCCAAAGATGCAGGGATACCTACTGGCACGTGACTGGATATGGAGTACTCCGTGCTCGAGGGGAAGGCCTTGGATCTATCCCGGGAGATGTAAAAGTCGATGGCTCAGCTGTTCAAATGCTATTCCCAAGAGGTGGTACTGGAGCTTGAAGAGAAAGAGGTGAATTTCATCAACCATATTCCCCCCAGACAGATATGAACCATGGTACTCCGTATAACGACGAACAAAAGCTTGTGTCCGAGGCGATCGAGCGCTTCTGTACACAAGGGACAAAGTGATACCAAGGAAGACGTATCACGTATTGCGCAGTCTCGAACAAGTCAGAATGCTACCTTGGAGTGATCCTAGCATGTCCTCCTGGGCGTCTCGGATTCCTCTTCCCTCGCTTTTCCTTTCCGCCGTTGGAAGTATTCTCTCTTTCAGCCGGATTGAGTAGATAGTCCATGGCTCAAGAGACGTCCCTACAATCTCGCCAAAGTATTGAGTCTAGAAACTGTCCACGCCACAATCACCCGTGGTCATCATAGCATGAAGCCCGCCATACAGCCATGCTCAGCGCAAGAAGCCCGGGAAAGATTGATGTATGACAACAGCCTCAGTAAGGGCGAGACAGCACACAGAATGCAGCGCTCGTTACTTCTCTTGCCTCGGAAAGCGTAACACGACCAAAATAGCTCGTACCTCGTACTGGATCATAATTGATTGACGAGGTGACTGCGGCGGGAGAAAGGACCAGCAATGGACAAAATCCTGCCAAGCGAAGCGGAACGTCGGTGGATTCGCAGCTCCAATCCAATGCAGCACGATCGATCTCGACTCTGATCATCCCACCTCTCCTCAGTAACACAAACACGTCTCCTTCGAAGCGCTAACGCGTCGTCACTGGCGGTGGGCAGGTCTCCTTTGAGGCCATGCGAGGATTATGGACTCAAGCTTCCCGACCTAGACTGACGGCCGTCTCTCATCATCTCTCGTGTGTCGACTCTTTCAGTTCCACACTCGTCCGCAAGACTACGACCAGACCTCCGAGGCGCCGACCGAGCTTCGCTGAGCACGTATTCACCCTGCTTCTGACTCCCGTCCTCGCCGCTGCTCTATTTGTGGACACGAGCTGGAAGGCAAAACAAAGAAGAGACTGGGATGACAAACTTGCTGCGATCAACCATGAGATATCTCAATTGAGGGAGCAGGAGCAACGGCTTCGGAGCTCCCTCCAGCTCCGGGACATCCACTATGGACTCTATCAACAGCGGAGGAGTTATGCCACGGCGGCGTATGCACAGGTGGAAGTTGAGGATGAACAGATCCTCAGCGAAATTGAGATGCCAACATGGGAGGAAGGCATTTCCATCGAAGACGAGGTCCCTGCGGACGAGAATCCACGAATACGGGAGGTACTCTCTGCCAAAGAATTCTCGCCGGAGCAGTTATCCAATTTCCACCGCTATCATCGCCTGAATGCAGTCACTCTGGCTCTAAGGATGCTCCTACATCTCCGCATTGGCCCCAACCCGTTCTACTCGATAACTCCCGAGGACGACCCAGTCGACATTGCGGCCCTCGATAGCCTCGATCCTTCCAGCAGGGTTAGTCTTCCCACAGATACGGATCGCTTAGTTCAGATGTTGGCTTTGACCCGCAAGCAGATGCGTTCCCTCCGGAAGCTCGACGACCTTTTCTACGCGGCCCCTCAGATCCAAGCGCAGGCAAACCGAGGCGCTCTTCACCGAACAATCCAAGATTTGACAGTGGAGTTCGACGCTGGAAATGTCTCGCTTCCGGGGTTGATAGACGGGTATGGAAAGGCCATCCTTCGAAGCAAAGAAGTGCCTTCCATATCTGTCTATGTCATGCTCATCCGCTCGCTGTCCAAGGTAGGGAGCTATAGCCTTGCCTACCACGCCGCTGCTGCTATGAAGAATAGTACGCTGCCGCTTTCGGACCCTGCCATCTTTTACATGCTCTTGCAGATTGGAAGAGCCTGCGACTCGCGGTCACTGAATAACTTGCTGCACTATATCGCAAACTCTGATAACCCGCTGAATCTTATCCACAAGTGGGAGAAAGCACGTGTCCATGGACTGGACTTGCCCGTGCCAGCCACATTGAATCCGAGGCTTCTGATGGCTCTGGTCTATGTTGCCCTGAGATGTGAACAGCCTGACCGAGCGGAGGCATGGCTAAGCCTGCTCCGGGAGGCCGACTACGGCAGCCTGTGGAAAGACGACTTGTTCAGGAGCTTCCTCGCTTACCACTCGCAGCACGGCAATTGGGAAGAAGGCAAAAAATGGATACAACGATCCGTCAACCACGCATTATCAATTGCGAATCAGTCGATTGATCGCCTGGCCCGCGTGATATACCGCATGCTAGATTTGTGTGTGCGTTGCCGCAAACTCGCCGAATACACAGCCATTCTCGACGCGGCCGTGGAATCCGGGATTGGCCCTCCGCCCGTGCAAAAGTCACAGAACGACTATAGGAAGTTTCATCCTAGGACACGCAGTATCCTCCTCGAGTGGGAAGCTTTGCCTCTTCCAGACAATACCGAAGCATGCCCTGTCATAGACAAAGCCAAATCTTTTCAGTATGCATGCAGGTCTCTGCTTGAGCAACTTTGCCAGACACCGCCAGCTAGAGCAACGAAGCGGCAGGGAGATGCTGATGAAGATCTCGTCCTCATGGCGAGCACCGCTTCCAATCCCAACCAGCGCTACGCTGTGCGAAGGCGAGGACAAGACGCTGTGCACTCAAACAACGCCAGTGCACTCGTTCCGGCGGAACTTGAAAAACTACAAAGCAAGCTCGCCGAGCAAGATGTCCTCATCTCCGAGATGAAAGCCAGACTAGATCTTGCTCTCCTACGCCAGACATCACATGAGAAGGAAGCAGCTGGAAGGCAAGAACGATGGATTCAGAGCGCCGCCCGTGTGGCCCAAGAAGTGCGTGAAACCAAGGAAGGCTTTGAAAAATTGCAAGGCAGATTTGAGGCACAAGAAGCCATCATTCTACAGTTGAAAGTCAGATCGGCTCTTGCGGCCAGCCGTCAACAGTCCTGGCTAGAAGATGACAGTGAAAGGTCACAAAAATGGACTGAGAGCACAGTTCAGATGACAGAACAACTTCAAGAGCTGAAAGACGGGTTTCAGAAGTTGCAAAGCCTTAACGAGATGTATGAGCAGGACCGTGTACAGACTCGTCAAGAGATCGCGGAGTTGAAGGCGGCTGCTAGACTCGTGAACGAGCAATCGCAAGGCAGCCAAGATCAAGCGCCTACAACAGGCACAGTCCATTACATGCTCCAGAATGGCGCTTCAGCACGAAGCGAAGCGGCGAAGAAACACGAGAGCTCAAAGCCGATTGATGTTCCACCAACGAAGACCCTTCCTCGAGACAACGGTCCCTCGGTATCCTCAAGCAAAGCGACAAGACAAGCCCTGAAGGCGCAGCAAAAGCAAACCCCCATGTCCCAACCACAGGAAAGCAGCGGCATAGATATGAATGATCTCCCAGCAGATGAAGACACTCTACGCACGACGGTGACAACGCCGAAAGAAGCGGGCAAAATGACCAAGTCGGCCCGATTACAGTACGAGTCAAACACCGCAAAGGCGGAACAGAACCCAACAGGAGGCCCGCCGTCCACGGAAAAAGCAAAGTCCCAGGACACGAGGAAATCCCCGTCAAGAAGAGCACAATCGACTCTACCATCACGAATTAGAAAAGAAACCATTTCGCCGTCCATCCTATTGCAACCCCCCTCCGAGGCGGACGTCAGAGATAGCACGACAAGCACAGATGGCCCACCACACGACGACAACACTCCGACCATCACCAAGATTTTCCATACAGGTGCCAAACAGTGGCAGCAGAGGACACCCTCGAACAACAGTCCAGATAGATTGGTCCGGTTTGGGAGCAGGAGGGTGCGGCTCAATGCTCGTATAAAACCGAGCCTGGATACTCGTACAGTCCAGCCCGACTGAGGAGAAGACGCATTTATAACAAGCTCGACGTCTAGGATATAAGATGGACGACCCTCACTGGCGATCCTCTACTGGTGATCAGGTTACGATGTATGGTCCATATTTCTCAACTGTACGGAGTACTGTGTATGAATGCAATAGATGATGATGATGATGATGCCGAGATCCTTCAACCCTCGATCTTGGCCATGTTGGTATTTCGCACATTTGGAGACGGTGAGTCCTCCGTTTCCCCTTGTCAGCGTGCTCGCGTGGTACAGTGGCAGATGGAAGATCACCACGCGCGTTGACCTCCTTGGGGGGTTTTATAGCTACCGCTTCGGCGCAAAAGGAGGGTAATGATGGATGGATGTGCACGAACAGAACTACAGTAACCGTGAGTAGTCTCCGTCCAATATACTCCGTACTCTGTACTGTGTCAACATAATCATGACTGAAAGCAGTTAAAAATACATCATGGCGCGGATGTACACTGTGCGGAGTATTCATGTACGCATGCACGATAGTAATCTAATCGCGCCATATTGAGTCCCGCGTAGCCTGCTTGGCTAATACATAAACTCGTTGATTAGTTGCAACTGCTTCGCCACGGCATGAATGCCGGGAGTACTCGTACAAGCATTTGTCGGCTGATGCTATTTACGCGTGTTACGTTGAGACGAGACAAGGAAATTGCTTCGGTGGAGATCGTCGTCCCTCGATCCTCAATCCTGCCGCTGGACGTCCGTTGCTGCCGTGCCGTGCCGTGCAGTACAGTACAAACCCATGCTATGGAAAGCTGCAATTCGAAGTGGACTGATGACCTGACGATAGATGCTGCCTCTGTCGAATGGACCTCTCTAACCCGCTTGCTGTGACATGTGCCGACAGAGTCAGTGTTCCTTTTCACCGAGCCATGTTCATCGGATCAAGAAGCGGAACATAACAGGTATCCAGACATCCAATTCAGGTTTGTGTCGTGAGAGCGTCTCAAACAGGTGGACATGAGTGTCAAAAAGCGTCCTGTCCTGTCCCGATGAACGCCACCAGCCAAGAAGATAGGCTATGCAAAGTCTCTATTTCTCGCGATCCCCAAGGCCTCTCATTTCTCAACGAGGACTTTCAAGGCCTGAACGCCGATTCCGAATAATTCTGGCTCCTTCGTCTTCTTTAACGCATTCTTTAACTTGTCAATCTCGTCTTTCTTTTTGAACGCGTCTCGAGCCCGTAACGCCAAGTTCTTGTTTTGGGCATCTTCTTCGTCACAGCAGACCATGTTCCTGACGATGACCAGACCCCGATGCACCACTCCAGTATCCTCGTCCTGGCACAGCTCTAATAATATCTCTGGAGCACGTTTCAGGTCGAGGATGGCCGCTATGACAGTCGCGTACTGTTCGGTCAGCATCGCTAATGCCCCGCCAGCAGCTCGTCTGGTTGGTAAGTCCTCTACATCCGCCATCGCGACGAGAATGTGCAGTCTCTGAGCTGCTCGTTTTGTGCCATCCGCAAACTTTTCTGCGCCCGTGGGTATCACAGTCAAATTACAGATCAATTCGCAGGCAGCGCGGCGAATAAGCTCGTTGTTTCCAAGCAACAGATTTTCGACTTCGTCCCAAGCAGATTTGGTGATAAAGGATGCGGCATTGGGATTCGGAGCGGATGCCAGGTTCGTCAGAGCCAGTAGACTTTCGAATACTGGGAGGAGATCGCGAGGCTGGTCGCTCAGGACTTCGCCACTTGGTGGCTTCAACAGCGCCACAAGGGGAGGAATGGCGTCGGTAATGTCGGGCGTGGATCCTCCCGGAAAGATGTGTGCTGGGTTCAGCGAGATCAGAATCCTGGCCAAAGCGTGAGCAGCATCGGTGTTTTGCTGAGAGCTGACTTCTGCTTTTAGGCTGCGCTGCGCATGCAACACCAGCAGCTTGACAGCCCCTTGTTGAGCAAGCTTGCCGCGGTCTTTTGGATTCTTCGACAGCGACAGAAGGATCTTATCACTTAGCTGCGCCGTAGCCGGAGATCGACCTCTGTTTAATCTCGTTAGTGACGCAACAGTTCCAGCCTCCACCACTGCAGAGCACCGTGCTCGTACATGTTCGTCGTTCTCCAGCAGACTTGGTTCAACGGGTTTCGTGGCATTTGCGTATGCTTTGAGCTGTGAAATCTTCTTCTGCTCTTCCGACAGGGTCGGCGAATATTGTGTCAGATTGGAGATGATACTTAGTCCACCAACCACAACCTCGGGGGAGTCGTGATGTTCATCGAGAGTGTCGAGAAGAGCTTTCAGGAATTTTCGGTCCTTGGCCAGTGATTCTTTGACCTCGGACTTCAGAGATGTATACGCAAGGCCTTCAATCGAGTCAGAAACAGTCTTTCCTTCTTCAACAACGGCAAGGGAGTTCTTGAAAAGATCAACAAGTTCACTAACATCATCATCCGCCTTGTCGGCTCTCTGGTTCCCGGTTTTGACACCCAGCCCCGACGTTCGCAGCTTCGCCAACACGGTGGCTGCCACAGATGGCTGTTTGCCAGTACCGTTGCTGACCTTTTCTGATAGCCAGCTCGCACAGTATTGCGCAATTGCTGCCCGGCACGCTCCGTCTATGCAAGCCGCATTGAGGAGGTTGAGGAAGGCGTCATGGACGATTGGACTGCTGAATTTTCTGTCCAGAAGAGGCATTGTCGAAGCAAGAAAGCCATCAGTCAAGAATAGCTGCGCCACCAGGTGAGGGATGACCGGAAAGAGGTGTGCTGAGCCTGAGAAAGCAAGGACCAGGTCATCGCCCTTTCTGCGTTCAACGTGCGATCGGACATATTTGGCGAGATATTCTTGACCGGTAGATTCGGCAGCCTCGAAGTATTTGGAAAGGACGAGAGTTGCCTGACCCCGGACATCGGCTGGCAGCCTCAAGTCCAAGGAGCCCATCACAGCCTCGAATGCTTCCTCGTCGACGAAAGTGTGCAGCCTCTGAGTATCCGCGATGAGCAAGAGCGCGATGCCTTTGAGGGCACGGCCGTCGTGATCATGGCCGGTCTCCATCAGCTTTGCAAGGAAGAGCTGGAACAGATCGTCTTCCACGCGAAGTCTGACGTCCTCCGTCGGCCACAGTTTGTCATCCAGCACGATGGATCGGAGACAGTTGGCAGCGTCATCGCCTCGCTCATAAACATTGTCAAAGAAGGACGTCGTCGATGCTTGGAGCTCAGCCGCGAGATACTCACGGACCGCTGGACTCTGCCGGGCTAACTCGGCAACAATAAAATCTTGAGCATCCGACATGGTAGATTGGCGACACTCCAGCAGGATTTGCATGCACTCGAGAGCGACGGGGGCGGCATTGGCAGCTTCAGGCCCCTTCAAGTACTTGACGGCTTCATCTCCGGCCGGGTTGTTGTGGTACAGGGCATACCTTCTGACCAGATCCAGAAGTGGCGAATTCAGCTGGTCATCATTGTGAATCGTCAGGAAGGCGGCCTGAACATCTGGATTGGCATGACCCAGAGCAGCGGCCTCCCTCAACTTTCTCGACGCTTGCTAGAGAAACCGTCAATAGCTGGCTCCAGGACTATGTCGTAGAGAGCCACATACCACTTTGTCACCGACTTTGAAGAGTTCGACGGCTTCATTGGCCAGCAGCGAAGCACGTTGGGAATCGCGTTCTTCGGATAATTTTCGGTTCATCCGCTGGGCTGCGACCTTGATTGAAGAAGACATTGTTGTAATGCTTCGGGACAGGCGGTGGCGGGAGAAAGAAAAGTTAAGAGTCCTCGGGCAGAGGCAGCAGTGAATAAGGTCTGATGCTCGAGGGAGAGGCCGGCGGTAATGAGAGGTCGAGGTCGGGTGACGTGAGATCAAAGAGTGCAGGCCATGATTTTTATCGGTGGTTGGCAAGAGGCAGTCGGCGGGAGGGCGGGAGGGCGGGAGGTTGATTTCTCAGGCAATTCGGCGGCAAAGAAGCGAGGAGAACAGGTGCGAGATGGTCAGCTGATGAAAGGTGCTTGTTGATAGTTGCAGGCGTATGTAGGCAGTTGGACGTGGGTGTTGACCGACGACGCGAGCCGAGTCGAGTCGAGTCGAGGCGAGACGGCCGTACGAGGCGAAGGAAGAGAAAGCGTAGGGCTGTTCGCACTCGAGATGTCGCGATAGCAAATGGCGACACGAGGTGCTGATACTATTGGATGGGGAGGCAGCGGAATAGCGAGTGGAATTTGCTTCTTGTGGCCAAAAGAGAGGAATGAGCCAGAACTCGCGGCAGCGCTGGTGAGAAGAGATGCAAACGACCACGTGGGATGCAAAATCTGGCTCCACTACAAGGTACAAGGCCGCCCTTTCACGACGCAGCAGACTGCGAAAGAACCAGGATTGGCAAGCACCGCAGGTATAAGAACGCCATAAAAAGGGAGAAAATCCACGGCCTGGGGAAGTCAAATCGAAAGTCTCGCCGCCGGACGGAGATTAACATGTGCTCCATTCTGACTTCTGACTCACTCGACCGTCAAATTGTACCGACATGTACACGGCATTCTGCAGCATTGACTTTGTACTGTGAAATTTTGGGAGTGATTGCCGATGGATTGGCTGACGGGAATCTTGCACAGCGAGGACGTCTGGCGGATGCCTAGCACATGCCACGGTTGAGATGCTCACCACTTTCCACTTAACCTTCACGGTCTGAATTCACACCCAGCAGTGCACCCACGTTCGTGGTTGGATGGTTGAGACTTGAACCGACAAGAAACATCTTCATGATCCCTACGAGCAGGACGTGACAGCGCAGGTTGCCTATCAATGCCTATCAATGCCTATCTGGAAGATCATCAGGCGCCTAAAATAGCATCTGGCAGTGCCCAAAGGGTCCGCTTGGGCACTATCAATAGGGGGCACGGCTGCCTGTCCACTGCAGCCCGGAGAGGGTTAACGCCTAAGTTGCTCTCTTCAGTGAGGCTCATGCTTCGCTGTGGCTAATGATTGACACGGAGCGAGGCCTGCAGATTGTCATTCGAAGCATCACTTTTTGCACAAAGGCAACAACAGAAATCAAAGTTCAACGGGGGATGAAGTTTGCCGCCCTCTCAGAGCAGCCTCTCACCTCATTACCCGTCCCTCACCAACGACAGTTTTGCCGTGATCCTGTCACGAGCGCCCGCCACCTGATTGCGTTGATCTCTAATTTCCTCTGCTTCCATCATGAACGCCGTCGATGCTTCCGAGCACTATGACAAGCCGTCTCACTGTAAGTCACATCCCAAGAGTCCAGACTATGCCTCATCCCGCAAGTTTTGCCGCTCCTCGCAGGTTCCAGACCGACAAGATCTCTCTCCTCTGTTAGCGGCCAATCACCATCTGCATCTTGATCGCCATATCAGATGGCACAAGGCTCTGCCATCCCACCACACACGCGAGGCTGCCGCTGACGCTAACACCGACCAGCAACAGAACAGTCGCCCTCACTGTTGACGATCATTCTCGACACCAACCCGGCAGCATGGTCGTTGCTGTCGTCGACGCTTCCTCTATCAAGCGCCGTCGCCGATCTCCTAGTCTTCATCAACGCCCACCTAGCGGCAAACTATACCAACAAGGTCGCCGTCATCGCCTCCCATTGCGACAAGGCACAATGGCTCTACCCGTCGCCAACAGAACAAAAGCTCCCCCGGTCGGCAGCAGACCGACATCACGCAAAGCGTCAGTCCCAAGCAGGAGACCAACTGCGGGACGCCAACCTCTCAGACTCGGCGAAGAGACTTAAATTAAACGGCCCCTCATCCGATACCACAAGTATCCGACTCAACGTGAAGCCGCCCTCGTCCTCGGTCCACAGCGGCAGCAAGTACCGCCCCTTCCGCCTCGTCGAGGAAGAGCTCCTCCACAACCTGACGCTCCTCCTCTCGTCGACATCCCCAGAAGCCATCACCGCAAGCACGTCGACCATGATCGCCGGCGCCCTCACCCTCGCCTTATCCTACACCAACAGGGAATCCATCCTCGTCTCCGAATCCCTGATCGGCACATCCCTCAACACAGGCAACGCGGACGGCCCCGGTCCCGGCCCCGGCCCCGGCGAAGGAGCACCTCAAACACTACAATCCCGCATTCTACTCATCTCGGCCTCACCCTCCACCGACCTAGCCCATCAATACATCCCCATCATGAACGCCATCTTCGCATGCCAGAGGCTCTCCATCCCGATCGACATCCTCCAACTGCCTCTCCCACACCCAGACTCACAGGTACCCTCGGCGCAAGCACCGTCTGGGGACTCCTCAAACCCAAACTCGACAGTCTTCCTCCAACAGGCCGCCGACGCGACGCACGGCATCTTTATCCCCGCCCATCTCTCCCCCATCGCAAATCCCTCCAATAAGCATCCCAAGCCGGGGTCCACCACCTCCACCACCACCGCTCAGACAACCGCCCAGACAACCGCCGCCTCCCAAGCCCTCCTGACGTACCTGCTCACCAGCTTCCTCCCCTCCCCATCGACTCGCAGCGCGCATCTGATCCTCCCGACCCGGATAGATGTCGACTTCCGGGCGGCGTGCTTCTGCCACCGCAACGTCGTGAGCGTCGGTTTCGTGTGCAGCATCTGCCTGAGTATCTTCTGTGAACCGCCCGAGCGGGGCGAGTGCTTGACGTGTGGGACCGTCTTGGCTGTGAGTGACGGGGTGGGGAGACGGCCTGTCGTCGCTGGTGGGAAAAGGAAAACCAAGCAGACCCAGGGGACGAAGTGAGAAGATATGAGGTTGCGGGTGAAAAGCCGCCGACCAGCACGGGGGGGAGGGGTGGATGCAAGTTCGATGATCTGCTAACGGCCTGGAAATCCACGGTTGCTGGATGTCCGTGGTCACCCAATTTCAAGTAGGAAACTCCGTTTATTTATCAAATGTCTCCTCTCGGCACACGACACGCTTCTAGCGGAGTTCGAGATTTCGAGTTCGGTAGCCTGACGTCTCATGAATGACCACGATGCCGCTGGTTCGGGCGGAGTACCGAATGCAAAATAATCTCGAGAGAGCGCGAATGTGTTTGGCGATCTACCTAGCTACGGGCTTTTGTCGTCTCTCCTCGAATAATAGACGATTCTTAGGTTCCCTTGAGCCCCGCGCTCAAGAAGATATTCAGCTATGAATATGTCCTTGCCCCCTTAGTACTGCCCTAATTCCCTCGGTGTCTCTGTTCGTGGGTCCCATTGTGAACGCTGTTTTCAAGGCACATATCCGACTTGTTGGGCGTGGTATCGACGGATTCTGGGTGCCATCGACGCTTCGACTACGGCAAGGTAGACCTCTAGCTCAGAGCCTTTCCCTTCTTATGTCCCATAAACCGTGCCCGCCTTGCATGTGCTATCGCAAAGACAAGCGGTTCATCCTCAACGCGTTCGAGCAAACCTGGACCGACTGACTCTTCCTCCTTGGGCGATGGCTCCGTGTCCTCGACTTCGCGACATGGTGCATACAGGTTTTCGTTCCTCCGAGTGCATTGATGCAAGCGCGAAAGAGTCGGTATTGTGGCCGAAGTAGAAATAGACCCCATCGAGGGTCTTCTTAACCGCCAGAATGCCGATTGCACCAGCGCAATGACTGTGAGCCACACCTGGATGGTCCATGAAATCGTTCACAATGATAGAACGCATCGCGTCGTCCTCGTTACAATGCACCAGTCTTCCGTCTTCCTTACGGACAGCATTATAGATCCGATCGGCCGCAGTTGCCGCCGCGGTCGTCGTGGCCATGTGTTCTCCTGTGCCACTGCAAACTGTGGCTACACAAGTCTCGCTAGAGTCTCGTGGATGCACGGGAATGATCGCAGTACCAGTCCCGACAAGAGCAGCGGGACCACATCGGCCCTTGTGTTTCATGCCTATTCCGCCAGAAGAGGACCCGGCAGCGATGCGGCCGAAGCAGTCGACAGCGATAGCTCCAACTGTATCGTATACCTCGTCTTCACGAACATGGTTGTCAAATCGCGCCATTGATGCATCGAAGGGATTTCCATGCTCATTGGCAGGAATGGCCTCCTCAGAGGAAGGGCCGTCGAAAGAATCGCTCGTTTTCTGACGCTTGGTCGCTGACATCAACCATGGTAGACTGTCATCAGTAGCAGTTTGGGAGGAGTTAGTCTCCGAAGAACGGTCATGAGACGCATTGCCGTCTGGAGCGTTGTGATGTGTCCCAGAGCGGCGAAATGGAGACACGGGGTCGTTATAGGTGTGGGGCAGAGTAGGCACATCGGCTGTGGAGGCCACAAGGGGACGGGTCATTGTTGGCATTCCTGACAGGCTGGGACGTTTGCGCGGGGATGTGGTGGGAGCCATAGAGGTCGCAGCAGCAGTCCATTCAGCTTGTGGTACACCCTCTGCAATTTGCTGGGCTTGTGTTTGTCTCTGTGCCTCTTCATTTTGCACTCTTTCGAGATCCCGCTTCCATCTGATCCACCGGTCTCTGGCACCCTCTGAGATGAGAAAGTCGGCTGGTAGGATCGGAATGCCCTTACCAGCCGCAAAGTCGGTCGCCCCCGGACCGACAAGAAGATTTGGAGGTACTCGTTGGAGGGATAGTGGCTTGGTGGATTCTTCGAGTACAAGTCGAGCGACAGCAATAGGGTTTTTGACCTGGGCAATCGCCCCAACCGCACCACTTCGACCGTAGTGATCGACCAATGTAGCATCACATTCGACACCTCCATCCATGGTCAGGTTGCTTCCGTATCCTGCGTTTGTGATCTCTTTGTCCTCGAGCAGGCGAAGTGCCATCTCCACAGCGTCAGTGGCATCGCCTCCATTCTTCAACACGGCCATTCCAACTCTTGCTGCATCATTGACAGCGGTGAGGTGAACCTTCTCATTTTGATGGCTATGGAATCCGGCCCCGGCATGAATAAAAATGGCACAGATATCGCCACCTTCTGGGGGTCGACGTGGCATTTGACGGATCTTAGTTGTTGAAGCAAAGAAACCATAGGTCGGCGAAAGATTTCCAGCGTGGGTGGGAAGCAAGAGTTTCAATGTGGTCGTCGTTTTGGAGTTGAAGGTGAGGTCGAATTATCGTCAAAGTAAGGCTGGACTCAGTTGTTGAAGAGACAAGGGCCAGCGGCCCAGCAGCGATGGAGAGCAAGGACAGCTTTGAAAGGAACGGTAAGGATAGGATTGCTACTGTTCAAAAGAGCGTGCTTGGAGGACTGCAGAACAACGATGCGACTATGACTCCGCCAGACCCGCTTGGTGACGGCGAGGTGAAGATACAGTAGGAAAGTAACGAACAGCTCAGGATAGGCTCACTCTGGCTCAATTTGAGCTGCACTGGGAGTAGAAGCTTCCCATCCACATCTCATTTTCCTGCCTCGCGCTTGCACTAGACCGCCCTGACACTGCTTGGATGCGCTCTCAATTGATTGCTAGAACCGCGCATTTGGCAAGTCCATTGTTAGGGTGGCAGATGCTACAATATGGGAACTGTCAGCGATGGATGAGAGGTTTGTGAAAGAGCAATCGCGAAGCCACCGGGCCACATCGCCGGAGACGCCAAGTCGGGGTTTCCTCGGATCATGGAGAGTCACGTGGATGACATAATCACCGCCCACTTTGCATCGTGGGTGCGTCGCCAGCCAGCCCACTAACCACCTAGCCATTGCTGTCATCTCACTGTTGTTCTCGAAGCTGCCTGCGGACGGTGCTGGCGGTGATAGGAAAGTGCGCCTTGCAAGTCTTCACATTCTTCTCTTCCCACCGGCGATGCTACTTTACACAAGCATCAAGTCACCGTAGCCGTCTTTCTCCCTGCACCCTACCCGCTGCGTAGCCGACTGTCCTCGGGTTTGTGCGCAACCGGCCCCTCAAGATGGCAGCCCAAACCCCAGCCGTTGTCATGGACAAGTGAGTGGTCTGCTGTCGCCAATGGAAGCATGATGACTGACGTATCGCAGCGGAACTGGGTTCTCTAAGCTAGGTTCGACCATTTCTCTCTGGCCCGTAGCTGGTCCTCTAACCTGGTTGATACAGGGTTCGCCGGAAATGACGCTCCTTCCTTCGTCTTCCCTACCGCCATCGCCATGAAAAGTGCTGGTGGCGGGGCAGCAGGATCAGGCTCGGGGAGACCAGCAGTTGCAAACAAGCCCTCATACCTCACTGGCGGTGCAGGACCCAGCTCCAACCTGGCAGGCAAGCGGGGGACCGAGGACCTCGACTTTTTCATCGGAGATGAGGCGCTGGCTGCATCGGCTGGCCCGGGGTACAGCATAAACTACCCTATCCGACATGGCCAGATCGAAAACTGGGACTACATGGAACGTTTCTGGTCAAACTCCATATTCAAGTACCTGAGAGTCGAGCCGGAAGACCACTACTTCCTCCTGACAGAGCCGGTGAGTTATATAGTTGTTGCTTGCTGGTTTTGGACCGCGCTGACTATCCTCAGCCTCTGAACCCCCCTGAGAACCGTGAGAACACCGCCGAGATCATGTTCGAATCCTTCAACTGCGCCGGTCTATACATTGCCGTGCAAGCTGTGCTAGCATTGGCTGCCTCGTGGACATCTTCGAAGGTCACGGATAGATCGCTGACGGGAACTGTCATTGATTCCGGCGATGGCGTTACCCACATTATTCCAGTCGCGGAGGGATATGTCATTGGCTCCTCGATCAAAAGCATACCGATAGCGGGGCGAGACATCACATATTTCGTGCAGAGCCTGCTTCGAGACCGAGGAGAGGCAGATAGCAGTTTAAAGACTGCGGAGCGAGTCAAGGAAGAGTACTGCTATGTCTGTCCGGACATTGTTAAAGAGTTTGCGCGATACGACAAGGAACCTGACCGATTCCTCAAACACACTGTGACGCAACCAAACGGAAGAACCCTGACGATCGACGTGGGCTATGAGCGATTTCTTGCTCCCGAGATCTTCTTCAACCCCGAAATCTACTCATCCGACTTTCTTACACCCTTGCCCACCGTGGTGGACGGTGTGATCCAGTCGTCGCCCATCGACGTGCGGAGAGGTCTCTACAAGAACATTGTTTTGTCTGGCGGTTCAACATTGTACAAGGACTTTGGTCGAAGATTACAGCGAGATATCCGCCACCTGGTTGATGCACGCATCAGGGCATCTGAAGCTCGCAGTGGTGGTGCCAAGAGTGGTGGATTAGACGTGCAAGTCGTGACCCACAAGCGACAAAGACACGGACCTTGGTTTGGGGGCAGTTTGCTGGGCCAGACGCCCGAGTTCAGGAGTTATTGCCATACCAAGGCCGAGTACGATGAGATCGGACCGAGCATTGTCAGGCGATTCGCTCTACTGGGTGGCCCAGGTAGTTCTTAGGTCCACTGATGGTCCTCATGAGATAGAGAGTGAGATGGGGTGAAAAAAGTCATCAAGCGAGCGCCGTTGACGTCGCATCTCTGTCTCTGTCGCTCTCTTCCCACTCTTTTTGACGGCTGGAATCGGGTGATTCTTAGCCCCATCGCCCCTAAGACGCAACTAAGTAAAGGTGAAGGGCGCAAGCTAAATGATGACATAAGCGGTCGGAATGAGTTTGCACTTCCGTGGGTGGAGAATGCGACGACGACGTCGCCGCGGCGTTTCGAGGCGAAGGCTGCGAAGTCGTCCTTGTCGCTGAGGGGCTGGCGATCTTCCTCTATATAGCTTTGGTTGGTACGTAGCGATGAGATCGCTGGTCGCTGCCAGATGTAGTGCGGTTCATAGGAGGCGCAGTCGGAGATTGCTTGAGCAAAGGATATCCCAACAAATCTATTTCCACTCTTTTTATCGTCCTAACTCCGGCCTGTTTATGCTCGAGGCAAAGGACAGAGAAAGCGGAGGGGAGCAAGCAGCAAGCAGCAAGCCGTCGCGATGGCATCCGGCCGTGCAAAGTCGTCGGCGCCGATGCCGATTTGTATCATGATGCAGAACCCGGGATCGCGTCAAAGTCGACGGGAGAAGCACCAACAGATCGCGGCGGCTCGAAGCCATGCGGCCAAACACATCGCGCGAGAGGCCCGGTGGCAAAGACAAGTCCAGTAAGCAGCAAAGAATTCCAGGCGGCCGAACAGGGCGGGTGTTTCTGGTTGACCGAGCCCTAATTACATTACCGCAGTTGGCGTCAGGAGAAGGACTCTCAATCGTCGTCTGGCCAAAGTCCATCGACGGACAAGGCATCTGAGGACGGCGACGGCGACGCCCACGGCCAGCGGGACTCTCCAGTCGTGCTCCGGACCGCCGTGACTCAGAACAAACGAGATCCATTCTCTCCATACGACGCGTCGTTGCATCCGGCCATTTTCCAGGACCTCATCGAGTACGGTAAGTAATGTCGCCCGCCACCTACGCGTATCCACTGTTGCCCGGGTCCGCTGCGTCCCTATTTGTGCCCGTCGTGCTCTGGCTGATATCGTTTCGATGAGGGAAGCGTACGACACTTTATGGCCTGATATTATCGAGGTCTCGGGGAATCCAGCCGTGCACCCGGGTCGACGAGAGTGGCGCTTGGCTGCTCAAGAGAATCCGGCCGTCTACCACGTCCACCTTGCCAGCGTGGCCGACTTTGGGAAAGCGATGTACCATTCGCACGGGCTCAGTAATGAATTCGACCGGTTGAGGCTGTTCCACCATACCAAGGCGCTCGGGCTGGTGAGACAGATGATACAGTCCATGGGCGCCGATGGCGTCCCGTCCGACGCCCTCGTCATGGCAGTCTACAACCTGTCCTACCATGGGACGGGCTGGGACTATCGCACCGTGCCAGAAAGTCATCCTCCCTCGCCCGCGTTCAAGTCACGATTCCTAGGCGGCTACGGGAGGAAGGTCCCGCATGACGACCACATTCGCGCCATGAACACTCTCATCCGGGCAAAAGGTGGATTGCACAAGGTCGAACTCGCGGGGATCGCCGAGATGATCTGGCTGTGGGTAGTACCTGTTGAACGAGGAGGCGCCTGAGCTAACGATTGTTGCCCAAATTTAGATGGAGCCTGGACAATTGTTCCGCTCACATAAGGACCCCGGACTTCCCACTTCTGAAGCAATACGAGACAGATTTGACGGACTACCGGAGGAAAATGGCGACCTCGGGTTCCGAAGTCACACCTGAAGGACAGGGTTCTGCGTTTCTGGTCCTGTCGCAAAAGGGCGACATTGGCAGACTGCGTGAATGTCTGCTTTGTACAGCGGCTATTACTGTCGAGTTCGGCGCTTTGGGAGAAGCTGGTGTGAGGACGTATGCATTTCGGCAGCTCGTGAGAATCGCTCGTGCAAATCATCACCAACTGCTGAGTCTCCCAGCGGAGGCCAGTGACCAGGACACCCATGACAGGCTGATATTCTTGATTACACGGCTTGCGGCGCTGCTCTACCATGACATGGTTATTTTCCCTCAAGTCGATACCTCGGGGATCAAGCCCCGGCTCGCAGAGCAGCTCAGGCACCACTTGACTGAAAGATCCCCCAACCTGGTTCCCGGGGCAGGACAAAATGAATATCGCGGCTTGGTCGTCTGGGCTCTTCTGGTAGGGAGTATCGGATCCACATGGACGAGAAATCGCACCTGGTTTGTCGAGCAGTTGCATCGGCGAAGCCAGCTACTCGGTCTTGAGACATTCGTCGAGTTCAAAAGCTCCATGTCAAAGTACCTCTGGTCTGAGAACATGGACGAGCCTGCGTTGAGAGCGTGGACAGAGGGAGAGGCCGTCACGCTCCCGTCATACGAAGACGGGTGAGCCACTGCCGTCGGTTACTATTTCGACACCATGGTACTGGAGTGAGCTCAGAAATACCGGCCTAGTCCTCACGGGCATAAACAGATGTGATGAAACCGGCAATACTCCCAGACGAATCAATTATCCTCCTGCACTTGCACCGCTGCTCCAAGTCTCAACGTCCCGCCTGTCCGAGGGTGAAACCTGGCAAGAGCACGTTCTTACTCTCCTCAGGCAGGGACACATTGAGAAAAGCGTGGCGCGCCTATGTGACATGCATGCTGCATGCTGGACTTTCGGTGAGGGATAAAGCATCAGGAACCAGTACGAGGCGTTGGTGGAAGTGCAGTGGTGCGGTGTGTTGATGGATCATCCAGTCCCCAAGACCCGAGCAGTGTTTGGAATGCCTTACTTCATGTGCAATTCTAACAACCACCGAGAAAGAGGCTCGGCGCCCCTCCGACGAACGATACTTCCACCGACAACGAGACACGCACACAAGAAACAAAAACTCTGCTACAATCCCTACTCGAATAGGGCATTGGAGAAAGGAGTTTCATATAACAGCGGCTCGTTCTTCGATTGGGCTATATCCGGTGGTCATGGCGAACCAGCCCGGTCTACTCCCATCTCACGGCATCATTTTGAAGCCGCCGATTTGACTGCTCCTGTCAAGTAGGCAAACGGATTTATGTTTATGTTGTACGGTACGGGTGTTGGCGAGATTGCTGCCGTCGGGATTCGAACAGAGGCTGGATGGAGGCGATCTTTTTTGTCGGCAGAACTCGTCACTGGCACGCCTTCTAGCCCGGTGCTAGTTTGATCTTAACCAGCGAGGAAATTGTTGACAGAAATTTGCCAACTACAAAATATCAAGTGAAAGGTTAACGAAGAGATTTTATTGGGTGGGTGTGGGTGCTGGTGCTGGTGCTGAATACTGCCAGACCCGGTGTCTAGGTGGTGGGATTGACAGTGGTGATACAGTGCAGTACAAGGAGTTCAACAATCTCTTCGTCGCCAGCAGGACCCTTTTCCAGCAATTTCTCTTGTCAACCGGACCAGATGACAACTTTGGCAACTCCCGCAGCGGGACAACATCGACTACCTACAACATGATGTGCTACGTCTGCCTCCTGCTTGGCCCTGCGCATAGCCAACTCGTGGATCACATCGCCGGAAGTACACCAGGTTGTCTGAGAAAACTTGGGAATGCAGAATTGTCTTGGGAGAGCTGGACGCCGCGTGTCGGGATGGCTCCGTCGTTGCTTTCGAATCTACAATATTGAAGCACTAGTTCGATCTGCTGAAAGCAGGACTGCCAACAAAATACCAAACATGGGAGAAAAAACCTGCTGTATACGGGGCACGGCACTGGTGGACTAGGAATCTTCAATATTGAAGCACTAGTTCCGTCTGCTGGAATATGGACTGCGAACCAGATTTCAAACATGGGAGAAAAAAGCTACTGTATACGGAGTACGGCTCGCCTTCCTCGGGCGTACAAGTTGGAAGCTTCATCCCGAAGACCTCCCTCGAATGGAAAGGTCCATACTCGTATGAACATTACACGAGAATGACACGCCGGGCAAGGGCATGTGACTCTCGAGGCAAAGACCAGCGACGAGATGAGACAAAGGGAGGTGGTATTGCTATGCACATGCTCGATGCCCCTGATCAGCGTCACGGCGCCACAACACTACATCGCAGCGCCAGACGTCAAGTCGATCCTATGTCCAGCACATCTTTACTGTATATAGCTTTGAAACCCCTTCTCTTCCCTCTGCTCTGATATATATACGGCCACGGCCGGCCACCTACAGTACTCACTCACTCACTCACCTCGTATTCCAGCCCGGCCAGATCTCGTCGGCAAGCCTCTTGACCAATTCCAACTTCTCCCACATGGTATCTCTTGTCATGCCCACGCCACCCTCGGAATGATCGCTCGCAAACCCACACTGAGGGCTCACAGCCAGATTATCCCTCAACGCGTCCTCGCGCGTGCGGCCCTCGCCCTGTCCCTGCGCAATCACCTCGGCGGCCTGATAGACGCGGTCCTTCAAGGCCGCCAGATCCTCCATCTCCGCCGACTTGGTCGTCACCACGCCCAGCACGACGGCCTTGTCGACGGGGAGGTATTTCAGGGGCGTGAAGTCGCCGGCCCGAGGCGAGTCGAACTCGAGATAAAACACCGTGTACGGCGTCTCGGTGAAGATCTTCTTGGCGATGCGCTCGTAACTCCCGCTCGCGAGCCCGACGCCGTTGGGGAAATTGCCCCTGCAGATGTGCACGCCGACGGTCAGGTCGGCGGGTAAGTCGGCGACGGCGTCGGTGTGCGACTTGACGTACAGTTCCAGGAGATGGTCGAGGTCGACGTTCTCGGCTTTGCACGTGGCGATCCATTCCTCGCTGTGAGCCGTCAGTACGTGTGCGTGTGTATAATAACCCAAGGAGTCAAGACGAAAAAGGAGGCAGTGGCTCCAGCCGTCAGCCACGTGTGCGCGTGTGTGTAGAGAGCTTCCCCCTTGCTATCTTTTCTCACAAGGGGAAGGGGAGGGGAGCGCCACAGCAGCAGCAAGGGGAGCCGAACTCACTCGCAAAAGAAACTCAAATTCGGATCATCGACCTGCACGACGCGCAACCCGGCGTCATACAGCGTGAGGATCTCCTTCCGCAGCGCGGCGCTCAGATCGCGCAACAAGGCCTCATCACTCGCGTACACGGCCCGGTCAAACGGCTCCTTCAGCTGGATATGCCACCAACCCGGCGGCGGGACCGTCATCTTGGCGTCCGCCCACCGGTCCCGGGGCAGGAGACTTCTCAAGAAGAGCCAATCGTCCAGGTATGCCGGCTTGGCGAGCTGTACGGGGTTGGACGTTGGAAAGCCCGCATCACGCCCGGGCACGCCCCATTCGAGGAGCGGGCGGTTCGTGGGGAATCCCGTGCGGAAGGCTTCCATGGGCGTGTATCGCATCTGGAAGCCCGAGAGGGACTCGAAGAAGTTGCCGTAGAAGATGCTGCGTTCGTATTCGCCTGTCGTGATGGGCACGATGTGCCGCGCCAGTTGCTCGGACACAACGGCCTTGATGGCGCGGTCTTGCTCCGCTCTCAGGAGCTTCACGGGGTCGGCGTCGGTGTCGCCATCTTGGTCGTGACCTTGACCGTGGGAACCAGTCGCTGCGGCCGCGGGAATGTCATCCTCGCCTTCGCCAGCCCGAGAGCCTGCTCGGAGATTATCCCGCGGGAGGAGAGCCTTCCTCCGGGCCTCGACGAGCGATTTCGGCCGAAGCAGCGATCCCACCTGGTCGGCGCGGAAGGGCGGTGCCATGGCGGAGGAGTAAGCAGATGGATACGTAGACAGATGGACACGGGAACCGCCGAGTGTGGAGGGCGCGCGGAACGCAATATCAGAGTAAGCAGTAACAAACTCTGCGGAACCGTCACTCCGTTCGAAGCTGTGCAATCAATAATTTAACTCTCGATTCTCGATCCTTGACACAAGACGCAGGATATAGGATGTAGGACAGACTGCATGACGCAGGGCCGTCGACGTAAGTATCGATCGATTAACCGCCACGCAGGGAGGCAGGCGCACGCAGGTTATATAGGCCCACCACCCACCCACATGGAGTGGCATGCATGGGTGAGAACTCGACTCTGATGGGGATAATTACCTCGTACACAGGACATAGAGACGTCGCCCTTCTCCACAGGATGAACCTCGGGCGGGGCACATAGATGTGCTCTCAATACTTGGACATACTGTACTGTCTTCCTTCTACCTCGTACCTCATACTCTGCACTCTCCTATTAGTGGGCACCAGTAACGTCGGGCTCCAGATCCCGCGGGAGGCTCTGTGCAAGTTACCTTGGCAGTGCTGACAGCTTGATGTGGACAGGACATGGGACGACGCGGCCGATCAAGGGATTCGTCTAGTCGAGCCGCGATGGGCATGGATTCTGGACCTGTGGAGAGGGATGAAGCATCAGGATATGACGGCCAAGTACGGATCGTCGCTGGAAGTGTAGTGGTGAGCGCGGAATACATATCGGTTCAAGCAGGATATCGCGTTCTAAAGAACGAAGACCAAAGAATGCGCGAAGGTAAGAAAGAAATCAACGCAGCGTAATTTGCATTGGACATTCGTATGTAGAACAGGTGCTGCGCTGGCGCTCAATCCAGTCAGCTCGGTGGTAGAAACACGTCCGCAACCATTCTAGCAGGGTCGCAGAGATGACCTGGTAGTCGGCTCAGAGCCCATGCGAACCTAACGATCGTCATGGCACATAAAGTCTCACGAATCCCTGCACGGCTCGCCGACAAGTCACGCAATTTCCAAAGTTGTTGAGCGCCAGACTGACACGGCAATCCTCGCATACACAGAGACAGCGACACGGCCAGGCAATGATCGTCCTCGACGAGACCTGGCAGACCACACAGGGCGGACCCAGCTGTCTGGAAGAGTCATCATCGGTCTCCGTAGCGTCCGGAATACGCGATGGAGGAGCAGATGTATGCTTCTTTCGCCGCTCGAGAATGAGGGACTCTAGGACTTCTGCTTCCTCAATCGATGTCAGTGGTCGAGGGCCTTTGGTCTCCGGCTCAGTATATAACGAGACCGCCGGAACTTTGCCCATGTGGTCATGGTGGTGCGGTTTGGTGTCTAGTCCTGGAGTTCGTCCTGCCAGCAGGATTCTAGCCCGCTCGGCTTCGAGTTCGCGACGATAGCGAGAGCGAGTCATAATCCCAGGCGAGTCAGCTGACGCACTGGCCAGCAGGTGAGAGGAAAGAATCCGCGCTTCTTCGCGTGACGCGCTGTCTTTTGGGTTGAGAAGTCTTGCAAGTGTCATAGCGTCGAGCGGTGAATCCGGCAAGGGCTCCGGCGTTGACTCGCGAGTCTGGATGTGTGAAAACGACCACGTCTGCCCAGATGATGTCTGCGTTGGGGTTCTCGTACCTTCCGGCTCTGATTCCCACTCGTCTTCGTGGACGCTGCTGCCCGCGTCGGTGGACATTGAAACCACGCTCGTAACATCATCAAGATCGTCTGCATGGGATGGCTGGTACTCTCCGCTCTCGTCTTCAGTGCCAAACCAACCACCGGATTTCCACCAGTCATACAGCTTGGCGTCGAGAAGTTCATCGATTCTGTCCCCTGAGAACTCAGTCATCAGCCGCCTCCTCATTTCCGGCTCAATATCGACTTCGTCAGAACTGGGTATCGTGAGCTTGCCATCTTCGGTCAAGACCCAAAAGTCAAGAGCGCCTGTGGTCGTCGCATTGCGCTCGGCGTTCATCTTCTTCAATGACCTGCCGACTAGGCGTCTGAGCCAGCGAGGCCTCGCCGTGATGCCAATCGTGTCCAGCAAAACGCCAACCCCAAACCCAATGTATCCAGCCGATAAAAACATAATACCGCGAAGGTAAATCATAAGCAAGTAGAACCTCGTCGTCCGCTGAACAGCCCCGACGCCTCCACCGCGCGGGGTAGGATAAACAAAAGAATCTTTCCCTTCCAATTCGTTTTCCTTCTTGTCGAACTTTCTTTCCTTGCCAAAGCCGGACTCCCAAACACCTCCTTTGTCAGTTCCTCCGGGACTCGATGGTGGTAAGCCGTATTCTTCCAGGATCTGAAATTGCTGGCCATTTTGAAGTGTGCCGGCACCTTGAAAAGGACGCATTTCACGCATTGCCGAGTCAAACTCGTCCAGTCGATCTTCCTCGAGCCAAGTAAATTGACGTACTTCAACGGCCCGGCCTTCATTCAAGAAGACAGCTTCGGACGCTGCAGTCAGTGCTGCAAACCCAACACGAAGAAGTGCGGTGTAAAAGTCCTCGTACCAGCGGATGTTGATGCCACGGGTTTGCACTGCTGCTTGCAGATTGTCGTGAGCTATGGCGAAGCGTTCCTTGAGGCTAGTCGGCTGCGGGATATGTGGGTTAGTCCCTAGGGATATCGCAGTCAAGGTGAGCGCAACGAGGTAGATGACCAGACAAACGGCGACGCCCACCAGTATGGCCATATGGGGGAGAAAACCAACAATCGCAACAGTAGGGAAATGCAGGAGACTGCTAACAGGGCGGTTGTCGCCGTTTTCTCCACTTCGCACCATAACACTGGTAGTAAACAAGCCCCATACGAAAGACCCCATGAAGGCCATCCCCCAAATTGCTGTATTGACGAGTCGCCATTGACGCTGTTTGCCCAGGACAGCAATTACGTGGGATGATAAGGAGTTGCAGCATGATAACAGAGTAACCAAGAGAACTTCGACCGGCACGTTGACTCGATCCAGGATGTGGGGACCAGTGAGGGCCGCGGTGGCATCAGCGAGCGCCAATATGGTGCCCGACGCCGGTATCGTAGGCGAGGAGTCGGCTTGTGAGACGCCTGAGGCGGTGGTATTGCCGCTGCCAGAGCCCTTGACGGTGCTAAAATAGCCAAGCCCCAGGGTGTGGGAGATCATCGTCTCGGCTTCGGCGAATGCCAGTGAATGCTCGAAGACTGACATGCCAACTTCCGTCATGGTCGGAATCTGTTGCAGCGAACAAGAGAGGCTGTCGACAACATGAGACAAGCTCAAACGCAGGAACGAAGGCCAGAGAAGCGAGAAAGACCCAAGTGGCGCTCGAACGTCTGGGCTCGGCCTGCTCATTCCAACAGCGGCACAGGCATCCGCATCCGTGGAGCGGAAGAGTAGCGTAGATGTAAAAGTGTGAAGGGGGCCACCGTCCGTCGACCAGTCCAGCAGGCTGTATTTGTTATTGTCGCCATGTCGATAGAGTGAGTAGTCCGGAGACGTTTGACATCGAATAGCCTGGAGAAGCGAGTGGATCTGGCTGGTGAAAAGAAGAATGGGTAGTATTCGCAGAGCTAGCCTCTTCGTCCAGGTCAGCTGGATCCGTTGCCGGGAAGCGCCATAGACCCCAATGCGATTCAGGATGAGCGCCTGTGATGGTCAGCGAATGAGTCCAAACACTTCTGCATCTTTCTTACCATGGCGAAGCATGTAAAGGCCCATCTCGACGTCAGATAGTGCAGCATGCCCCAATATGACTTGAATGTGCTCGCCTGAAAGGCCTCTGCAAAGAACGCCGCCCAGCTCTCTGCGCCTGCTTCGGCGACTGCTTGCGCGACAGCAGGTTGCGCCGCAGCTTCTGCCATGACCTGTGCTCCACCAGCACCCTGCGCCAGCGGCGGGCCTCCTCTTGTGAAGATATTAATGCCAAAGCTTTCCACGAAGACCTGGTGCCATATGAAAAGGACTGCCCGGTCAATCAGCGAAGCGAACCGGAGCGGGAAACGAAGGAGCTGTTCGGCGGACGGGAGGGTAAACGACGAAGTCACTTCTGCTGCGGCTGTCTTGAAGGCGGTCAGGTTCAAGAGTGAAGGGGAGGCAGTAATCGGTCCCTGCATCTGGGTGAATGTAGAGGCCGCCTGTGCTGCCGTTGATTCAACCGAGATCATGTCTGCAAGATGTCTCTGCCCGCGCCTGCGGGTGACGAGGGGATCTCAATGCATGGGCTGTGGGAAGGCGTCAGTCACTTCGGCAATGCCTGCTCGATCATTGAAAGAGACGTAGTCGAGGGCCGATCAAGTCATGCACCGCAGAAGAGTAAACATCAATTATACTTCGAGGATGCGGCTATCGGAAGGAATCAGTTCGGTCGAACCACCAGCCGAAAACCGGCTGACAGGCGACTAGCGACAGGCTCCGGATCTGAGATGGCGATGGCGTGGCGTGGCGTCACTGCCTTGCTACTTGGCGCTCACTCAGCGTTCACACTCTGTTCACCAAAGTACTGTAATGGCAGAGACGTTGCATACGCTTCAAAAGTACCTACATGCACAACACAGCCATGACCACTTTCCAACTCTACAGTTGAACAGCAGCGGAAACACCAAAGACCGGCCCTATGAAACTCCCGCTTCGTGCTTCTCTGCGTCCCATGTGTCTAAGAATGATCCCAGGTCATCGATCGCGCCATCCAAGTCAAAGTCGTCGTTCTCAATCAGATTGAGCATTCGTTGTTTTTGTGCATTTTGCTTCGTCGATGCTGAGCTAACATTGTTCGAGGCAGATACTCCTGTGGAGTGTTGCAGGGAAGCTCTGAGAGCGCTCCGTGACTCCGATGCACGGTTCGTCCTTGCGGACGTGTCATCCTGCGGAAGCGATTGGTGACCTTCGCTCTTGTCCACTTGCAGATCCCCAGTGTACTCAAGTGCTATTTTGCGAATGCTTGTGTCTTCGTGACTCGGAGGAGTAGCTTTGGCAACTTTCAGAGCTGACTTGATAGATTGTGACGGCTTCTCTTCAATTACAAAGACCTGTCGCTTCCTGCTTCTCAATGCACCTGTCTTCTTCACGCCGACAGAAGAAGCTACTTCCCAGGCGGCGCCGGATACCACTTTCAAGGTCTTCGCAGCGGCTGTTGGAGCGTCTGATACCAGCAGCGAATTCGCATTGCGTTTGGTATTCTCCTGGGGGATTTGAAAGGTGGCGTCTTTAAACCCGACTTGTGGGTCGGACTGTGGCAGGTCAAGTGTCGCAGCATCATGTGCATCAGGATGCACAGCATCGTCTGGGGGGCACACTAGATCGGTCGGGTTGTCATGATTATCCCCCAAACCGGACGCTGGCCCACCATGACGGAGGCTCTCACGAAGCATTTGATCGTGACTCGAGAAATTCGAAGGTAGCGATGGTAGAATGGGGGCTTCGGGCAGCTGAGCTGACGGAAGTTCGGCTGTTATACATGACCCGGATGCCTCCTTCTCCAGGGACGGGGGTCCGACCTCTTCATGGCTTGACAGAGGCCCTTCTTGTGCTGTCTTCAGAGAAGCCGAAGCATCGCTAGAGGCGAGGTGGACGTCAGCCACGCCTGTCATAGAACCCTCCTCGCGAACCTTAGGTGGCGAAACTCGGGGTATGGGTTGACATAGTCCCTGCGCTTCGGCTCGACCAGCATGAACAGAGTCAGAATCCGTCACAGCCGTGGCAGGCTGATCTATCGTACGCTTTGACCGCAAGATTGCATACTCCGCTCTAGATTTGTCTGTCCAAGCTGGTTGTGCATTGCTGTCACGCTGCCGGAGGGGCGTTTGAGGTAGCCTCTGCTTCGAAAGGGAACCGGAGGGATGTGTTGCTTTTCCGTCAGACGGCCCAGTTCGCGACTTCAGAGGAGACGAAAAGCTTGTTAAGAGTTGTTCGGCCGGTTTCGAAGGCGATATACGGGGACGAGGGAGGTTACCGGAGCTGGAGCTGAAGCCGGCAGCACCAGACAGAGCGCCGGGACCCATAAAAAGCCGAGAAGTGTCCCCTGGTTTCATCTTTCTTTCGCTCGGTGATGGCGGCGAAGGTTCTGGAGTGTCACCCGCTGTCTTGTATGCCTCATTCGTCTTCAACCAGTTTTCGATCTTGGGATCCCTGGACGTGGGGCCATCGCCGGAGACAGAAATCTCTCGGGTTCTTGGCTTTCGTGTACTGCTCAGCATCGAATCTTGGTGATCCGCAAAGCGGTCCTTCTTTTGCCCTGTGAGGTATATATCTGCTTCTTCAGCCACCTGCACCTCCTGCCTCTTTGCCGGTATTGGTGAAGCCCGATCCGTCATGTGGGTAGGCTCGGTAAAATGCTCAGAGCTCTGTTGACTCGTTGTAATTTCTTTAATATTGGCAATCTTCTGTTTGGCCCAAGGATTCTGCCATCCATCACCAAATGGACCCCTCAGTCCAGCCGTGAGAATGAACACAGGCTGTCCACGCAGGTAACCTGTGGCGTGCGCCTCGATCCGTCGTCGCTTCGCCGCTCTCTGCTCTTCGTTCTCTTCGATATCGCCATCTTGATCGTAAAATACGACTGTGTCTTTGCATATGGGGATTCCGTCGGCAGAAATTGGCGAGACTGGTCTGGGGTATTCAGGTGCCCTAGGTCTGACGATGGGCATGACCGCCCGGTTCAGGAATCGAAATACCGGTCCTTACCCCAGATGGAGTACAGAAAGAAAACCGTAGAATGACAAAAACGCTCAATGCATCGAAGCTGCAGAAGAAAGCGTACGACTCTACTGGTAGTGGTGGTGAGTTGGTCATGCTGGTGGCTACCTAAGTGGAGGCAACTTTAATTGATCTTTACGCGTGACTTGACGCGCGCCTGAATGACTCTACACTCGCCCGTAGTCGAATCTTCCACTGACTGCATAATCACGTGGGAGGTTAGGAGGAACTCATCGAAGCATCGTAATCATTCACCATCAAAAGTTCCAATGCTTTAGAACGTACGGTTGTTGACCAAGATGTGCGGAGATCATTAACGCAAGATTACTGTCTGCCATACTAGCCCTAGAGCTGACTATCTAATTGTTTTGGTTCTGCTTACAGGCGCACGCAACCTGTAGGTGCAGGAATTTTGTGCCACAAGAGGAGACTCGTAAGGCAGACGACCGTCATAATATCCACCACCCTACTGCAGACTCCTCCAGGACTAAACTCGTTGAAGGAAAGGGTATCGATGCAAGCAATTAACCGTCAAGTAAGAAAACACGTCTGTTGTCCGTTTCGACCCTACTGGGTGACGCCGTCGTAGTAGGTTCCACTGGGGTTGGGCTTGTTCAAGTTGGCACTGCCGTTAGTACCGCCCGAGCTGCCGAACGCCTGGTCTACCTGGTTGCTGAAACCAGCAGTGGCATGACTGGGGTTGGCGGCGGACATCGGGTTGCTCGCTGCGGTTGTTCCGGAAACAGCTGACATATCATCGCGAGTGTTGGGGTGGTTCCCGCCTCGAATTCGGCCCTCAGCCGTATCATGTGGCTTTCTCGTGATCTTCCCGGACTTGGGAAGGTCGGAAGACTCCTTCGCGCTACCGATGCTGAAGATAGGAGATTCCCATCGGTCGCCCTTGCGAGCAAGATCCTTGTACTCGGTGGCCTTGGTTGAAACACCTCCGGGCAGGTTGATATGTTTGAACATAGAATCTTCCTTGGTGACCGCGACATTGACGTTGGTCTTCGAAGCCTTCTCCTTGGCCTTCTCCTTCTTCTCGGTCATCATCTTCTGGTAGGAGTTGAAATAGGATTGCCAAACATTCGGGGCGTTTTCAGGATCATCCTTGGTCGCTTGCTTGCCGCGTTCCACATCTTGGTGCACGCTGTAAGCAAAAGCGTCAGCCTTGGTGAAGGTATCCTTGATCTGCTTCTCGAGCACTTTCTGAATGACCGGCTTCATCACCTTGAGCAACAGTGGCTTGGCAATGGTGAACAATAACTTGTGATTGGACTGCTTGATCTTCACACTCAGATTCTTAATAGTGACGTCGACTTTGTCCACGGCGACAAAGTGGGTGCGGTCGCTCGCAGTCGCATTTCGGGCAGAGATTTTGAAGCTGAAACCCTCGCCTCCGAGGAAAATGTCCATGACACCTTTATCGGTGATGGATGGAAAACCTTGCTTCTTCTTGATGTAATAGGCAACATCTCGAAGATCCATCTGGACACCAGAGCCTGCAATGGTGACCTTGTTGTCCCTCTTGTTGGAGACTCCCTTGCGCCCCATGCGGAAGTAATTGTCACTGCCGAACTCGAGCACATTGGGGAACAGGTTATCGCTTTCGATGACAAGATTTTCGACAACAGCGTCAATCATCGGGTCCGAGACCTCAATTCTAGGAATGGGAATGTAGCGAGTGTTCTCGAAGATTTCGGGAATGATGACCTCTGTGATATCCTTGATCAAATGAGGCTTGAAGGTGGCCTTGCCACTCTCATCGTTGCCGAGATCCAAGAATAGCTTCTGCACAGCGTCTCCAAAAGCCTTGTTCTGCGGATCCTGGTCGAATTGATCAGCGAGGAATTTGACCTCGTCAAGGATCCGGTCGGTGTGGTCTCGGTAGCGGTCGCGGAGGAGGAAACGGCCGTGATCGTGCAGGCGGTTGTACTCATCGGTGGCCTCGTCTTGAAGGATGTATCCCTGCTCTTGAAGGCATCTGCGAATGTATCGATCGACAGCCTTGAACCAATCCTTAAGCTCCGGGTCACGATCGGCATCGCGGTAAATAGTGTTCAATGCATCGAAGAAGTCATCAGTGCTAGTGTAATTGGCAAAGCGTTCGATGAGGGTCTTGAACTTGGTCAGCGCGTGTTTGTTATCGCGGATTGCAGCTATACAAACCTTCAAGTTAGCCTCTGCACTCTGCAAACGATTATCTCCATGAGCACCTTTGACAGTCCCAGCAGTTTGCGAGGTCAAGTTGTTGGCGTGACCGCCGTACTCTTCTGCGAGAGAGAGCAACGTATCGATGGCTTGGCGATCTGTTGAATTTGTTAGCTTCCATATTCACTACAGCCCAAGAAGACAACGTACAGTCTGAGTGACCTTGGATCTCAACCACCATCTTCTTGAGACGCCAGATAGTCTGGTCACGGCGCTCTTGCGGAAATTTCTTGTTGGCATAGTTCTTCGTTCGTTGGGCCGTGGCGTTCTTGGCTTTCTTCGCGTCTTCCTTACGCTCATCTGGGATATTCTGGTCCGCACGAGACTGTAGGTGATCTGCTGCATTTTGCAATCCCGAAACCCCAGCTTCACGGTTGTCCTGGCTTGGGTGTTGCTGGGCGGTATCCGTGCCTTGATTGGCGGCTTCTCTGACGTCATCGCGGCTGAGAGGCGAGTTCTTGTTGAAGGTGTCGCGTGCCTGGTTCCGAATGTTCTCTCGAGACAAGTCGGGAACGTCATGCCAGGTGTTGTCTTCAGCCGGGTCGTCGATCTGGTTCAGTCGATCTTCAGACGGATTGACTTTGCCGGCGACATTCTGAGCAGCGTCACCAGCGACATCGCGCATGAGGACGACGGCATCGCTGAGGAGTTTGCGGAACTGGCCATTGGAGAGAACAAGTCTGCCGAGAGTCTTGAGGCCATCGAGGGCTTGGTCACCGTGTTGCCGGGCGGTGTCTTTGTCCGTAGGGGCATTGGGGAGGCTGGCATTACTGCCGTCCAGATTCTGGGTGTCCCAAATGAACTCCTGGAGCAGGTTTCCCTCGTTCTTCGACAAGAGAAGATGTTGGGCTTGGCGGATGACCTCCCTCAAGTCGGCAACGAGCTCGCGGCCCTCACTGGAGAGCTTCGAAGATGGTGAGGAGAGGAATTTAGTGCTGAGAGCGCTGTTCAAGGCGACATCGATTTGCTTGTTTGAAGGGACCTTGCCATTGGAGAAGGCTTGGAAGATCCCGTAGAGTTGGAGCTTCTGGTTGATGTCCTTCTCCTTGGTGGCGTTGTCTGTAGGACGATTGACCGTCGCCATGGTGAACGTGGACCAATAGAAAACTGTGCGAAATGGGTATCACAACGATAGCAAATGAAGAAAGAAACTGCGGATGCTGGCGCAGTCACAATACTGGGGGAGCTGGGTTGGTCTTCGAGTGTGTGGGAAGGTGTGTTTATGGTATGAAAGATGCGATGGGTTTTGTGTGAGGATAATATGAAAACTGAAGAACAGGGCAGAGAAGAGGAGAAGTGATGTAGTCATGAGTGAATGCGGCAGAGGCCCGTGTTGCATTACCTCACTGACCGCTCACTGGGAAAGCGGTGGCACCAGGCGTCACCGAAGCACGCGCACATGGTGCTGTTTGTTCCAAGTTTGGGAAGGATCTAACCATGATCTCGCTGGAATCGACCAGGGATCGGCAAAGCCTGTGGCTTGCCTCCAGTCGAACATGACAAGCGCGATGTCGACAACAGGTCGAAAGCGACAAGCTGAGCATCATCTTGGTCGAATTAAGGTGGAGAACACTTCCGAAGTTGATCGCGGAGGAGAAACAGAGCTAACCATGACATCACCAGCCACAAAAACGGGGTTTGCGAGCTCTAGCAGCATCCAGCGTCTGCTTTCCACGCCTGCTGCATTCCTTGAGCTTTTGTCTTCGCCCTCGAGTGTCAGCAAGCCTGTTTGCAACTCTTGCAAACCGCCCGATCTTCAGATCGTCCTCATCGTGAGCCAGAATAAGCGAGCGAGAAATCCACCTAGGGATACCCTAAACAAGCAATGGTTGAGTCCTCATTCGGCTCTCACGTTTTCTTCTTGATATTTTGTTGCTGGGCCCCAGCCACTAAGCTGAGCGTTGAGAACCTGTAGCTCATAGAACGATCTGGTTTGCCAAGCAGCGAGGCAGAGCGAAAGTCGTCGAATCACTCCGATTCGATGTCACCACCTTACCACCTCACTGGAGCATGCCAAAGCTCATCTTCGAGATCAAGCCACTTTCATCACGAGCTCAACCGTCAGTCACCCTAGTGCTCCCCGATCAGTAACCTAAAGAATGTTTCGCGGCCAGGAGGTGTGGAGAGTGTTCGTCATCGCCTGCCTCAGGCCAAGTTCATCACGATCAGGACAGGGAGACTCCGCAGCAGATCGAGGGACTGCAAAATCTTCCGCTGCTCTCCACAAGATGACGTTTAACGTTGATGGAATCGCAAGGCTTGATACGGATCTTTTTCCACCACTTAGATGTTAGATGTAAATTTCACCCCAGGTGCATGTGGCTGAAGCATCACCACGTCTACAGCCACGCTTACCTAAGTGAACAGCTGTCACGTGGGAGCGCGAAGCTGCCTGAACGCGCTTTCATTTCCCCGCCTCCATTTCGGCTTCGGATTATTCTGAACAAACGGAGTACTGCTTAGACACGTCCAGCTGCCGTTCACTAACAGCGTAGCTTTCTTTATTGACCCCCGTTCAAGAGCTTTAACCGATCACATACCAGCGTTACTACTCTGATGGTATGACATAGTGGCACCCCCCAATCTTGCAGTATGGCAGGTCCCTCCAAACTCAGGGCCTCGAAACGTCCATTCCGTGAACAGAAGAAGCAGATGAAGCTCCAATTCTCGCCTCTGCCATCATCATCATCGCCCGCGAAGGAAAGATACAACGCCGCCGTGCAAGATCGACTGGCTGGTATATCCTATGAAGGAGCAAAAGATCCAACTCGAGCAGCCCGTAGGCTGTCGCCCGAGTCAGCCTCTTTACCCAGTCCCGAGCCTTCCTCCCAGATCGCAGGCGAAACCCAAGGTATGATAGAGTACATGGATTGTAACCACGAAGCTGATCGGGCTCAGAGGCTACTGAAATGTCTCCGCATGCCCCATTCCCATCCTTGCTCACCCACGACCGCGTCACGCACATGCGATTGGGAAGTGATTCCGATGAAGACGATCCGGTGTCGCCAGCTCAGAAGAGACGCAGAGTCTCCAGTGCCTTACAGCTAGTTCCTACGCCTACATCAATGCCTTCGCGACGATCTAGGCGGTTGCACCAGGGTTCATCCTCTCCACTGAGATCAAGTATACCGGCCTCGGATGAAGACGTATCGGACGAGCTGCAAAGCTCACCACAAAGAAGGAGGTCTGGTAGGCTGCGAAGGAGATTGTTGTCACACACGGCACGCACCACCAGATCAGAGTCTACCCACGGAAACGTCTCGCCCCCCACACTCTCCCCCGCCAATAAAGAATTGACGTTGTCCGATATTGGATCGCCAGAAACAAGTGACAATGATGTGGTCATGGTAACAAAACCTACTCTCCGGAGGAAGTCAAGAATAGATATGGACGATCCTTTCGTCGTCAACGACGACCAATTGACGGCTGCTTCAGACGAGGAGCATCCGAGATTGAAATCACCGAAGAAAAGCAAGATCAAAAGCAATGTTTTCATCGTGAGTGATGATGAGGTTGAATATGTCTCTTCTGAAGATGAAGACGATGACGACGGCGTGCATGCGCCTGTCAGAACCCGCCGGCATCCATCAATGCCCAAATCTTCATCCAAACGCCGCGAACGGACCCGAGAGGAGCAGGACGAGCTGGACGAAGATCTCCAGGATCTGCAAGACTCGGACCAACGGACTCCGCACACCGAGACGCGCCGGACGAGAGGCGGCCCCGTTACTACTGAAAGAGACAAAACAAGGGAGCACTTCGACCTTCTGAAACGAAGACGCGCTGGCGAAAAGATCACTCGCATTGCAGATTCGGATGAAGACGAGATCGATGGAAATGTGGAGGCTGCTGACATCGAGTTCATCGGCGAGCCGGATGATGACCTTTCTGAAGGGCAGTCGGACACCAGTGGTATGGACTCGGGGGTACACGACCGCGATGTGGAGCACGTCGTGGACGAAGACGATTTTATCGAATATGATACTGAGGGCAGGCATGGTCGACCACATCAGGACATCCCTCTGCAGTTCACATCATTTGCGTCTAAGAAGCCAAAGGAATTGTTCATTCATATTATCGAGTGGATGGTGAAGAACAAAATCGCGCCGGCCTTCAACCGGGAAGACCCTGTCTACAACTTGGCTTTTGCTCGAGTAGATGACCAAGTCCGGGCGCAAGCGGGAAGCAGGCTGATCTCTTCTGCGTGGGGAGACCAGTTCAAGCACACAATCTTGGCCAGGCCGAATATGAGGGTCGTGGCACTTCCAGGCGAAGACGAGGACCACATGCGCACATGCGATGCTTGCAACCGGACCAACAATCCAGCTCGATACGAATTCGTCTTCAGTGGCGAACCCTACTTCAAGAAGACATTGGAGCCTGTCGACAACTCGGATGATGAAGAGGACGAGGAAGCAGAGGAGAGGGAAAGAGCTGACAGTGATGATATTACATATGACGAGGCGGGTCATTTGATCGCCTCGTCGAGCACACGCTTCTTCCTGGGTCGCTTTTGCGCTGCCAACGCCGAGATGGGCCACAAACTGACGCATTGGAAATACCGCCTGAACGAGTCACTCATGGCTTATCTGGAATTGCAAGGCGTATTGTCAGCGGACGCGATCGTCGCTCGCGAGAAAATGAACAAAAAGAAGCGTGAAAAAGAAGCGGAAAACATCGTGGACAGCATGGAAGCGACAGGCGTGATTGATACCTTCTGGAAAGACTTCGAGAACGATCTCAACGATGCAAGGTTGGGTATGGAGGACTTTGAGAAGAGAGGCGGCCGGACGAAGGGGAGGGCCGGCGCCATTCGAGCGAAGAGTGGCAGGTTAGTCAAGGAATGGGACAAGGATAGATTGAAAGTGGCAGTGGCCCTGAGCTCTGACTCGGAGGGTGAATGAAGGCGAGTTCGGGGTGGTGCATAAGGAAACTTCTCTCTGGGGAGTATTGTGTACAGGCTTCGACACAGGAGCTCTGTATTGATGCCCATTTGAAATCTGCAAACAGATGGCTTTTCTACGAAATCACGGTTGATGAGTCGTTGAGCATCGTCTTGGAGCATTTCGAGGGTCTGAATATGGGTAATCTGGACAGAAGACGGATATTTGCTGGTCTGAGGTGTCTTGGATATGCCCTGCTCGGCTCTCCGTATCATCAACGACTTGTGCAGCGGACAGCCATATAGCGCAGATCCCAAATCCCAAATCAGGGCGTCTTTGAGTTTCAATGTCCGATTATGCTAGTAACGACAGAGGTGAGATGAAATTCTATCCCACCTAGTAAGGACTCTTGCCCCTATTCTCCGGCATCCAAGAACGGTTCAACATAAGAAGGGGATGATGTGTTCATGTCGGCGTGTTGTACAAGTCCTCCGCAAAAGCCTCCACCTCTCGCTTGTTTGTCACACGCTCGGCGGAAGTGTTCAATAGTCGAGACTCGATGCGCGTGGATTGGCCTTCCCAATGGCTGTGGTCATCCAGTGCCTCAAAACACCTATGCCGTCCTCGCTTCTCTCTCTTCCTCTCATTTCCCACTCTCAAGGTGTTCACAATGCCGGCTTCGCCTCTCCCTGCCCAGGCTGTATCATCCCCTGTGCCCCCTGTTCCATCATCCCCCGTTGCCGCTCCTCCTCCATGTACTGCTGTTCCTCGCCTAGTGCGAGCGCATAAGGGATGCCCAAGAGCAAAATACTCGTCGCGATGACCCACAGGCTTTTGCCGCCGTAGTTCACCGTCGTGCTCGTGGCGGAGTACAGGGACGACGAGGCGGAGGAGATGCGCGCCCTGGCTTTGGGAGGGATGATGTCGCGCAGGGCGGAGAGGCGGTCGAGGAGCGATTCGTCCAACTGTGGGGAATCGGCGGCGTCGTCGTCGGAGATCTCAGAATCTAGCGCGGGAAATAAAAATGTTAGCTGGTCCGATCGATGGTAGGGCATGGCGTTTATTAACACTGCACGGCAGAGTGCACAAATAATGAAACCGGAGGAGCCCCAGTGACAAAGCAAGAGAACTGAAACAACAGTCGATGATGCGGACAAGGCAGATCTGAAGACATACCGGTGTCGGTGTAGTCATCGTCGTCGTCGGCCAGGAGAGCGCCATCGGCGGTGCCTTCGGGCTTGTTGACGAAGTGCTCGTCTTCGAGTTCTTCGAGCCTGACCATTTTGGAGGTGCTTTGTTGGGGATGATACTGTGGTTGGGCTTTTCAGACGTGCGCGCTGACGGAGCGTGCTTGGGCAGCGGTAACTTGGTAGGAACTCCGACTGGTATGGAACGACCAAGCTGCAAGGATGGATGGTACAGTTGGTAGGGTCAAAGTGATGTGATGCCGTGATGGAATCGAGAAATCTGGAGCTCGCATGCTCGTTCTCCGCAAGTAAATTTTGGCCTTGAGCTCCGGCGCGGCTTAAAGCCTTAAGCGCACATTATTGGGTGGAGCTTTGATACTTCTAAAGAATCTTTCCTGGGCAATCTTCTCTTGTCGTACAAGAGGACGAAGCACTGTATCATGCAACATATTGGGAACGCTCTGGTCCCTCCCAAGGGAGAATGAGGGTGTCGGTACCTGGATGTCACTAGAGGATGTTGTTTACTCCTACGCGGACAAGCCCCCGAGTATATCAAACTTAAATGCTTTGGCGACAGTCCTCGGTTTGACAGTAGCATACTCCCTACAGCCACCGGCAACTCAGCTGGCCGACAATAGCACAAACGGATATATTGAGATGATGAACCGGCTCGTCGAGCTCGGCGTCGATACGAAGGGCCAGGCAAAATACCGCTGGACTTCTCTGCATGTGGCAGAATAAATGGGACATCTGGCAGCGGATCGACTTCGCGATCTGGTGGTGTCGAAGTGCCGGAATGCCTAGGCTCCACAGCCATACATGTATCGATGCAACACTTCCAAGCTGGTACTGTTCGCATTCTGGCCGACGCACCAAGCCAGCGCTGGACTCGCATGGGACTGGACAATGACTCTGCACCCGCTGGGGAGTGCTTCTATGGGTACACATCTGCCGCGAAGAATGGTTTCGATCGTCAGCTTGGACCAGCCGCGATACATACCCATTCGGACAGCATAGTGGAACGGCGGCTGGCTAATATTGGGCTTCAAATTGTCTGTGGGCAACCTTCAACGCACGTGAAGAGCACGGGTACGAGGAAAGAGGTATGTGAGTGCAAGGAAGATATAACAGCCGTCTCTCTCCCACTGTCTTGTTTGCATAATGGGGTCAGCTGGCTAAAGGCAAGGTGAAACCAAGGTACACTTGCAAGCTTTCCCGACTCCCTCAGGAACGACTGGCTCACTCAAGTGCCGAGAAATATTATGCTGTTCTTGCTAATGAACTGGTTCCCTGGTGACCGTGGGCTTCATCCTCCGTGTCCTACTCGGTCTCTATAACCTTAGACATTGGCATTGATGATTTCGACGACTAATAAGAAGGTTAGCGTGCTGTCGGATGCAGCTCCATTGTGAGGGAAGGTTAACGCACAAGCAGGTTTCAAGCTGGCACCGCCAACCAAGAATCCATCCACGTCGGGTTGCTTGGCCAAATCTCTGCAGTTCTTCTCACTGACACTTCCGCCATAGATGATTCTAGTATTCTCAGCAACTTCAGGCGAGACAGCCTCGCTCAGCCATTTGCGGATCGCGGCATGGACCTCTTGTGCTTGTTCTGCAGCCAGGGTTAGTCAGTCCAACAATCAGACATTCAGGCAGGCAACATGACCAATGCCCGACACGGACATGTTAACATACCGGTTGTGGCGACTTTCCCTGTGCCGATGGCCCAGATCGGCTCGTATGCAATCACGATATTCTTCCAGCCATCCTTTCCGATGGTCTTATTCACCGCCTGTAATTGCCTTGTGACCACATCGGTGGTAATGCCCTGCTCCCGCTCCTCGAGACTCTCGCCACAGCACAAAATGACACCGATACCGCCATCCAGCGCGGCTTTGGTCTTGCAGGCAACGAACTCGTCTTCTTCACGCAGGATGGTCCGGCGCTCGGAGTGGCCCAGCAGCGTCCAGGTGATGTTGCTGTCTTTCAACTGTGCTACCGAGATCTCGCCGGTGAAGGCGCCGTTGGGCCGGTCAAACACGTTCTGGGCCGCAACTTCGATGTTGGGCGAGAGGTGCTCACGCGCGAGCAGGAGGTATAAGCTTGGAGGTGCGATGACGACTTCGGTATTAGGATCGAGCTTGGAGGTGGAGAGGTTGTGGACGATCTCTTTGATGGACTGGATCGTCCCATTCCTGCAACATTGCGTCTCGTCAACTACTGTTTTCTAGCTTGTGAATGAGGTAATGTTCTCGTGGCAGATATACATTTTGAAGTTACCACCGACCTGGAGACCGTTAGCTGGTACTCGCACTGGGGGCAATCTCGCAGTAACAGGAACGAGGCCTTCATTCAGCACTTTCACAGGAGAGATCCCTGTCCCAGGGTAGGGCAGAGCAGGTTAACTTACAAAGAACTTGCGACCCATGTTGGCGGTTGGGTTTCTTGCTTCGAATTACCAAGGTTACGTAGAGCAAGTAGGGTGCTTCAAGCGTTGTGTGGTGCTTAGGAAATTGAAGTCCGTGCCAGCGAGCTCAACAAGGACGAACGGCAAAATATGTGCAATGGGGCACTTCGGAAAGCGAGCATCAAAGGACTCGGAAACAGCTCATTGAAAATGCAATCGGCCTCTGTTGACAGCGGGGCTCCGTTGCCAATGACGAGGGGCAGCGACTAAGATGCCAGCCGGGGGAAGCTTTGCCGAGCGCATATTCCGGCTTTTCACGATAGAACCAACACGGCGACAAGAGGAAGAGGCCGGATCTTTTTCGTCATATGTGAGCCGTTATGAGATTGGGATCCTGGCGCGACTGGCCTAGCATTGCCCAAACATTGATGTACAGTGATCTGCCTGACACCAGGCCTGAGAGAGGAGGCAAAGATCGAGATGGGGCAGTGTTTGACCCCCAGAATGAGGCCGAGACGCCGTGCATGTCATTGATATCTCGTCGTCTTCATCGCGCACGAAAGGATGCAAGAATCCTGCACCTCGTAGGGCTTGGATAAGAGAAGAGTGGGGTCGAGACGCACAGCCTTGCACAAACCCACAAATGATTCGCAGTAGTGATGACCTCAGGATGTGCGTGGATATGCAACGGAGACGCAGTGAACACAAACCGCGTTTCTCGAAATATTTTCTGCCTCGCGTGCATTGAGTTGGTTCTCCCTTTTGCGATCAAAGGGTGATCCTCAGCAGAGTGTCAGTCAGTCTTCTCTCTGGCTTTAGGGCTATCCTTCCCTGCTGAATCCGTATTCACTTGGCGTCTGTCACCTCCCTGTGCCGTTCCAATCGCCCTAACTCTCGGGCTTCCGCACTTGTAGGGCGATGGCAGCCAAACGCTCAGACAATATTGACGGTGCCCCTGCAAAACGCCAGAAAACGTCCGGCGAGATGGACCCTCGAAACAACCCATATCTCGCTCACCACTATGAGAACGACACCAACGGCTACTCAAACGGCACTTCGACCCCTCCAATCGTCAAAGATGGGCCTCTTTCCAAACTACAGCGACATAAGACGACCGCCGCGCAGGCCCGAGAAGCCGAAGATGGCAAAATCAGCCCTTTCACAGGTCGTCCTCATTCCGAAAGATACTTCTCCATCTTGCGCACCAGAAGAGATCTCCCTGTCCATGCGCAGCGAGACGAATTCCTCCAGTTGTACCAGAAGTCGCAAATTCTTGTCTTCGTGGGCGAGACGGGTTCAGGCAAGACCACACAGATTCCGCAGTTTGTCATCTATGACGACTTGCCTCAGCGAGAAAAGAAACTGGTTGCCTGCACCCAGCCACGGCGAGTCGCTGCCATGTCCGTGGCGGAGCGCGTCGCTAACGAGATGGATGTCAAACTCGGTGAAGAAGTGGGCTACAGCATTAGATTCGAGGACATGACCAGCCAGAAAACGATTCTCAAGTACATGACGGACGGCATGCTGCTGAGAGAAGCCATGAACGACCACGACCTCAAAAGATATTCCACCATAATTCTTGATGAGGCCCACGAGCGAACATTGGCCACCGATGTGTTGATGGGTCTACTGAAGGAGGTCGTGCAGCGGAGACCAGATCTCAAGTTAATCATCATGTCCGCCACCCTTGATGCTCAAAAATTCCAGCGCTACTTCAACGACGCGCCTTTACTTGCCGTCCCTGGACGAACTTTTCCCGTCGAAATCTTCTACACCCCTGAGCCTGAGCGCGACTATGTCGAGGCTGCGATCAGAACCGTCTTGCAGATCCATGCCACAGAGCCTGAAGGAGACATCTTGCTCTTCTTGACTGGCGAAGAAGAGATTGAAGACGCATGCCGCAAGATCTCGCTGGAAGCGGACGAGATGATCCGTGAGGCCGACGCTGGTCCCATGAAAGTCTATCCCCTGTACGGCACGTTGCCTCCTGCTCAGCAGCAGAAGATCTTCGAGCCAGCGCCACCGCCTCGCAAACCGGGCGGCCGTGCAGGACGCAAGTGTATCGTTGCCACCAATATCGCCGAAACGTCTTTGACGATCGACGGCATTGTGTATGTGGTTGATCCAGGCTTCTCCAAACAAAAGGTGTACAACCCGCGCATTCGAGTCGAGTCCCTGCTGGTTTCACCGATCTCGAAGGCTTCCGCTCAACAGAGAGCTGGTCGTGCCGGTCGTACTCGGCCTGGAAAGTGTTTCAGACTCTACACTGAAGGTGCATTCAAGAAGGAACTGATTGAGCAGACGTACCCGGAGGTCCTCAGATCCAATCTCTCATCAACCGTTCTGGAGTTGAAGAAACTGGGAATTGACGACTTGGTCCATTTTGACCTAATGGATCCTCCTGCCCCGGAGACTCTGATGCGGGCACTGGAAGAGCTGAATTATCTCGCATGTTTGGACGACGACGGCAATCTGACGACCATGGGTAGACTCGCATCTGAATTTCCCCTAGATCCAGCACTTGCGGTCATGCTCATCTCCTCACCAGAGTTTTACTGCTCCAATGAGATCCTGAGCTTGACGGCTCTGCTGTCCGTACCGCAGATCTTTGTGCGGCCGGCATCAGCCCGAAAACGTGCAGATGAAATGAAGGCCCTCTTTGCTCATCCTGACGGCGATCATCTGACGATGTTGAATGTTTACCACGCTTTCAAGGGCCCTGAGGCACAAGCCAATCCACGACAATGGTGCCACGATCACTTCTTGAGTCTTCGTGCTCTGCAATCTGCCGACAACGTCCGAATGCAACTGAAGCGCATTATGGAGCGGGAAGAATTGGAGTTGATGTCCACGCCATTCGAGGACAAGAAGTACTACGAGAACATTCGGCGTGCCCTGGTCTCGGGATTTTTCATGCAAGTTGCTAAGAAGGAGGCCAATGGCAAAACCTACACTACTGTCAAGGATAACCAGACCGTTCTCTTGCATCCGAGTACCGTGCTCGGCCAGGAGAGTGAGTGGGTTGTTTACAACGAATTCGTCCTCACCAGCAAGAACTACGTGCGGACAGTTACAAGTGTGCGTGGCGAATGGTTGCTCGACATCGCACCAGGTTATTACGACATAGACAGTTTTCCAAAGGGAGAAGTGAAGACCGCTCTTCAAAGACTCCAAGAGAGGGTGGCTCGACGCCAAAAGATGAAGGGCGGAAGATAGACATGCGGCTGCGGGTATCCGAGTTGTGCTGTTGGATTCGAAAGCTGCGGTTAGAGCATCAATACGGCAACCACACGAGCGTCGACGGCGCACCCACACCTGGTCGGCCATGGAAACGGAATCTGTAAATGTAGTCACCTGAAAAGACAGGCATCAGAGATGACTGCCTGGGAGGCCAACTATGTCTTACTACAGGCTGATGCGCACGTGCTTTTCTATCTGTTTATCGCCATCAAACCCCATGGTATCTCCTGCAGTATAGTATCTTAATGGACGACTCTGGTGCCTATCCAAGGCGACAGACATCGCTACGGGATACGAATTATGATCCTTGTTTACTGCCGCGTGAGTCTTCCATCCCGTGGTTCTCACCTGTTCTACTGTCCTGTGGCGACTGCTTCTGGAACCGACAAGCATATGTGGCAGTTGTCGAGATGCATATACGAGTTGGCTTGGACACTTGCCTGTAAAGGCAACATGTCCTGCACGTCCTGGGATCGAGGCTGTGCCTGGTTCTGCCCCACGAGGGCCCTGACACCTAGCTGGACCAATGGTCGAGTGTCTTTCTAGCCATCCAAATCTCTTGCAGATGTCGATACTATCTTAGGCTCCCCGACAATGATCCTCGTCGAGTCGGAAGAATTCCCAAGCGGTGAGGGTGAACCCCGCAGCAATGTCAGCGCGGGTGTGCTTGGAACCATGTGTTGCAAGCGGCGACGGAGATCGTCCAGTAACGAGCGTCAAAAATCAGAGGGTCAGCGCATGTGTGGACTCGTGCGCCTGGATTCGTGGAGGCGGTCGCGCCTCGTTGCGAGGAAGCTGATAATGTGTTGTCATTGTCTGGAAGGCGTCTGGCGATGAAGGGGTGAAATTGAGCAGCGGTAAAAGCAGCGGCAAAAGCAGCGATGGCGAAGCGGCCCGAATTCAACGCTGACAAAAAATTGCCCGTCTTGCGCGCAGTTCTCAAATGTTTCTCACTGTTCTTTCTTATCCGAGTCACCACTTTCCAGTTGAGGTTCATCGTGCATTCCCTTTATGAAGGTCTGTGAGAGTCGTTTCCATCTCCTAGCCTAATTCGTAGCGGTCTCAGGCCTTGCTCAGGCATCTCTCAACCATATCGTTGCCATTGGCTGCAATGTCACTGCGTCTCACCTCTTTCTCAGCCTCACGAGTTGTTCCTTGCTAGCACGCCGCGTCAATTAACATGCCTGCCTCCCCGCTTACATGGCTGCAAACAAGGTGAGAGACTAAGCAGTGCGCGCCTCATCCCTCTCGGCGTGGGCTGGTCGGCCTTCTTGGCGTGGCAGTGTATGTATTGAACACTGGTGGCTTCGGCCCCTCCATCGGTCGGGCGTCTCGTAGAGGCGTAAACGAAATGCGTGCTAACTGCCTTTTCCTGTGGCGATGTTCCTTGGGTTCTATCATTTCTCAGCGATTTGTGCAGCATCGCCCCCGAGCTCCTGCCACTGTTACTCTTAGAGTTTCTATTGTTGTGTCTGTGCCCGTACACTGGCCCTGATGTTGGCGGGCCTTGTCCATATCCCTCTGTTGTGTTCGCATCCACCCTTGACAGTCTCCCGTCCTGACCTTCATGACCGTTCCAGTGCGACATACACCCATTCTGGGATGAGGGATCAAACAGACTATGGGCTTCGAGAACAACTCAATTTACACACCAGATCTCATGATGGCGCACATCCGACGACAAGATGCCTTCGATGACTCCGACTACGTTTCATGTCCCGTTGGAGGAGAGTGGTGGAAGTGCGAAGACGTCAACTACCCGACCTTCATAGGATGCTGCTCGAGTAATCCATGTTCCGGTCAAATGTGTCCGGAAGAAGATCTATATCCCCTGGGTTTCGGTTCTGTCACGGCTCCGACCCCCGACTATCCAAATCATTCCTGTCCGTATGGCGGACTCTGGTATACCTGTGCAGCGAACACTGTGCCCTTTCAGGGTTGTTGCGAGAGCAACCCATGCAACGGGCAAGGTTGTCCAGCATCGGACTTGCGAGCAGCGGCCGTACACACCGTCGTGGTGGCGGGAACGTCAACGTTCACTGTTCCTTCCTCGGTCGCGACGAAAAGTCCAACTACAACCACTTCCACAACAGACACTACGACAACATCGGAGCCGACGGGAGAGGGTTCAACGTCAGCCTCTTCTGAGTCAGTCTCGGAATCCATCGATGTAGCTGCGATAGCTGGTGGCGCCGCAGCTGTTACAGTTGTCCTGACAATCATCCTAGGAGTGCTGATCTGTTGGCTTGTTCGAAGGAAGAGGATGAGACTAGCAGAGATCAATTCTGCTCAAGCTGGGACGGCGCCGCAAGACCCAAAGCCGTTCTACAAAGATCCTTTTGGCGCGAGTCCGTGCATGCATCCAATCCTCGGTGGTCTCTTCCAACTGACTTCTCCCAGTTATCTCCCCACTTCCTCGATACAGCCGACGACCTCCATCTTTTGGATACTCTCAGGCACCTTTCTCTCCCGCTCCCACGTATCAGTCCGCACATGTCACTCATCCTCCCCACACCGAACCTCAAGAAGTCATGGGTCTTGGCCTGTCAGAAGTCGAGTTCAATCGCCGCGCCAAGTCAAGATCTCCAGCAAACCACCATGTAGATGGGCCTATCGAGCTTGCGACTCAGCGCTTCTCTGCCACCAATCCCGAGGCTGAGGCCAAGAGCCCTCTTCTAGAAGCACGGCCGAAGCAGAAACCCAAGCCTAACTCCAGGGCAAAAAGAGAAAATGAGGACACGCACCCGAGGCAGTCACGGCTGCGGAGTCGCGCAGCACTGGTGGATTTGCGCGCACAGGCATCCAGAAGTCCCTCGAGGGGTCCGGCAGAAGGATTCGGGCCGAATGATTGAGCAGAACTGCGGAGGGGCCATATATTATCAGACATACACGTGTCAGAATAACGCAAGTACTACTGGACAAACAGTCTGAGCCTCGCAGTGTCCAGCGTTAGGGACGCATTGTTACAAGAGCGAGCCAGAACCGAAACACAGCTGCGAAGTGCAGGGTCGGATCACCGGAATTTGGTCATCGCGGTATGCTCGAAACCAGATTCAAGAACCACAGAAGACCGGGACCATATCACGACTGGGTAGTCGAAGCTGTAAGGACCTACTGATCATGATTTTGGGGTGCAATGCCGCTCGCGCAACTCGGGGAGATCTCGCAGATGCGAGCCTTGGCAAGACATCCAGAGTTTGCCGAACAGTGTCCAGCCGCAATGGTCAGCAGCACAGGGGCATATGGTCGGGAGGGACGTATCACCTCAGCCTATGCGAACACGCCCGCCCGTCACATGTCGAGGATAGTGTGGGTTGCACACAGTACACCTCCGAGAGTGAATCTTGCCAAGAGATTACATTGATGCCACCTGACTTTGAGTAGAAGGGTTATGAACATAGACACGCACACTGTCTATACTGGCAGCCTCCTATTGTATGCAGTACACACTAACGGGAAAGCCTGGTGTCAAAGAGCGATAATTGATTCCAGAGGACACTCCAGACAACCGCGTTCGCCAATGGACTTGATCTCATTGGCTCGGACGTCTAGCGTGTCGTCTTGGCATGTTTATGTAAGCGAGGATTTTCTCAAGCCGTCCTTTGAGAAAGTTGAGACCAAAACCACATTGCGAAGTTAAGCACCCATAGACTCTATCACCCTAGATTTTATGTTGCGGTGCTGCCCATCATCCGCAAAGGAGTCTCTTACTCTTCTAGCTTCTTTTCGTCCCCTGCCAGGACGTTGCTCACGTCTCCTGAATTCTACAATCCAGCACCGCCCACTCACTTATAGCTTTCGACCATTCGTCTTCAAGGGGGAGGACAATGCTCGAAAGACCGCCACAAAGGCCCAAATGCAGAAACGCGAGAATGGTCCTCCCAACCGAGGTGGAAATAGGATGCAGAAACGCGCAAATGTCCCCAACCGAGGCGGCGGCAGTGGGGGTGTTACGAAGCGATTCAAAGAGCAGCCTGGTCGGGAAAACACGACCACCGGCACGGTAGAGGAGGTGTTGGACATTGAAGCCCGGACTCTTCTCGCCAAGTTACGGCTTGATGAAAGCAGTGCTGGGGCCGGTGAAGGGGACGACCACCAGGGTATTTCGAACGGCGACTCACACCACAAAGACCGCGGATCAGAGAGGCTAGAAAGGCCAGGACCACAAACCGAGCTGGACCTCGAAATCCAGGAACTCTCCTCGACGGGCGACGGGCTAGCATACGCTGGCAAGAAAATGGACTTCATCTACGTGGTCCCCTTCGCCGTGCCCGGCGACAAGGTCCTCGCCAAGACGTACCCGCAGAAACCGGACCGTCGGCCGTGGACGAGAGTCGACCTCGTCAAGATCGTCTCACCGTCGCCGAAGCGCAAAGGCGTCACCCCGCAGTGTCCTTACTTCGGCGTCTGCTCCGGGTGTCAACTCCAGATGCTGCCGTACGAGGAGCAGCTCGCGCACAAGAAGACCATCGTGGAGAAGGCGTTCCGGCACTTCTCGGACCTTGACCCTTCGCTCGTCCCGCCCGTGGACGACACGATCGGCTCGCCGCTCAGGTACGGCTACCGCACGAAGATCACGCCCCACTACGACGGTTGTTCGCGGTCGAATCCGTGGAAGCAGGGCGACCAGCCCCCGCCGTTCGGGTTCGGGAAGAAGAACCAGAACCAGGGGAAAGTCCTGGACATAGAGCAATGTCCTATTGCGACGGAGATCTTGAACGCCGGGCTGAAGATCGAGCGGGAGAAGGTGGCCCAGACGTTTTGGAAGAAGCGGACCGGCACGACGGTGTTGTTGAGGGAGAGTACGAAGAGGGAGATGCTTCCGGTGTCGAGATCTCTCGAGGTTCAGCATGAGAATGAGAATGAGAATGGGGAGAAAGAGGGTGTAAATCCCAAAGGCACTGCTGCAACCACAACAACAGAGCAAGAGCAAGAACGAGACCTCTCCTCCCTCCCGCTGGAATTCCCTGGCCCTCCATCCTCGTCCTCATCCTCGTCCTCAACCTCAACGTCGACCTCCCCTTCCTCCTCCACGTCGTCGACAACCACCCAAATAACATACACGTACCAAAACAAACACTTCCGAGACCTAAAGACCTACACGTCCGACCACCGAGCCGTCACGACCGAGCACATCGGCCCCTTCATCTTCAAGACACAGGCCAACTCGTTCTTCCAGAACAACAACTCCATCCTGCCGACCTTTCTGGCGTACATCCGCGACCATATCCTGCCTTTGCCACCGCCTTCATCTCCGTCTCGGTCTCCACGTGTGCCCTCGGCACAGACAGACCCCCCGCCGATCAAATACCTCCTCGACGCGTACTGCGGCTCCGGGCTCTTCTCCATCGCCCTGGCCTCGCGCTTCTCCTCGGTCCTAGGCATCGACATTGACGAGGCCTCGATCCGGTGCGCGCGCGAGAATGCCACGCTCAATGCCTCTGTGCACAAACACCTTCGCGCAGTTAGCGCCAGTGCCGGTGGCAGCAGCAGCAGCAGTAGCAAGGAAAGTAATCTCGGCTTCATCGCCTCGGACGCGCAACATATCTTTGACGACGTGCCTTTCCCCGCGGCGCAGACCGTGTGCATCATCGATCCGCCCAGGAAGGGCGCGTCGCGAGACTTTCTCCACCAGTTATGCGCCTACGGCCCCAGGCGCGTCGTGTACGTCAGCTGTAATGTGCATACGCAGGCGAGGGACGTGGGCATGTTGGTTGCCGGGGTAGGGTCGGAGGTGGAGGATGATGGCCGCACGGGGCCTCGGAAGCGCTGGAGGTATGAGATTGAAAAGCTGGGCGGGTTTGACTTCTTCCCGCAGACAGGGCATGTCGAGGGGGTGTGTTTCTTGAATAGAGTCGAAGACAGCTGAGGCGAAAGTAAAAAGAAAAGCGTTGAGTGTGATTCAGATTGAGCTGAAAAAGAATTCTAGAGGGATTCAGTGCGTTAATATCACCTGTCTGATTGCAATACGGCTCGGTCGAGGTCCTGTGCTTCGGTGCTCGATCAGAATGATAATATAATGCTCATAGAGCGGAATAGAGGTGGATTAGAGCCCAGTCGCCATCATCTTCATCCTTGCGCAGAGGCTACACCACGAACGCGTCGGCCTTGTCTTCGTCCACAACTATGGCACCGATATCTGCCGCTCGATACCAATTGCTGTTGAGCGGTACCCATACACCAAAGACCTTATACTCGGGGAATGAATCAGACGGATCAGAATTGCTGGTTCGAACTGCTTCGTAGAATGGAATATGGGGTTCGCCCTTCAATGCAATGGTGATCGTGTCCTTCTTCTGCGCGCGAGCCTGGCAGAAAGTTTCCCAGTGAACGAGACCGATGCATGTTGTAGATCCGGCCTCAGTCCTCCTTTGTTGCTCAGTCCCGTCGCGGACGTCGTCGCTATATTCATGTCTTCCGGCAGGGTCGGCGTTTGACAAATTGTTGTTCTCGTTGGCTAACCCTGGAGCCCATCGTGGGTCTGACGTATCTCCTTGGGTTTGAAGAGGATGCCACTCACCGAGGATAACTCTTACTCCCCTCTCCCGACAGAGTCTAACATCCAGGAATAGCATCTCACAGACCACCTCGAAAACCGCTTCCACGAGAACGGGGATTGGCATGCTGAAACAATGCGACATGAGTCGTCCCAGGGCCGGGTTCCTCGGTGACGCACGCTCAATGATTCCCTGGAGGCAATTTTGCACCAAGCCGGATAAGCACTGTCGAGGTGCAACATCCAAGAAGAGTTCGGTGGCCTTTTTTCTGTCGGTAGGGGTTGGTATTTCATTGACAACCAATACCAGACACGCTCTACAGCCCTGTACCTGCTCCAGAGGATCGTCGGACGCCAACATCCCTTGCAGCTTGGCTGTCGACGGAACTGAGTGTTCGAGCTCAGAAAGTCTGTTTCGACGCCCGGCTGCCGACATGCACACGGCATTGCAGAACCATATGAAACCTGTCATTGTGTCATGGCGGGCAAGCCAAGAGGCGAAAGACAGGGCTTTCGAAGCACAGCTTTGCCAGCTTGATCTAGAGAGCTTCAGAGGAAGACGACCGGTTGTCGAAGAAGCCACACTGTCCCACCATTCGAACATGCCGTAAATGTGGCGTACATCTTTTATTTGCCTAGCAATAGTAATTTCAGACGCATCAAAGCTCCAGGTCTCGTCGCTTATTCCAAACAGGCCAGCGGGACACGTGGTGGGGATTAGCACTGGTCGGACCTTTCGCAGCTGTCGCAGGAAATCTTTCAGCAGCATATTGGATGGCAGGTCTTGAAAACCTGGTGGTGGGTCATAGAAGTCCGACTCTGCGAACAGTGACAGCACGTAGTCTTTTGGCTGACTAGCCGAGAGTTGCAAGTGCCACACGGAAATCATCTCTTGGATGATCGCAAGCCACGGGGTCCAGGCCATGTGCTCATCAGCAGTTTGTCGTGTTTCACCAAGAAGAAACGCAGCCACTTGCATGTCGGATAGTGCATTGTGCTCGTTCAGGTCAAAAAGGGTGTTAAGGAAATCTCCATTGTGTACCCTCACCGCTTCCAAAGCTTCAGAGTCATCGTACCCGTGCTTGCCTTTCAATTGCTGAAGCAACAGTCGGGAATAATCGTTCATTTTCTCCAGCTGCGTCTGTAAAGGTGTACTGAGGAAGCAACACTCGGCAACCTCCACATCCGCAAAGACGAGTGTGACCGACCGGGCATACCTGTACTCCTGGTTCGTCCAAATCCGATAAGGCCATGAGCAGACGCCGTTCGAATTGAGGCATATGGATGCATTTAGAGTTACGAAAAGATCAACCTGGGTGGTGTCCACGCCCACAATTTCGTCCACCGCAGATCCCGCGCTAGATGAACTGATCGGAACCTCTTTCGACACAGCTTCGTACGCCTTTCTCAAGCACGAGCAAAGACTACCGGGCCATAGTATAACAACAGGCAAGGTTCTGAAGATTGCCGGGATTTGTGCAAGGGAATGTCGTATCTGCTCGTCCTTCTGCTGGAAACACACTTGGTCAATCCAACAAGCCCCATATTTGTTGGTGAACTGTACAAGACGTTCGAGCACCGAATTGACTCGCCACTCGGCCCCTAGTTCTATCCACACATATTCTGTGGGATGGGATTCCCGGTGTCCTATGCAATGCTTGGTGCGGTCGAATTGGCCCCAAGTATATGATATGGCAACGCCGTTTTCCTTGTGCAGTTCGACTGCGGTGGTCTTGATGCTCAGGTGCGTTTTGCCAGGGCTGGGATCCGTGAACACCTGACAAGTACATCTTCGGAAAGTCGCCAGTTTTACTGTTTGGGCTGTTGAACTCTCTTGCGTGCTGGAGTAATCTTTCACCTTGCTCTTGAGTACATCGACTTGGCCGTTGGCCGCAGTTGCTTTGCTACACTGGACGCCGTCTTGGAGATACTTTGGCCCGTTGCTGAGGTGGCCCGCGTCCTTCTGCAGCTCCTGTCTCTCCCAGGCAATTTCTCGTACAAGTTGAGCAACTTCTTCCCGCCTGTTTTGAATCTGAACCCAACCTTGATTGATCCGTTCGTCTCCCTGCCTTATTGATTTTTCAATTTGTCTTGATCTTTGTCCAAATGGGCTGCTCTCCACCTCAGGTCCCAGGGCGAGCTTCGCAGCCTGAATGAGCTTGGCAGCCTCGGCGGCGTACGACCCCATGCTGAAGCAGACTCAGGCTCCTTAGCGGTTGTTGTCAGTGTAAATGTCCTCTCCGATCGATGACCATGCCACCAGGCGGCGTTGTTGACGATCGACGGTCGAACAAGCTATTGGCAACGTGTTGGACTAGAGAAGATGATGGGGAAAAGACATGGAGATGGATCAAGTTCTCCCCCCATCGTCAACAATCAGGCTGGAAGGCGGTGGGAGTCTGTCTGCCTTGCCGCCCAAGCCCTCCTCAGGCTGAGACGGTGGCGGCGGCGGCGGCGGCAGCCGATGGAGACTGGGTACCGAGCAGAGGCATGTACAAGACGCGCCCGACGGGATGGCCATGTTTGTGGCTGAGTGCATGCAGACCTTGCGTCCATGGCAGTGCATGAGAGAAGGTCGAGTCCGGGCGATGAAGTGGCAGAAGTTGGCCAGTCGGTCAGGTGCATTTCAGATGGTGAGTGGCCATGAGGCAGTCATTGGAGGTTGGAAGGCGCCGTGCGGATTAGGGCTAGTGGGAGCCAATGGCCCCAGGGCACCTCCGCACCATTGGAAGCGGTGTTGGAAACCCCGTTGACTGATGTGCTTTGTACACAGGACTGTTGGTTTGTGAAAATTAATTTGATGATTCGCAGTGGAAAGAAGCCAGTTACTGATACTGTGATCTCAACTCTGCTATCATCGAATCCTCCTCGTACCAACTACTACTGCGTGACACGACACATCCACTGACACGCCAACAAGAAGGCCGACGCAACGCGATGTGGTTAACACGATGACAGGGTGGACAAGGCACTGTGCCGGTAGAGCCCTGATGTCGCTGCAGTCTCAGACATGTGCCTCCCACCACGAGCATCCTAGAAAGCAGATCCCCGTCTCGCATTGGATTCGACGATTTCCTTCTCCAACACGCCATCCTTGGCCATGCTGTGCGCAAAGGTAGTCGTTGGCCTCCACTTGGCCGAAGTGCGCGGTGTGGTCTCTTCCATCATCTTGTCGACCTGTTCGAGGGTGAGGCCCTTGGTCTCGGGCACCAGGAACCAAGCATACACGAACGCAGCCGTGCAGAGACCTCCCCAGACGAAGAAGACCGACGACTTCAAGTCGCCGTGGTCTTCGCCGACCATGTATGGCGTGATGACGGCGATGATCTGTAATCTGTCAGTCGATGCTACGCTCCTTTAAGGGGTTCAAGGTCAAACTCACCGTGTTCCACAGCCAGTTGGAGGCAGTTGAAAGGCCGACGCCACGCGATCGGATGGGCAAGGGGAAAATCTCGCCAATGACAATCCATGCTCCGGGACCCCAGGTAGACGCGAAAAAGAAGATGAAGATGGCAATGAAGGCGATCTGGGCGTTGACCGCGGGGATATTGTCGGCAAGGCTGGTCTCGGGATCGGAGGGATCGGGATGGGTATGGTTAAACCCGACCGAGACACCAATAATGGCGACCAGGAACTGGCAGATCAACATGCCCAAGGCACCCCAGACCAGAAGAGGCCGGCGGCCGAATCGCTCAACGGTCCAGAACGAGAGGGGCGTGCTGCAGACGTTGACCAGGGTGAAGATGAGCGAGATGAGGAAGGTGTTCTCGATCGCGCCCGTCGACTGGAGGAAGGGTGTTGAGTCTGTGCCGCGGGTCAGTATAATGGAGCGTCACCAACTCTATGCGGACACCAACTTACAGTAGAAGATAAAGTTAACACCGGTCCATTGCTGCATCATCTGCAACGAAGTGCCCAGGATGGTCCGTCGCAAGTTCGACTTTTGCACCCACAGGCTGCCCTTGAAGCAGTTCGCCCAGCTGGAGAACCAGCCGCTGTCGGGGATGACGGCTCGCTCATACTCCTCCTGCGTCCTGTCAGCACTGAACCTCCTTGCGTAAAGCAACATCTCTCTGAAAAACTCACATTCGCGACAATCTCAGCCAGCTCGACCTGCACGTATTCGGACTCGCGAGGCTGGCCCCGCAGCTTCGACAACGAGATGGCAGCATCTTCGAGTCGCCCCTTCTTCACAAAGTAGCGGGGCGAATCCGGGAGGGTGAACAGGCCTCCAGCCAAAATGATTGCCCACGCGAACTGGATGGCAATAGGGATCCTATATGATCCGGTGTCTTGGCGGTCTTCCGTGGCATACACGACGATCGACGCCAGCATAATGCCGATGGTAATGCAGAACTGGTAACCTGCCACCAGGGCGCCTCTGACTTTCCTCGGGCACTTCACGGCGAGTCAGCATATGTAAAGATCCTTTAATCGTCGAGGTACTCACAATCTCGCTCATGTACAGGATCACGATAGCGCTCTCAAAACCGACACCGATACCAGCAACAATACGTCCCGCGACAATGGCGGCCAGCGCATCACCCTCTCCTGTAATCATTTGGATGACGACACCGATCATGTAGATGAAGCAGCCCAAGATGACGGTCCATTTGCGACCGATAAAGTCGGCAGTATCACCACCAATGAGCGCACCGAAGAATGTGCCTGCCGACAGGATCGAGACGATGAGCGATTGATGGGAAGAGCTGAGAGCGTCGGCAGTGGGACCCTCCACTGCCCGGATGAAGATCTCGGACCCGAGAACACCATTGATGTATCCAGAGTCGTAGCCACTGGTCGCCGTTAGCAAGTGCAGCCACGACCATGGAAAAGGTACCGCAGGAGCTCCGCGGCTGAAGACCTACAAGAAGATGCCGCCAAATGAAGCAAAGGCGCACATCAGATACGCCTTCCAGGTAACGGGGGCTTCGATGCTGTTGACATCGTCGGTTGTCCTGAGGGCAATGGAACTGGTACGGCCACGTTCGGCCTCGTGGTGAGTCTCTTTGGAGTCGGCCATGTTAGCGGCAATAGAATGCGTGAGGCTTCGAGCACATGCGAGAGAGACAAACAGCCGGTCGCAATAAGCATTGCTGTGGAGGGGGGAGTCCCTACAACTTTTATACATTCCTGGCACGGACCATCAAAACAGTCGCCCAAGAGCTCACACCTGGGGTCGCCATAGCGCGGAGTCGCGGAGAGCTGCAAACACCAATCGTCTGCTGAGAGACGGCCTAGCCTCGCGTCGACTGACCTCAAGAGTCACGCAACATGAGATTGCGGTTTGCCTCTCCGGTGACCAGATTGGAACCCAAGCGAAACGTCGGTGCCAATGGCCAGCACGTTTCGTCATGGGGTGTAACATTGATAATCCCCACTGCAACCTCGCTCGCATGAAGCGCGTCTTGACTCGAGACTGCTTGTCGCGGCGTCAGGCTTGTCGTGGACGTCGAGTCTTGGACTGGTTCTTGGAGGGAGCTTCCAAGACACCGACAAGGCTTGGATCCCCACAGTTTGCCATCCAGCATTCCGCAAGCCGAACACCAAGCATCGGCCTTCCAGAAGGCGCACGCTGCCGTCCAGCTTCGAGATCTGTGCGCTCGGAAAGGGGACCTGTTTCCAAGAGCAACTCCTTGCATTGAGGACCAGCGGACAGGGTCTCGCTCAGCTGTCCCAATTCCGTCGCAGCGGAGGAATGCTCGATGCGGTATGCATTGCCCAGACAACGAGACGGCTTGGCAGCCGGATCCAAGATGGAGTGGCGCAGGTCACTTTGCGGGGTTGACGACAGAAATCAGGAATAGACGGGCGCTCTTCCGTCACCTGGGTGGTTTCATCATCTGAAAAGTCTCTCGTCTTCGATTGACGCGGCCATCGGACTGGGTGTCGGCTCCCTGTCCTCCCTGCTGAGAAAGTGTTGGTGGCGCTTTGTTAAGCAAAGTCTTGACAGAATAGCGAAAGGATTGCCAAGGGACTCCAAGAAGACTCCGCTGATGGAGATCGCACTCTGCCCTCCGCTTGGGTAGCTCGTACCAGTAACAAATCGATCTCTCCGCCCCAGCTTACGAAGTTACACTCACTCTGTGCAACATTGATTTGGAGGTGTCCTCGAGCGATGAGCTAGCCATGGATCTCCACCTAGCGCTAGACATTCGTGAAGGCGGACGTTTGCCCCGATTCGATGGCCACCATGGAATCAAGCGGGCTATCTGCCACATATGACCCGTTGGAGCAGAACAGAAACAAGGGACATTGTCGCGTGTTTTCTAGATATCAACCCCCGTACCCCAAACTTTGTGTGTATAGTCCGAGCCTACACATATAAGTCCACCCCTATACTGGCAGCCTTGCTAGCCTGCCGACAGCACGGTTCGACCTTTCTTACCTCTGAGCCGCTGTCAACGGCACGAGGTACCAGGCTCATAGGTAGGGTCGACATTTCTCTGCCTTCCTTTACTGCTGGCTTTTAGTTGCTGATCATGTCAGCAAACTCTCTGCCTCCCGCACAGCCATGATGGCTGTGTCGTCGCGGTCAGGAGTGGAAGCGGCCGTTGCTCCTGCTCAATGAAGGGGTCTTCAATTACTTGGAAGCGTCGGTGATTTCGACTGCTTCCTTCCGTGTCGGGGCTGATATTCTGGTCACGTGCGCTGCAGGGTCGGCGAGAGTACGAGTACGTCTGATTCTGATCCAATGAGGATATGTGAATTGTAGTCATGTCGGACAGTGCAGGGAGCTTGCCAACGAGAAGCCTTCGCTTGTGCCAAAATCTCCCGCATCGATCGACAGGCGAAGCTCCTTCAAGCCACCTCGAATCAGCCGCCCACGTCGTGAGGACGCTCCTCGCACGAACGATAGCAGAGTGCTCCAGAGGCAATAGCTATAAGAGGATCAGGTGGCCAGCTCTTGCCGATGCGAAGTCGGACAAACCTTTGCTGAACTCACCAAAATTTGCATACCCTCCCTAGCCCTTTTGCGAGAGATTTTTACACGTTTCCTGACGATGGATTCAACGCTTGCCATCCCTGCGACTGACGATCAGTACGAGTCGGAGGCCTCTAACGACCTGGAAGTCCCACCGCCAGCATACCGGAGGAGCTCCGAGTCGTCCACCGAGCGTTCCTTGTACGATGAAAAGGATGAGACCTCATTCGCAAGCCAGCTGAACTCCGGCCAGGCCCGCGAGTACGGGTTCTACCACCCGAAACTTCTGGCTCGTGGCCTAGTCATTACCGACGGTGGTGCCTCGACCGAGACAAGCAAAGTACCATTGTACTATGTCGAGGTCTCCGAATTTGCACTCAAGAAGCCGGATGTCATTTTCCATCAGCTCCCTCCTGCGATCGAGACGCCGAATGATCTAGAGTATCTCGCTAATACTGGAGAGTATGCTCCAGTGATCGGCGTGGCGCATTTTCCGAAATTCTCTCAGCAGATCAAAGCTGGACTTGGTGACCCCGCTTCCAAAGGCGAAATGAAATACGTCGAAGTACAGAATCCGAACAAGATGTACCATGGCGAGTATCGCATGTCATTCAATGGAAGGTCTTATGCCTGGAAGCGGACCCATGACCCAGCTGCTGGCGTCGAAGGCTCCAATATCACAAGGAAGTTGAACCGTGGTAGCTTTCAGCTGATTGATATGTCCACAAATGAAGTGGTGGCAGCATTTCTTGACAACAAGTTCAAGAGCTGGAAGAAAAAGGGCAAGTTGAGGATCTTTCAGAAGCTCGAAGGAGATGGGGTCGAAGCACAGCAGCTTGAATTGCTCGTAATCTTGAGCATCGCGGCGATTCTGGAAAAGGCTCGGAGAAGGCAAAATAGGAGAGCCAGCTACTACAGTGGAGGCGGCCCGTAGCCTGGACGACGCTTGAGCGAGTATTCCTTGTGAGATATCGGTAATTTCATCGTTAATCCACTGTATCGACTTGACTCTTCGTTGGGCTTGATTCGCCATTTGAGAAAGGACTTCCCAGAAGTAAGAAGAGGGTTTTTCTGGATCCCATCACAAGAGGACGCTTCATGCTGTGCAGATCGTATTGAGATTGTAGTTGGGACAGCTCGTTTCAGTTTAGACGCTCACGTGGTATTTTGGCAAGATGGCGCCGATGAAGGAGGCCCATATTGTATTCGGGGGAAGCCAAGATATTGTACTCGCGACAAGCCTTGGCCATCAATCTTTGCAGATAGTGCCAGATGGGGCCCGAATCGACGACGCTGGCACTTAGAAATGCTCGGATGGGAATACCTCTTCAATGAGTTTCAAGGTTTGCTTCGACCTTTGACGGATGTCCGGCGTCGATAACGTGCCATGCTCGCAGATGTAATGATCGATATAAGTCGCAGGACACCATTCAAAGTAGACGTTACGCACCGTTACCATCTCCTCCCATGCTGCTGAGGGATCCACATGCCAGCTACTAGCCAATTCTTCCACGTCGTTATCCTCCGCTTGGTGCTCCTCCGCTGTCCCAGGAACAGCTATTTTTTCGCTCTCGCTGATGCAGATAACGTCAGCTGAGCCGTTAGTGACAAACTTGCTAACCAAGGCGGCCGCCAATGAGCCAGTCTTGTTGCTGACATCTCCAGCTTCTGAAATGCGATCAGCGCCCATCATAACGAGATCGACGTTTTTGCTCAGGATCCCCACCGAGGCATCGCTTGCCAGTGTTATACGTAACCGGTTGTGAAAGTAGAGGCCACTGCTTTGGGATTCTCGCCGTCGCTGAGCCTCGTGCGTTAGCACCTTTGCAAACCTTGCGCCTTCATTGAGAGGACGTGATTCAAGGATCCTCAGTTCCAAAGACAATGATTCGTCGGCATCCAAGGCATGTAGAATTGCAGCTTTGATGGTCGATGAAAAACTTAGGGTTAAGATTTTGAGGGATCTTGTCTCGGCTCGTCCGGTTTGAGTTTTCTTGAACCTGTCTTGCAAGAAATTTGAGAACTGGTCACTCACTTGCTTAGATGTCTGGTTGCGACGTATGATATACGCTTCCAGGCTCATTTTGATTCGGTCAAGTGGGTTCTGCCCTCCAGTATCGATGCACCCCTTGGCGTCTTTCAACGCCGTGGCCACAGCACCGGAGATGGCGGCCTCCATGCTGGGTCGGCCGTTGAAAGCGAGATGAAACGCTTGTCGCTGGAAACTTTGCCACCATTGCTTCGTATCTTTGGGTGGCTGGCCTTGTCGATCATGTTCCACGATCTTGACCATTGACCTGATCGCCATTGTAGCCAATTCTCTGGCACCGTGTTCATGATCCAGTCGGAGCTCCTCGAGTCCTTGATGTAGCACACTACCCGGGTCGACCCAGAGCTGGCCAAGGGTAATTTCTAGCCTTGGGACACAATCATCCAAGATCTTCCGATCGAGTATGTCGCTAACATCTTTCCACTCGCATCCTAAGTGCTCCCAGTCGAGGTTCAATCCCAGCTTGTTGACATCGTTCTCTTGATCGGGCACCATCCCTTTCAGGCGGAATGCGAAGGGCCAGACCTTCCAGATTCTCCCCTTGGAGTTGCCGCCATGCTGGCCACTCACGGCTTTCTCATCGGTAAACTCGAAGCCGGCTCCTCTTCTCCATAGTTCGAGCTGTTGTGGTCCCAAACCAGTCTCTTCTTTTATTTCGCGCCATGCCGCAGCTAGCGGATTCTGGTCATCTGCTACGACCGAGCCAGCGATAGGTGCGAGCTTCCTCTGGTACGTCCGAACCTTTTCAGAGCGGCGGAAGAGCAGGACTCGATATGGTTTGGACGCATATGGTCGGGCGGAAAATATGAGAGCTGAGACGACTGTCCGTCGCTCAAGGGTGGTGGTGGCAGCAGTGAGTGACTGTGCCATTGGTAAAGATGAGGTTCTCGACTAGCATCATCGACAACTTTTCGCAGGAACGAGGTTATCAGGACTTACATGTGGACCAGCTTAACGAAGGTGATAGGGTGTGTTCCAGTTCACGGGTGATGTGCTCAATTGTGCTTCAGAAAAGCATTCATTCTGTGAGTTAGTGTGGATGAATTCATTCACTTTGCGTTCATTTCACCTTCACCTAACAGTTAGGTAGCAGTCACCTAGCAGTCACAACAGTTTCATTGCCGTCTGATATGACGTAATGGTGCTTCCCGCCAACCACCCCGGAAACGCTTAATTTAGGCGCACGGCAACTCCCCCCGAGAAGGACGCTCAATTAAAGACCAACGTCCCTTGGCCCCCGTCGCCTGTCCTCAGACTCCCCATCATGCTTCAAACCGCAAGTAAACTCATTCCTCGCTTTGGTAGTCCTGGACCTTCACTCGCCCAATGGATCTCAGCTGCTAAAACAGCTAAGCTGGCCCTGCTCAAAAAGTTTCCCGGGCAAAATCGAACATACTTTGCGGTCCACAGAGTCGTGGTCCTTCCACGCAGCTGCGACCATCCTGTTCTTCTGCTCACATGCTTGGTACCTCGTATTGACCACTCGCAACCGATCTTATGCCCTGGCAACCTTCGAGCACGGCCACAGGAGCCATCTTTTCCACTAGACTTTTGTGACTTGAAAACCGACTTCTTTGTCCGAACTTGCTTTTTGGTGCCCCTTCCGTCTCCAAGGAAATCGCCAGTCCTTTTATCTATCATTGCGTCCCAGAAAACTCTACATCTTCCTGGTGAGTATCGACCGCGGACTCCGACTCATGTGGTCAAGCAACGCCTACGATGTTATGGATGCCCTGGGGTCGCAGCGAAGTAGCGAATGGGACAAACCGTCATCCAGGACTCCAAACACTCAATCAGCCCGCTTACTCACAATGCTAATGCCATTGCAGGGCTCAATTGGAGAAGGCCACAGCTGCTTCTCGCGTTCCAGAAAGTCCGAGTGCCCCTCTATTTACTTTCCAGACGACTTCTAGGCATTCTTCCCACCACACCACACGGCTCGACTGGCACGTTGGGGCTTCGCTACACACGTAAAAGCAACATTCACATCAAGAACTTCGACCTCGTGAGTCACAGCGATGTCATCATCATCAGCAGCCCACAGCCATGGCATCACCCTGCCGAACGGCTGCACGATTGTCCATGGCGAGGGCGCCAATATCAAACATCCCTTCCGTGACGTACCGGTAGAGATGCATGAGCTCGATCCCGGCGGGAACCCCAAAAGAAGTTTCGCAGGACAATTTGGGTTCATCGAATTTACCACCGAATTCCGACTGCCTCGACATGTGCACATCGCTCCAGCGTCTGCAAGTGCAGGTGCAGAGCGCAAATTTGTCTCCGAGCGCATCGTAGTCCTCAATGGCGTTGCGTTGGTGGAGTTGAATGGAGCGATCTACGTGATTCCTCCCAAAAGTCTCGTGACGATTGCCCCGGGCGTACCGCATACGTGGACAGCTTGCCCTGCAGGAGTAACGCTGCCACTGTGGGGCAGACAAACAGAACCCGACTCGAGATCAGAACCGGCAACCGAAACAGAAATACGAACGGAGGAGGTCACATCAACCGGGACATTCCTGATGCTGTACGAATATGAGGAACCCACAGCCTTCTTCCCGACCGCACAAACAAAGACTCTAAGCCAAATAGACGAATACCAGCGCTGCGACGACCTGGAGAGTATCCAGATCCCGAAGCTCAGCGACGTCGACGTCAAGGAATGGTGCTCGTTCGTATGGGGAAAGCAGCTGCTCTCTCCTAGCCAAGCGGGGGTTCGCGCATAAGAAAGACTGCCGTGCACTCTCCATTCCTGGACCTTGGCCTCGCGAAAAAGAGCTCAGCCACCTTCGCCTCCAGCTCCCGGTCACCTTCTGCCTCGAAGCCCATCTCACTGAGTTGTTCCTCCGCCCACCTGCGAGCGCCTGACCCCGGCACGGTCGTGTCACGTATCATCAGACAAGTCCACAGCAAGGCATCCCTCGTATCATCTGCGCAGGCCTCTGTCTCTGACCGTCCCGACTTCATCAGCACCCCAATCTGCACCTCCACCGCATGCTCGCTGGAGAAATTGGTCCATTTCCGTCTCGTCCGCTCCACCCAGTTGATATACGCCTGGACCGTTACCGCCAGGAGGCGCTCAATGAAACTCAGCCCCTTCGTGCCTAGGATTTCGTGCCCTAGCTCCGTCATGCTTTCATGCGGCCCCGGCGTGGCGATGGTGGCCGTGAACCAGTCGTAAAAGATGTCGAAAAAGCCGAGGAACTGGATGCTCAGGCGGGAGTTCAGAGCCAGGGCCGCGACGCCGGCGGGATATCGTGCGATTTTGACCCGCAGTGCCTCTATGGACACACGAGAGGGATATTCCAGCACGGAATCGTGGCTCTGGTCGTGTAAGCCGAGAGCTTCGTCGCGCAGGCGTTGGATTTGCTGGCGCCGGAGCACGTCGGCGGATTCGAACATGCTAAATGGAGGAGTCCATCAGAATCAAGGAAGATGTATAGAGCCCGACAGAGCAGATCATTCGCATTGCAGCCCGAAAAAAAGAAGGGGAAGGGAATGCGAGCTCGCACGCGGAGTCGAACTCAGACATGAACTCACCCCACAGCCGATATCTTCAAGAATCCTTCCCACCCCAGATTATCCAGCCCGCCTCGTAGGGCGACGATCCGCCGCACGCCCTCGACATGGGCATTGAAAGCGTCATAGTCATTCAACATGCGCTAGGTATTCCAAGTTAGCGAGTTAGAAAGTCAGAGCACGACGCAAAGAAACACCTGCGCCCCAAAACAGCAGAATAACACATACATACACAACCGCCATGGGAAAAATCGTCGCCAACACAATATCACTCGTCCCCACGCGCGGATCCGGATTGCCCACCGCGGCCCTCAACCCGCCCACGGCATTATTGACATGGTGCACGGCCTCGCGCGACAACCGCGCCGCACAGTGTACATGCAAGCTCTGCATGACGAGCCCGAACGCAATCATCGACGAACAGTACATGGCCGTCTCGAGCACGTGCAGCCGCATGATCTGGTGTTGGCGCTGGTTGTAGTTCCCCAGCCCGAGCGCCAGCGGGCACATGACTTGGAAGTGGTAGTCAAAGGCGGTCATGGCGCTGTGCGTGTTCGCCACGGGAAGCGTCCAGAAGGGGTCGTCGCGGAGGGTGCCGATCTGGCGAGGCCGTTGCCAGGGCGGCAAGCAGAAAACCAGCGCGTCCGTCGTATTGCTGTTGGCGGCGTGCTGCTGCCAGTAGACTTGGTCGTTTGCGCCTGCGTCCCCGTCTGCGGCAACGTCGTCACTCTCCCGCTCCCGCTCCGTCACCACGTAGCTCAGGATCCGGGCGTTCTGGCGGCGGGCTGCGTCCTTGATTGCCCTGCGGCGCTTTTGGTGTCTGGTGTGGGCGTGGTGGGCGTTGATGGCGGCCAATTCGGTGGGAGGGTGGAAGTTGTGCGTGCTGCGATTGATGAATGTGATGGGCATGATCGTCGTCGTCGTCGCCGCGACGCGGATCGGTGGTGCATACTGTGTATGTGTAGTTCCTTCTATGGTATGTTCTCGGTGGGGAGAGCTGAAAATAAACTACCCCAGGAGGGGATACTGGGATGTGACTACGACGTACTTCGTACGAACTCTGGGAGGGACCAAACGTGGGGAACATAGAGGGACTCGTACTCGAACGGGGTCACACACACGGAGTACGGACAATGCTCTCGTGGCCTTGTATCTGGCCTCGCTGGACTGGGTGACCGGGTCAACATCGACGGGTTAACGTTAGTCAGCGTGCGTGAAGTGGCGCCGCCATCCATCAGGCACGATTGGCTGGGACGTCACGGACTCGCGCAATGATGCGTTGATTGTCGTCCTCTGTACGAGTTATCAGCTGGATTGGCTTCTGGTGTCACCTTCACGCCTACTGTGTACTGTGTACTGTGGTAGGTGTCAGTCCCTTGCGTAGGTAACTTTACGTGGTTGTGTTGGCTACACCGTACAAGTATGAGCGTACATAGGGAGACAGGTATGAATATTAGCGTGCTAATCGAGATTGCTGACCTTACCGAGGAAGGGAGGGCACGTTGTCCGGACCCAGCTCGTGCACCGTTTCGACACAAAGACTTCCGTTGACCTTTATGTTCCGGAAGGATAAATTCCATCGAATAGGTACTGACTGCTTATGAGTGAATTGTACTGTAGCTTTGATGTCAGCCACGACAGCAGCCACGGCTTGGTACAGTCAAATTCGCATTGATCTCAGTGGAATGCATCACCAATGCCGTGGCCAACGGCAAAGGATCATTGTTCATTTATATCGGCATACATTGGTCATCTCGTCCGTAGACCAGAACACACTACCTGGGTATCGATGTCAACCTGCAATCTACCATCTATCCTGGCGGAGACACGATACTTTCAGATTGAAAGGTCCGCACAGCTGAACGCCGGATTGGTGGCGCCCGAGTAATCGGCGATGATGGCCTTGACTGCAGCGTAGAGACCTGGGCCCAGCAGAAAGAGGCCGACAATCATGACGAATATATGGATGACCGTCATGATGGACCTGTACCAGCCATTCCACAGGTTTCCTCTGTATAGGTGGTAGTACGCGACGGCGAAGAAGCTATTCCCCGCTGTTAGCGATATCCAACATGTACGCGACAAACGAGGCACTTACATGAAGCCGAAGAAGGAGTCGAACGCTGCGCCGAGAAGAGACAGAAAGTCGCCCATGCTGGGAATGACCTCGGCGAAGATAAGAGCGAGGACCCAGATGACGACGGTCACGGCAAACCAGACGCCCCATCCGATGATGGTGTTGCTGTGTGCATGTCGGGATTTCCCCATGACTCGGTAGTAGATGAATTTGGCTGTAACATTAGAATAGATTACAGCAATCACTGTAGTTGGAACGATGACGAATGCGAAGGAGCCCTTTTTAAATCTTTCGGGCCCAAGGCTGCCAAATGCTGGCGCCGTGGAGTATTGACCAAGGTAATGGAAGCCGATAGCCGGAGGGCAGATGAACAGGAAGGCCGAAATTCCGGTCAACACCGCCAGCGACTTCGGGAAGTCCTGTGGTTTCTCCATTTCGGCGATGAAAGTCGGAAACAGGATCTGAGGCACCCATAAGAAGGTGATGTTCAAGACAGCGTTCATACAGTTCACCCAGGTGGTGCCCGGCAGAGGCCAGGCGTAGGTCCTCACTTCTCCGGCGGCAGGGTAGGTCCCGTAGTAACCAAATCCAGGATGATCCTCAATGCCGGCAAATATGAGGAAGAGAAGGATAGCAATGGCCATGCAGAAGGCTTGGTTCGTCAGCTATAGTCTTAAACACGTGGTTTAAAGTACCACTCACCAGAGAACATCGACATGAAGGATATATGGTGTAGCGTCCTCGGGATCGACATGACGATACCCATCAGCATCCCGATGACCGAAAAAACTACCGTGCACTGCGAATGGTCTGATAGAGTGTTGAGGATCCTCGCCGCGGTGAGGACGTGGAAGCCGATCAGGAGAATATTGTTGGTGAGCAGCATGAATCCCGTGAACTCGTAGGCAAGACGGCTGCGTCCGAAGGCGTAATAGCCGAAATCGCAGATGTCCCTGATCTGAGGATGCTTCATGATGTATTTGTGCATCGTGATGGAGGTGATCCAGAAGAGGATACCGGCGCCCACCATGGTGATGATGCCAGGAACCCAACCAAGCACGGAGAGCGACCATGTCTGGGCCATGATGGCGAGGCAGACTTGATCGCCGCAAAGCAACCAAGCTGCCTTCTGCCATGACATGGTCCGAAGCTTGATCTCATGGGTATGGTCTGGACAAATATCAGTAAGTCGGAGAGGCAGCGGCATGTGTAATTCTCACCTTCAGCGATCAGGTCGTGGATGATCTGAATTGACGACCGACGGCGAGCGCCATGTTCCTCTCCTTCGCCTACATAACCTGACTTCTCCTCAGGAAACGCCGTCTTAGAGGTGCTGCGATCGAGCTTGTCGTCCATTCTGAGCAGACGGACGTCACGGGATCAGGGCGGTGAAGGGTATGAAGCCCGGGTGTTGAAAGTGACCTGCGGGCTCCTGCAAGCTTATAAGCTAGACACAAATTACTGAGAATCTGGAATTAGCCATCCCAAGCGGTAGGTTATCTGTCGATGCCATCTCAGCTTATTGTTGCAGCTCCCCTTCGCTTCTATGGCGTGATAAGGGCAATGAGATGTGATAGGCTGGCGTGGATCACCCGTGGCAATCCAGGCCTCCACTGGCCCACGTCTTAGTGCCATCGCAACAGCGTTTCGCATCTAATCTAGCATGTGGTCGCGAAGTTCCCGTGGGTTAGCCATTATCAAGCGGCTGGATCCAGTAGAGTGCAAGCCGAGGAAGAGTCGGTGCGTGACCGGAATGTGGGTGTGGTAGCGTTGCCCGGTGGCGTCACTGTAACCTCAACTTCTGGGCGTTGGGCAAGTAAATGCTCCAACTTCAAAGGCAGTCCTTCGTGTCCGGTTGCGGAATCACTAAGAAAGATGCGTCTGGCGGTAATAAGCGGGATGAAGTCTCGGTATTTGAGCTGTCGCCATTGTAGCCCATGTGGCGTCAATCAGGCTGCATCTCAGAATCAGAGATATTCACCATTGAGAAGGACAGGTTTCTCGTGATGAATAACCCCGGTCGAAATCTGGATGAGCTTACTGGGAAACAATTTCCCGCAAGTGAAGCATTTACCGGTTCAACAGAAAATGCGAAGGCTGCGAATCGCACATTGTGTACATGGGAGAACGTGACGCGGCCCCAGGGCTCATACGTGATTACAGAGATTGATGAGAATGAAACTGCTCCGTATTTTTCTTCGAATGCTGAGTTGAGCTGTTTAGACAAGGTTTTCCAAGAGTCCCAAGCTTCTAACGGAGGGGAAGACAAGATTTCTGGAGACGGGCAGTACTCCACCGTATATCTTGCGCTAGGTACTGTGAACCATCAGGCACTTGAAGCGCTGTCATCTACGCCTGCTTCTCGACGTGAAGCGGAACATCAAGCGTCGTCAAGCAGCAGCAGGCTGTATCCGGGGAGGCGCGAAGCATAGCCCACAATGCATTACGATTTGAGATAGCGCCTGGCGCGCTTTTAAGGCAACACCCTTGCAAAATGATCGATTTCATGGACTACATCGTCCACGCCTTCGGGACGTCAACCGACTGGAACCCAGACAACAGCTATTCCTCCCTCACAGCGACGTCCGACGCTCTACTCTCCTTCCAGACTCCATCCACCTTGTCTCTGCATATCTCTTCGCTGAGCACACCGAACTTTGCGTCCTCATACACGCTCTCGACATTAGGACAGATCGATGGGTCAATATCATACCTCTACTCGAGCGTTGCGCTGGGACATGTACCTTCGGAAGCGCCGACCATACCACTAAAGTCCCTGACGAAGGGCTATAGAGAAGTACGGCTTCCTGTGCCCGTCGTGCAAGGGGACAAGGATAGGAGGAAGTATTTCACTGAAGATGGGCGCAAACCAATCCTGCTTCACGCAACTTTGGCTCTTCCCCCTCCTTCAGTCCTAACAGCCTTGTATGCCCGACGGGTCAGCCCAGAGACGCTCCTCTCGCTGTCGCTCTACAGCCAGTCGACGACAAAGCCTACCGTCAACTCTGGTCCGCCTCCAGCTTCGGTCCTAGCACACCTACAGCATGACAACGGGCAGTACTCTGTCGAAGGACTAGGATCTACGGACAATGGTCTGCTAGGAGTGCGCGGTCTCTGGAACTTCGGAGTCGGTCCTCTCAAGCAACGCGACAACGTACCCTCACTCTCAGCTCCACGGCAAGAAGTCACGGACGGAGCAGGGAGCGGCACAGAAGATCCCAGCCCAAGAACACTATTCCTCCCGTCCCAGACCGACTCCCTAACCGCCCACCGCAACCGGCTGGCGTCGAAGCCGTCGCTCCTGTCGGCAGGCGCAGAATTCTACTACAGCCCTTTTTCCCACGTCATCGGCCTCTCGACGGGCCTCCGTTTCACGACCCTCGCACCACACATTACGCCCTCAGAACCTCCCGCTCCCCACCAAACGGCTCTGACGGGCAAAGCCGTCGCGGGTACGTCTGCCTCTCTCCTTTCCACAGCAGGGCACACTCTTTTGACCCCTTCGAACGTCCCTCATTCCTCCTTCCCCTACACGATGACGCTCACAGCCACGCCACTGACCGGATCAATTTCGTCGACCTACTCCGTCCGACCCACACCCCACTTGGCCCTATCGTCACGATTCGACTTCAACTTCTACTCGTGGGAATCGCGCTACGTCGTCGGAGGCGAGCTATGGCGCCCTCGGAAGCGCGAGGCCCTTTCAGATCCCGAGACAGATCCCGTCCACTGGGCCCGCACACTCACCTCCGACTGGTTCAACCCCGCGGAGCGTGCCCTCAAGACGTCCCGCCTGGAGCGCGAAGAGGAAAACGTGCTCAAGTTCCGCGTCGACGACACGTGGAACGTCAAAGCCCTCTGGACCGGCCGGGTCAAGAGCCTGCTCGTCGAGGTTGGCGTCTCGGTCAACCCGGTCGCGCATCATCCCGGTGCTTCAACGGTGAATGCCGCCGCGAACAACGGGAGCGAGACCGTCAAGCCGGCATCTCTAGAGGCGAATGGAGTCGGAATGGGGACCGGCACTGAGGGTGGCATTAAACGATGGACGGGCAACGTGGGTGTGAGTATCGCTTATTCGACTTGATGGCGGGAGCATATAGCGTAGCGCTTGGTCTCACCCGCGAATGACAGGTGACGAATCGCGGCGTTGGGCAAAGACTATGCATTGCATTTGTTGATTGGATCGTATGAATTCACGTGCGTATATATCGTAGTCGATACCCGCTGTAGCGCGTTTGAGGTTAGCTATGGCGTATAATGATCGAGGTACCGAGATAGACGAGCTTGGTATTGAAAACTTTGGTGGTGGTCAAGGTCATCCGAGTCTGCGTGCCTACGCATGGCGTTCAACCAATGCTACAGGACGCGGATCTATCCATGCATGCCTTTTGAGGTTCCCGTCTGGTCTATTTCATCTGCATACGTTCATTCAGCGGGAGCCTCTCCACCAGACTTCAGGCGCAGGCTCTTCCTCCCCAAACCGCCCTACATGCCTACATCCGTCTGCAGTCTCTGTGGCTGGTTCGAGGTCCGCGTCTGTTTCTTTCCTCTCTCCTTTCAATTCAACCGCCGGGATGATACTCGTAGCCACACCGACTGGCAAGCTCTTTCCTGTCATTTCCTCGCCCTACGTTTTCCATCTTGAGGGGCGAGCGGCTCCACCTGAGCCAGATATCTCTGCAAGTAATACGGCCCACTGGTGGAGACCCGCATGTCCCTGTCTCTGCTGGCCTGCTCCGCGGCCATCTGCTAGTGAGACTCCTAATTCTTCTTCTTCAGCTCGTCCAGGAACTTCTGCGGCGGGGCCTGTCGATAGCCTTCGGGATTGTTCTCGGTCCAGCGCCAAAGGTCTGCGCACGCGTCTTCCATCTTCCTCTTGGTTTCCCAGCCGAGCTCGCGATTCGCGCGAGTGGGGTTGCTTGTGAGATCGAGGACGTCTCCAGGACGGCGTCCCACGACTTGGTACGGAAGATCTCGGCCCACGGCTTTGCTGAAGGCCTTGATCATGTCGAAGACGGTGCTACCCCGGCCGGTACCGAGGTTCCAGGCTCGAACACCCGGTTGGTGCGTACGGAGGTAGTCCAGTGCTGCGAGATGGCCGGCTGCCAGGTCGAGGATATGAATATAGTCGCGAATGGCGGTGCCGTCATGAGAGGCGTAGTCATCGCCAAAAACCAGCAGCTTCTCTCGTTTCCCCGTGGCGACTTGGGCGAGAAGGGGGAGCAGGTTGTAGGGGACTCCGGAGGGGTCTTCGCCCATGATGCCGCTAGGATGAGCGCCGGCCGGGTTGAAGTATCTCAGTAGGCCGGCGTTCCATTTCTTGACCTGCGTGGCGTCTCCATTCTTCTGGGCCTTTGCGCGTTCGGCGGTGATGTGGTCCGTGATCATGAGTTCAGAGGTGAATTTGGTGTTGCCGTAGGGGTTCGTGGGACCGAGGGGGCATTCTTCGGGGATGGGGATCATGCCTGGCACGCGGGTGGCGTCGCCGTAGACAGTCGCGGAGGAGGAGTAGACGACATTCGTGACATTGTTTCGCGCGGCGGACCTCAACAGGCACAATGTGCCGTAGACATTGACGCGGTAGTATTCGAGGGGTATTTCGCCCGACTCGCCCACGGCCTTGAGAGCGGCAAAGTGGATGACGCTGTCGATGTCGGGGTGTTTGGAGAAGACATCATCGAGGGCTTTTTCGTCGGTAATGTCGACGTTGTAGTATTCAGGCCGGCGGCCACAGATGAGTTCTATCCGGTTGAGCACTTCGGGCGACGAATTGTAGAGGTTGTCGACGATGACGACTTTGTAGTCGGCCTCGAGCAGGGCGAGGGTTGTGAAGGAGCCGATGTAGCCCGTGCCACTGCCAGACGCAAGTCAGCTCTTGTCTCGAGCTCAAGTAGTCTGAGGCTGGCCTGACGCACCCTGTAATCAAGCAGCTGCCCACAGGCATTGTGATGTCGCTATCCGAGTCAAGGCGGGGTAGAGATGTATTTAATGCTTTGTCCCCGAGTAATGTGCCCAGATCTCACGGGGGACTATGCTGTACAGTACCTCAGACCTAGGTCGGCAATGCTACTAGGTAGAGAGCGACTTGGATGGACAAAGAACCCGTAGAAAAGCTTTGATATAACGTTGCATCTGCAATTTGCAGTGAAGCTCGTGTTGCTCCCCTCGCCAGCCTCGAGTCACCCACTGGGCATCTGCAAGGGACACGGACACGCCTATTGAAACCCTGGCGCCCCCAGTGGCAGCGGGAATCGCCGCCCGTAGCTTCCCCGCCACAGAGCCACCGTCATTTTCGTCGGTGGGAATCAACCTTGAACTTTTTTTCTCCGCCTCCAATTCCGCTCGCCGCAGTCTATCACAGTGGTGCACTTTCAACGGTCAGGCGGGATGGTGGTACCCTCCGCAAAGAAGCAAAAGACTGCAGGCGCTGCATCCTCCGGCTCACGAATAACAGACCCTCGATTCGCAAACATCCAATCCGACCCACGATACCGCTTGCCCGGCAAGAAGAACAAAGTCAAACTTGACAAGCGGTTCGCACGGGTCCTCGAAGACGATGATTTTGTGAAGAGAGCCAAAGTTGACCGGTATGGACGTCCGTTGGAAGCGAACGTGGAGAAGAAGAGGCTGAAGAGGAAATATGAGTTTGACGAGGATGAAGAGCCAGAGAGTGACGAGGCGGACGATGACGACGAGGTTCAGAAGGAGTTGAGCAGGGTTGAGAAGAAAACTCGTGATCCGTTACGAGAAGGGCGAGAGACGGATTCTGAAGCCGAGACCTCCTCGGACGACACGTCCACCGACTCAGACTCGCAGGACGAGGAGGGAGCAGAAGATGTCGATGAAGAACTCGACGTCAGCCCAACCCAACAGCAGGAGGTGCCGACTGGAGAAGTCACATCTCGCATCGCCATCGTCAACTTGGACTGGGACAACATCCGCGCCGCGGACCTGATGGCCGTCTTCTCCAGCTTTCTACCTTCTGCCGGCGGATCCCTCGTCAAGGTCACCATCTATCCCAGCGAATTTGGCAAAGAAAGACTCGAAAGAGAAGAATTGGAAGGACCACCCAAAGATATCTTCACAAACACGGCAAAAGAGGGCAATGCTGATGACGATACGTCCGATGATGAAGAAGCCGACGAAGACATAAAAGCGACAATCCTCAAAAATCAAAATGGCGATGAAGACTTCAACGCAACCGCCCTACGGAAATACCAACTCGAACGTCTGCGCTATTTCTACGCTATTCTCACCTTCTCATCCCCATCTGTGGCGAAACACATCTACGACGCCGTCGACGGAACAGAATACCTCCGTACTGCGAACTTCTTCGACCTGAGATTCGTGCCGGCTGACACCGATTTTAGCACAGATGTTCCGCGGGAAGAGTGTGAGCGGATACCCGATGATTACCGACCGAATGAGTTCGTCACGGACGCCTTGCAGCACAGCAAAGTCAAGTTGACCTGGGATGCGGAGGACACAGGGAGGAAAGAAGCCGTGGCACGGGCGTTCAAGGGTGGCAAGGCCAAGGGAAAGAAGGGCATGCAAGAAATGATCGATGAGAATGATCTCAGAGCCTATCTCGCATCTGATTCCGACGACTCTGCCTCGGAAGGATTGGAGCTTGAAGCCGGAACAAGCAATACTCACGATGACGCTCCCGCAGCACGCCTGTCGAAGAAGGACGCCGAACGCCAACGGATGCGAACTCTCCTGGGCCTGCCTCTCGACCCCGTCAAGCCGTCCAAAACCAAAGATCAAGCACCTATAGGAGACATGCAAATCACATTTACATCCGGTCTAAATCCCAGCAAAGATGATAAGAAACGTTCTGTGTTCGAAAACTCGCCCGAGCCGGAGGAGACGACACTAGAAAAGTACGTCCGCAAAGAACGAGAACGCAAACAAAAACGGAGAGAAAAGATGAAGTCGGCGAACGCAATCCCTGGTCATGAAGACCGCGACGATGCCCCCACAGAGACCGCTGATCAGCTTGTTGAAGACGCGCACGAAGAGGAAGACGAGTTAGGATTCGACGACCCATTCTTCGCCTCCGCCGAACCATCTGCCGAGCACTCCAAATCAACGTCCAACAGACTGAAAAAGGAAGAACGGCTGAAGAAAAAACAACTGCGGGAGGCAGAAGAAGAAAGGGACCGCAAACAGCGCGCCGAGCTCGAACTTCTCATGGCGGATGACGACGTCGAAGACAATGACGGCGTCCCAGGAAAGTCCAAGATCCGACATTTTGACATGCGCGAAATCGAGCGCGCCGAGAAGCAAGCTCGCAAGAAGGGCAAGAAGAACAAGCTCAAGAGTAAGACCAAGTCCGAGGCTGCCCACAATGGCTCCGGCGAGATGCCAGCAGATGACTTCCAGGTCGACACCTCGGACCCGCGCTTCGCCCGCCTCTTCTCGTCGCATGAATACGCCATCGACCCGACGAACCCGCGCTTCAAAGGCACGAAGAACATGAAGTTGCTGCTGGATGAGGGTCGGAAACGCAAGAACAAGGACCAGCAGAAGCAGAGCGGTGGAAGAGATGACTCGCGAGAAGGACGATTGGCCGGGAAGAAATCAACCGGCGATTCTGAGCACGTGGGCGATGTCAAGAGCCTGGTGGAGAAGATCAAAAGGCAGCAGAAGAGCTGATAGCCTGTACAGAGTGAGAACGATACGTAGCGTGCGCGAGTGCTTCGTGTTTGTCTAATAGCCACTATGCAATAACAAGACAGGGGACTTGTTATAGGGACATCCATGAAATGCTTACATTCAGGGAGGCTACATAGTTACCCCTTTCGAGGACTGTGGAGTTATGTACTGTATGTACCGTACAGCGCTACCACAGTCAGATACCCACCGAGGTAGGTACCCACAGGTCAGACACTAAATTCAGCCACGAGGTCCAGTATGTACCTAGGTATGTGAGTGTGTACTGTGTATCCAGACTCAACCCCGGCTCAGTCAGTCAGCCTCGCCTGGACCGAAAGGTTAGAAGGCGAAGCACAGGAGTCATGTCTTCTTTCACTATTGTATCGTTGTCAAAGGACACGACGGCAAACGGTAGTACCTCCTCCTCGTGCTCCAGCCTCGGCGGTGTATTGTGTTGTGCCGGCCACCAGGTCAAGGTGGTTCAGTACGGGGTACATGTACTCATATCTTTGGCTCGTGTCTGCTGATGTCGCTTCCCCTAGCCAAACAGGTTCAGGTTCAGGTTCAGGTTTGACATCTGTGCTTACTAGAGTATAAGATGATTCATCATTAGGAGGTGTACTCACACTCACGTTCGCAACTCACCCCCCGTAGTCATTCACCTATCTGCTCACTTCAGACTTGGAACCTCCCAGCCGGGCGTCGGCAGCCGGCGTCAACTCTATAGCCACAGTAACGCTTGGGACATTAGGTTATATTAGGTAGATCCTATGGCTCTATCATTAATCATCCATCATCCATCATCCATTATTTGTCAATTATCATTTCTTATCTTGGTCAAGACGACACGCCAGCCTCAGTACCAGTTCGGGTTGGAGTACGAGTACGAGAGGACGAGTACGAGCAGGAGGAGGTGGAGGAGTATCAGTACCCGTCCTAATCTCAACGGATTGCCCTGATGAATCGAGAGCATCATCTTCGAGGCCGACTGTGTTGGTTTGACCGACTGGAGTCCCTTCTCCTCCTCCTGGGCACCTAACTTTGTTCTAGAAACCACGACCCTCGTATCTTTCAGGACGGTTCTGATCATGGCGTTGTCGGCGGCAGCGTCCAGTGCAGGGATCACTGGAGAAGGTCCAGACCCCGTGAGGCGAGGTTTGGCCACAAAAGTCGATGAGAGGGGGTGAAGAAATGTGAGGAGGCCGTGGGTTTTATGGCCCGCAGCCAAACCAGCACTGCTCAGGCAAAGGTCCGGACTCCGGAAGGATGAGTGTCTGTCGACCGACAAACAGGATGAAAAAGAGGACTTCTTACCGGTAAGTAGGCCTTGCGCTTCCAGATGATGGACGAGAGATGTGGCTTGTGACTTCCCGGGAGGGGGGCTTGGTGTCGGTCCGGTATTCGTTCCTGTGGAGGTCGCGAGGAGTCCAGCCGAAGAAAACAGCTCGAAGTTCATCAATATCGAGTGGTTACAAGTGCGATGCCGTTCTCACAATGTGTGCCTGCAACCAACGAAGCCAGACTCGGAGACTGGCTTTTGGCCGTACAGGGTTCCCTCCCGATCAAGACCTCCTCCCGTCCAAATACGAGGCAGTACTCCGGAAAGGGGTCGGTCTGGTCTTCACAAGCTCGTACCCCCCAGCACGAGTGGTGTTCCCACAGGTAGTACTGTGACTCTTTCGGAGGACAGGATGAATTCAAAGGGGTCTTGGGCCCCGGCCTGACTGTATAGTTACAGCGGACTCCATAAACAATACAGTACTTTATACAGCGGGCTACAGTACATGACACCCCTTAGCGCTGTCAGGCCAACTGTCGGGTAACCTTCCCAGTCACACAAGGCCAGCATTTGCGGAACGGAACAACGTTGCGCCGCCGAACCGCGTCTTCCATCCTTCCGTGTGACTTTGCACTACTTCCAGCGTTACAGAAGGTGTCTCCCTAAAGTCCTCTACTCGTAAATTCATTATGTCCTTTGAATCGAGCTACAGTATTAGCGAGATAAACGATATAGGGCCAATACCTTTTGCACAGGTTCGACGAGACAGCGGTGGACAGTATGAGAACAGGAAGCAGACGGTCCTAGTCGAGACCAAGCTTAGGCACTGTATATTGATCGAGTGCCGATTAGAAGTAGACGGCAAGGAAGTTGTTTCGTGCACCCTAAAGTCCCTAGCTAGGAGCCAGACACCCGTCCGACGACAAGCAATGTGGGCAGAGTCAAGTTTTGTAATTTGCACTTCAATTAGCCCTTGTGCGGCGTACTGCAACGTGTTCAGCGCATTTGACTTTCATTTGCTGTCTCTGATGGCGTCGCGGCACTCTATCGGTCGCCTTTTGTTCAACTCACTCTCCATCAACCACAGGCCTCTATCCCGAACTGCCTCGCCTTGCCGTATTTCCTGTCTGTCCGGAAGCCGTGCTGTGTGTTGTGCGCGATATTCCCCGCCATTCTTCAACCTTTTTTTTTGGCGATAGCCCCTTCCATTCGTCCCTCCCACGTTGTTAGTCGAACAACAGGGGTGCCACTACCGTGTCGTCGGTACGGCCTGTGAAGTATCATCCATTGTCCAGTCCACTGTTTCTGCAGGACTCCCATCGAGCTGGGATCGTGTCCATTGCAGCCCTCCTCCCGCAGTTCCCTGTCAACCTGGGGGTTATTTTTCGCCGATTGCTCCCACGAATGAGTCGCGGGAATGAGACGCTGCCGAAATCTTCTCTTATCGATAGGGTGGCATACCACCGTTGCCGGCACCACCTCTCAATCCCAATCCACGACCACCAACCTCACCATACATTTCCATGAATGCGCGTTGTTGCGGCCCTGGGTCAACCCCGAACCTGGCGGCCGGATGGTTTCCCATTCCACCAGGAAAGCCCGGGGGCGGACCGGCATTCATGAACCCTGGAGGCGGATACATGCCGGGGGGTAGGTTTGGAGGAGGCATGGCTGACTCGGAGGTATATTTGCGTTGGGGCTGTTGTGGCCGCTGCTGTGGAACTTGTTGTATCGGGATTTGCTGCGGTTGTCCGTACGGTGCACCTGACATGCTACGGGGAATGTTAGCCAGCCCTGGAGGAAGCGATGGCTGGCGAGGTGGTTGCTGTTGGGCTGGCGCCTGCTGAGCGACCCAATTCGGGTTCTGTCGCGGTAGCTGGTCCAACCCAGGAGGTCGGTGGAGACCAGGGGGATAACCCTGCACACTTTGTTGTGTGGGTTGCGCCGGTCTCTGCTGTGTCTGCTGGCCTCGAAGGAATGAAATCAAAAGATCTTCCTGCGATGGTTGAGTACCGTTGGTTGGCCGTCTTGTGCCCTGCTCTCTTGTAGCCTGGTCACTTGGATACATGGACACGGGCGAATCGTCGAACATCGATCCTCGAGTAGCTGCTCGAAAGGCATGTTGTTCTGCTTGAATGGGTGAAACGGTAACTCCTCGGGAATTGATAGGCCGATTACCTGTATCATTCGCTGATCCAAACATAAGACCACTCCCCGCTGGAGGTGGTGGGTGAGGTTTTGGTGCCAAACTCGCTTGACGGAGCAGGCTCAGCAGAACTTCATCCTTGTTGATGCTCGGCTGTTGTCGCGTGTGTACGGATTGTGGAACAGGTGACTCGGTATCAATCGATCGATGTTGTGGGGCAACGGGTTGGTCCTGATCTGGCCGCTTTTGTTGTGCCGCCTCGCTCTCACCACCCAGGAGGGCGATCAGATCGAGCTGAGGGGGCCTCGCTTCGGGTTCGGCTCTCTGTTCAGAGGCTCTAGCATAGAGTGGCGTTCTCGGCTTTGGTGCTTCTTGACTGTGTGGGGTGGGATTGTTGCTACGCGTCTGAAGCATTTCCAGAATGCGTGCGAATCCGGCCTGGTCAGCATCAGTAGCAGGGCCAGATGCTTCAGCCGACGAAGGTCTTTCTGTAGGTGGGAGCAGCTGCTGGGAAGGAAATTCGACCTGCTTGTTTTGCTCGGTTGAAGGGCTGAAAAGCGAGGCAAATTTGCTCTTGCCGTGCGGCTTGACGACGGCAGCCTTCTGCTCAGTAGCTTTGGACTCGAACCTGGCCAAGAATTTGTCCATCGAGTCGTCTGGCTCGGCCGAGACAACTCGCTTGGCTGAAGGTTTCTCCTCGGGTGGTGGGCTGGCGACAGCAGTCTCGATCTTCTCGAGAGGTGCTGCGCCCCCAGCTTTCATGCGCTCTTTCCACCGTTGGAAGTCTTCTTGGGTGCGGGCTTGGAACGGTTCCTCGGGTTCAGCAGAGTCCATCCATTCAGGCTCCGCCTCAGCTTTGGCATTGCGGTCCCGATCCCAGTCACGGTCTCTACCTCGATCTCGACGCCAGTCTGGGGCCTTGTCCTCCTCAGCGTCACCAATGTCCTTTCTAAACCATGACTGCGACAGCTTAGCTCTTGATAGTGTATCTCGTCTGGGCCCACGCGACGGTTCTTCCAGAGCTTGATCGTTGTCTTGGTCGTGATCACCCCGATCTCTTCCTGCCCACTTTGGCTTACGGTCGTACTCACGACGGCCTTCGGGCTCCGGATCTTCGCTCTCTTGGCGGTTGGCGTAACGCCCATTTGTTTGGGTATGTCTTCGCTCGTGCTGTCGCTCGTGCTCTTCGCCTGTCTTCGTCCTGTCGCCAAAAGTAGTGCGATCCTTCTCATCTGCGGCATCCTGTGCCCTGCCGGCGGCGCGCGCACTAGACGAAGCGAAGGAGCGGCGTGGTGGGCCAAGTACGATGCGATCGGGGTCTGCAAGTCTTTCTGTTAGCAGTTATCGCGATGGCCATGTATCTGGTTGATGTACCGGTAGTCGTTCGTCGCTGGGAGTCAAGGAGTGTCGGCCTCTTTTGAAACGTTTCAGTTTGCATGAGCGGTTCATCTTTGCTCGTGCGTGGAACAGGTCTCCTGCCGCTCGGTTCTGAGGGTCTGGCTGAATGTCAGTTATCATCCTCTTGCTTTTAGTTCCGTGGCTGGTCGGGTGCTCCATACCCCATCCATTCTTCAATCGCTGGCAGATTTGGAGGTTTACATATTAATGGCGACGCTCGTAGCTTTAACAGATCCTCGACCGAATATATTCCAGACATGTTTCGTGAGTGGTGTACAAGGCGTTTCGTGCATCGGTTGGTGAGGGGTGGCGGGCAATTGTATGGTCAACAGTTATCGCCAAAAGGGCAGATGAGGCGCCTAGGATGCGTGCCCAGAGCGGGCACAATGAGTAGAGGTTCGTAAATATGGCAGCTGACGGGGTCCCGAGTGAGTTGGGTTCGGAGCAGAGGATCGGTGTAGCCCGTCGCTTGGAGATTTGGTCTCATGCGAGGGAAATCAGCAGTGCTGAGTGGTGATGAGGGCGTGTCGAGGGTGCTAGTGCGCAGGTGGTAACAAAGAGGTCAGACGTGGATTGGTTGAGGGTGTTCTGTGCTACAATAGCTTTGTTCGTGTTCAGGCCAAAGAGTTTCTTCCAGCTTGAATCCTGTTCAGTGACGTCGAAAACGTGTTTGGTTACTGGCCGAAAATGTAAACGGGCGGGAGGTATGGAGGAGTAGCTACGGTGGATTGCGGTGGGTGAAGGCATCTGTACGGCCAAGCGCAGGCACGTGAAGTCACCAGGTAGTTGCCTGATCGAGCTGATGTTCCACGGTCACGTGCACGATGCCTGGCGAGTTTGGCCACCAACTTGGCGTAAGCATGAAGAAACAGCAGCCTTCCTTTCACCTCACTAGAACATGTGATGATTAGCATGAGTGGACTCAATGTCTGGCAACGCCTTCATTTGGAACGCAAGTCTTTCTGCACTATTGGAAGACGAGGACAGGCGGGTAAAAGGACGATGCAACGAGAGTTCTCTGACCCAACGCTGCCCGGGTTCCATGTGTCGTGCCCAGCGAGATGCCGGAGGGACTTCAACGTGTAGTCACAGCTGGAGGCCGCTTCGACAGAAGATCAAGCGACACCAGGTAGTCCTGTCTTTCGTTGGACGATGACCATGACAATGACCTGGGGTACAGCTGGTGGGTAGTGAACCGTCTTGATCGTGAATTCCCTCTGAATGGGGGAGTCCTCGTATCTACTATCTCTCTTCCACGTCTATGACTGTAACAACACCACGCACTGCGTTGTTTCGCACGCTCCGAGTGTTGCCCGCACCGGCGAGACGGTCTCCCAATTTCCACTCGCATGACAGCGCAATACAGCGCATGTCAGCGCACGACAGCGCACCTCAGTATCCGCCGCCTGGGAGCTTGTCAAAGACGAATATCGTGCTGTTCTAAAGCGTCAAAATGGGCAGGTCAGCTGCCGATCCTGATGTGAACATGGAAGAAGAGAAGGAGCTTAAGTCAGGTTACTCACGTTGTCAATGGCGACGTCCCTCAAAGCTGCGACGGCGGTCAAAGTCAGCCCTTGGCCTTGACCAACAAACAATACCACAACCAGCACTTACTCAGATTGGGCCTCAATTCCTTACTCCCAAAGATCAGCCCCGTGTTGGCCTGACTGACCTTGGCTTCCTCTTTCAGCTTGTCGTATAGCTCTTGAATCGTGCTGGTGGTGGTAAGACCGTGCAGATTGATCGTTCGGTGGTCGAGCTTGACGAAGACATTTTCCAGGGCTTTACCAGTGGGAGGGCCAGGGTATGGTGGGAGGTTGGCCTGATCAGGGTTGAGGTTGGGAGTAGAATTGGTCGGAGCCCGACGGTTGGTACCGTTGAAATGGTCGATCCGAGTCACGATTGCGCCCTGCATCATTCACGATAGGGTCAGTCTAAGTGTCATGCCCGTTGGTCCCTGAGCCCTCCCAACATGCCTGTATTGTGGCTTCTCGAAGGGGGGTCTGGAGGGGCGTACGTCTTTGATGCCATACTCGGCGAGAGTACGATCTGTCTCTTGGGTCAGCCACAGGATCTGAGTCGACTTATCACAGCAACATACCCTTGTCCTCCATCTTCTCGCTGAAAACGAACAGGTCAAGGTCTCCCGGGTTGACGTATCTTTTCTCAGCCCGCCCTAGCTCAACAGCCACTCGACTCTTGAAATTCTCGAACCTCTGCGCACGAGGCACATCTTTGATTTCGAGCTCGTGGGACCCGTCTTGCGTGACGATCCTGATCGAACCGAATGTGTCCGCCATTTCGTTGATATTGAAAAGCTACTATGCCTGGTGCTTTAAGCGGTCTCTGCCAATGCCAAATACGCTGATAGGAGGACAGCGGACCGAGGTCAACGGTAGAACCTGGACAGGCTGAATGTTACAGCTCAGAGGGTATGGAAGGCCCTTATGTGATTCAAGGTGGAATTCACCCAAGGCACTTCGCAAAAACAGATGCAATGTCTGTCAGCCTCATGCCCCAAGGCGTCACAAATTTAGCCATCACTAGCTTTCGGCGAGGCAGTGACAGGCGTTGGACTTTGGTCCGACTATCTTCCTTCTGCGAGGCTGCCACTATTGTTTCGGGCAACGGGGCCAAGACTGGGTATTGCGTTGGGGGGCTGCGAGGCGCACTGCCGGACTGGGCGTCGGGCGCTTCCTGAACACCTTGGAACATCGATCTGGCTGAGGGCACTGATCTTTCGTGTCGAAGTACACGTCGCTGACAGCGATTTCTGATTGTCGACCCGATTGTTGCTATGGCGGACAGCGACAGTTCCGACGACTGGAAGATCTACTGGAAGATCAATCTGCTTTTCTACACTTCATTCCTCGCCAAAGGGAAATTCAAATGCATGTGGTGCGACAAGGAAGAGATCTCGACTTCATTGATGCGTTCAGATTTTGCACTATCAGCTGTGACATGTTCTGCGGGACATGTTCCGAACTTCGACCCGGACAACATGCTTGGGGTCTGCTTCGACTGCGACGCGGAATTGGTACAGAGGATCACAGAACGGAGACAACAATGCTTCGAGAAGGGCTGCCGACGGTCCACATTGGTTCAGAAAGACAATGTGGTCCGCAGGTTGGGAAAGACGGCTATCGTTGAGAGGTACGTACTGCACCGTACGTCGAGAAGGTGAAGGGGCTGATTTGCTCCGAAGATACCTCGCCTTGGTTGACAAGCATCGCGTATTTGAATGCGAGGTGTGTTATTGCGAGCAGATCACGCCGGAGCAGTATTCGGAGCTTCAGACGACGGACAAATGTCAGCATGATCCAGTCCAATGTCGCGACTGCCTCAGGGCGGATCTCGAGGGACGCATCAACGCAGGCGAATGGCGGTCGATCAAATGTCCACATCAGAGTTGTGACGAAGAGTTGACTCCGAGGGATGTCGACAAGTTTGTCTCTTCAGAGGTCTTCAGGGCGTAGGTGTCTCATTCCTCCATCTATATCCACGACAGACACTCATCAGAGTGGTTGCAGGTACAACAAAGAGAAGACGTTCGAAGCTCTATCCCGGAACCCAAAGTACCGGGTTTGCCATGACAATTCGTGCGGCAACGGGCAGATAGTCAACGTCCAAAGTGAGTATCGCCTACTTGGGCCTGTTGCTGTTGGCTACACCGTTGCTAACGTGGCAGACTCTGATCCCTTTTGGGCGTGCTCTCGCTGTGGGAAATTGAGCTGCTTTCTCTGCAAAGAGATTGGCCACCGTGGGGAGACCTGCGAACAGAGTCACAAGCTCAATCCTCAACGCGACCAAGTGGAAGCTGCGATACGGAAGAAGTGTAAGCGATGTCCCAAGAAGGGTTGTCGCCGATTCATCCACAAGATCAGAGGCTGCACGCATATGACGTGTGTTAAGTGTGCGTCCAAGCCCTTCTCAAAGACCTTCCGCATGCCGGACCACTGTTTGCTGACTTCTGCACGTAGCTGGATCGGTTGGGTGTGGAACCAAGTTTTGCTGGAAATGCAAGGTGATTTTTCCGCTCAAGAACGGGAGGTACGAGTACAGGCACATACCCGGCTGTCCGATGGTCGGGAAAAGATATGAGGCGAAAGGCGTCATCGCGACGGTGCCACGCCCCCAGAAGGGAGATTCAATGTATGAAGAAGGATGGAGCGAGGATCCTGATTACGAAGCAGGTGAATCTGGCACCGAGTCCTGGACATGAGAAGGGACCAGACCACGCTGGTAGTGTACGGAAAGAAATGCATATGGCCTCCTTAGGTCGCACTCTTCGTCTAGCCTTCGAGCGCAATGCCCAAATGGCCTGTATTTGATCTGGAGACCGCGACCTGCGGCGAGACTTCGACAGAACCCTATAAGTACACTGAGCCCAGGTCTGAACAGGGTGCTACATGAATGTTGAACCATTTCAGCGCAAAGGTGATCCCCGGGTCCTTGTGTCTGGTGTGGTTTCATTGCCGCTTGCCTCTTCGTCGGTTGGTGCTTTCCGATAAGAAGGTAGTAGCGAGGCTCTGGTGGTGGAAGTTAGCGTAGTGCGAGCCAATTTTGTAAAGTAGCCAGGGCGACACTAACCGCCATACTGAGCTGAGCGGGCCCATGGTTGTACCATCCACCACACAGAAATAAGCCCTCCAGCCATGATCAACCAGGGCGCTCGCGAAGGGGATCGCAGCGATGCCCCCTGTTGCGGAAAGGCTGGGGCAGAAAACTTGTTGGTCAACCTGGGCAACACCAGCCCATATCAGAAAGCCGGCGATCGTCCGGATCATGTTGAAAATGATGCTCCATCCGGTCCAGAGGCGGATTGGAGTGCCGTCAAGAGGTTTCCCGCGCATCATCCCTATCTTGAGGAGAACGAGGACCGCAAAGGCGACGAGAAAGGACAGAATCCAGAAGGCGAAGCCCATTTTGGCTCCATCGCGGATATGTTTCACCCCGGGCTGAAGGATATCAGCTCCCCTGACGCCTTTACGAATATCGTCGTAGATGCCAATCGTAAACATGCCCAACACTCCTTCCACACATTGCATCTCTAGTGCGCTCTCGAGGTAGAGCGCAGGACAGATGTACGCCATGAACAGCACAAATGTTGCCGGCATAGGTCTGATTAACCATACCCAATAAAGATCCGAGATCGAGTTATCTGGATTGTCATCGGCCAGAAGTTGACCCTGCGCAACAGTGACGACAACGGCTTGGAAGAAAAAGCTGCCAAACAAGGACACAAAGAGGTAGAATCTGTCGACATGTCCAGCGCGCTCCTCCGACTGGTTTTTGGTGCGAGAGAATCTGCGTCGGAAGATGCTTGAGCCGCAGATGAGACTGCATACCGCTGGCGGGACCCAGAGCGAAAGCAGCAGGAGTGAAACCGTCGTCGATGTTTTGCACACCCCTGATGGTTGATGGACCTGGAAGCGCAATGTTATTCCACGCAAGCCATTCGAAGACATGTTGTGAATCAGTACGTCGACGGGCTCTCAGGTTTGTCCGCAGTGATGGCTAGAAGACATTCGAGGTTCACAAGGGATGGCATCGGGCTGGAAACGCCCACTCAGTCTGCCTTGCAGCCTTGCACCGTCCCATGATCGGGCAAAGTCTCCACCACCAAAAGCCAGGCCTTGGCAAGGTTTCCGGTCCTGGACACCGTTGACGCCCGGTCTGCGAGTAAGTCAAAAGAGGTCCACAAACATGTCAAAGGGACTTGAGTGTTGGGCTGAAATCTAAATATACCCAAGAACCTTGCATGTGGCTTACCGGAGTTGCCTTCCCAGGCAGACTCCTCGCTCGACCGAGTCTTTGAGTGTTTTGGAAGGTGTTCAGCCTGATGTGTTGTCGTTCACAATACCTTCGCCCGAAAGAACTGACGGGTGCTTGATTCTGCTCATTGGCATCGTCCCGGTGTCGAACATGGCTCCAGTGCCCCAACATCCGCACGTGTTCCAACGAAGGTGGTCGAACGCCGATGGAGAAAAGGTCGGGCTGTGGATATCTTTCGGAATCATCATCGCCATCATCCTCTTTACAGTCCTGTTAGGATCCCTCAACATTTACCTAGGTAAACCGATCTCCAAGATTCGCGAACTCGAAGACGAGCAGGCGGTACGAGACAACAGAGCCGAAACCCTTGCGCGCGAGCTCGAGGATGTGCGCAGCCAGCTTGCACGAAAGTCCGAAGTGTGTGAATCAGCCCTCAGGACCAAGGAGGGTGCCGAACGGAATTTTGACATACAGCGACAACTTGTTCTCCAGCAAAACGACAGAATAGCAAACTTGACCCGTGCGAGAGACGAAAAAGCTGACGAAGTCCGTCAACGATCAACCGAGCTTGCTGAATCCCGCCTGTTTGGCACTGAAAGGGCAACGGAAACGACCAACCTGAGAAACGAGTTACGCGACGTAGAAGCTGAGAGGACCCGGTTAGACAGGGAATGTGACAGGCTTAAGATGCAGTTGAGCTTTGCAACCGAGCAGATTGCAAGACATCGCCGCCATTGCAATCTGGATGAGGAGTGAGGTAGAACGACTCAAGGACAACGAGCTGTTGGCGGCGGACGCTGAGATACCAACCAGGACGAACGTTCGTCACGTCAGTCATTTGGTGTCATGAATTCCATGAAAGCATATGCATGTAGATCGGCGGTTATGAAGTGCTCAAATCGCAGTCTGCGTCCTCATCACGCAAGCTGTTTACTTTCTTCTGTGTACTTTGGTCGTTTAGCTGCCGGACGACCGACTTCTGTGGTTGTGCTCCTCGTCCGACGGCCGTAAGTCGACGTGATAATCAACCCAACATCTCCACATCAAGACCGATAGCCCTCATAAATAAGTTGACGTTGCCGAGCCGAGCACCCGCCATCTCCGGAGGCAATGTCTTGCTCTGAAGGACTGTTTCCATAACTCTGTCCTTCACCCCAATCACCAGCCTCTGTTGTTGCTCAGGGCTGGCACATATGCCAATGGCTGCCAAGAATTGCCAAACATACATGTCGTCTCCAGAATTGACCGGTCCGGGGAACAGCGTTGCAAGAAGAGGCTCCAAAATATCAAAGAGGCGACCGTATAACATGGTCCACTGTTGCCAGTCCTCGTCAGTCACTGACCCGGCCTCTTTCACCAGCTCAGCGCGCGTCAACAACATCGTCATCATGCCGAGACCGATTTTAGTATGCGCAACAACCGAGACGTTTGTGCGGTCGATGAGAAGACCGAGCAGCCCGGTGACAATGTTGATTGGTGCTTCCGTGACGCAAGACAACAAGCACGGCATTACGGTTTGAGAAAAGAGCTCGATTTCCTCTCGAACAATCGGAGGAGGTTGTGATGCACCAGGGGCCAAAAGAGCGTCTTTCACCACATCCAGCTGATCGAGATGGACCACTACCATTGTCAAAATGATGATTGGTTTGTCCTGGTCGATCTGATGAAAAACGCGGGGAATCGCCTTCTTCCCTTTAGCGAAGGACAGGAACGCGATAAACGGGTGAGCAACAAGTGAGCCTGGCACGATAGGGTCGAGCACCCTAAGACCTTGCCAAAGACTGTCAACAAGCTCGCGCTGCTTCTGACGCCACTCAAGATGCGCTTGAATGGAATCACCATCGCCCTCTGTCGCTGGAGGAGGCGCCTGGCGTTCGTGATCCTCAAGACGCATCAGGGTCGTATATACAGCTTCGATGTTTCTCAGGATGGTTTTGCGGTCGCTTGTGCTGACGCTGTCGCCTTTCTTTGCGCTTCCAGGGCGGTTGTCGGAGTTTTCTGGTCTCTTGATGTTGAGCAGAGGTTTGGGAGTCTTAGCATTGCTAAAGGAGATTTTACCCAGACTCCCCTCGATGATCAGCTGCTTGTTCTTCGGCTTGAGCTTGGCCGCCTCTACGGCTCGTTGGACTTGCTGTTGCATTCTTTGCATGTGGTTGTCTCCGTTGATCTGCTGTCTTCTGTTACCCATGCGTGTCCCAGTTTGGAACAGATACGTCTGAGCGAAATGGCCGAGAGGTTGGGTCGGATGCTGTCGTGGAGCACCCCGGATCTGGCTATAGACCTGGTAATAGAAGTCCTCGTTGAGGGCAGCCTCAGGATTTGTATCGGTTGAGCTCCCAGTGGCTGCAACTAATTGCTGAAGTTGAATCCGAGTGATAAAGTTCTTGTCTTGCGGTGTCATCAAACCGTTCCCTCGCGACAGCAGGAAGATCTTGTGATTTCTCTTAGCTCGTCTGGCATCTTCTTCGAGATAGGCACGACGCTGCTCCTCAGACAATTCCATTAGCTGCTGAGGGTGCGTTATAACGGGTAATGCTCCAGGTCCCTGGGCCATGGGTGGTTGCACTGGCTGCGCTCGTTCGAGACTTGGCTGCGGAGAATGCCGAGCTCTATTGGGATTCTGGAGAATCTGCAGAGGCTGTTGAGGGCCACGCGGAGCTGAGGGCATGCGATTGTGACCTCCAGGTCCAGGCATAGGTGGTTGTGGCTGCTGATGGGCTGGCATACCGAGGGGCGGGCCCATTTGCTGAAAAGGCTGAGGGGGTTGCTGCTGGAAATGTTGCGGTGGAAACGGAGACGACTGGGCGTGCGAAAACCCAGCTGGTGGCTGTTGTGCCTGGGATTGAGCAAGCATAAGGGCTTCGACTTCTTCCAAAGTCATCATGGCAGGAGTCTGGGACACCGGAGCCGGCGCAGGAGTGGACGCAGGCACAGGAGCAGGGACTGAAGCCGGTACAGCAGGCCGAGCCGTACTGATGCGGTTATCAGTCTTTGGAGCAGCAGGAGGGGGAGCTCGTGATCCCCATGCGCTGGATTTTGCCTGAATGTCTGGAATGTAGCCCGGATCCTGATACTTCTCGTAGCCAGTCTTCTTGGGCCTCGCGAGCTGGGGTTGGCCGGCACCAGCATGGTGGGACGGGTGCTGTAAGTTGTAGCGCATGTGCTCTTCGCTGATGGCATTCGAGACTTGGGCGGTATTTCCAAAAAAGTCAAAGTCTTTGCCCACATTGCCCTCACTGACGCCGCCCTCGGCACCACCACCGAAAGTGTCATCGTTCAAGTCGTCGCCTGTCTCCTCGAGTTTGTCACCGAGACCATCGTAGGTATCTTCAAAGTCGAGGCTAGCAAAGGAAGTCAGAAAGCGGATGGGTATGCGGACGCAGAACGACGATCACGTACACCTCTTCCTCATTGCCTTGGAAGGCTTGTAGCTTCCGTGCCTTTGCGACTTCGCTAAAAGGGTTCGTGTGCTCAAAAATGCCCCGACCTGATGACCCAGGCTTGTCCCTGGGGAGAGCTGTGTCGAAGCCGAAGAAAGACATCGTGGACGATGGGTATGTGGCAAATATCTGATCAGTTTGAACAGGACTCGACTTCACCGTGGTTTCACCCCGCTCCTGTCCACCTCTTTTGTCGACCGGGAGGAGCTGCTTTGCATGATCCAATCAAAGTCCAACAAGCGCAGATGCTACGAGATGCCAGCTTAAGTGTGTGTTGCCTAGCTGAAGCGGATCAGCGATTGCGGGTTGTTCGAGTGAACCGCAAGTGAATTGTGGGTGAACTCGAAGATGCTCATCATTGAATCAGTGACGCAGGAATGTTTCGGTGTGCGCGAGGTGCGCCCAGCTGCAATTGGCTAGGTGTCCCTCGTGCAGAAGAGGCCCGCCTGACCTGCCCATTGCGGGCTTCCAGGCTGCCCCTGGAGCCAAGCCACGCGTCCAGCGCCCATGCGAGCCATTCCAGGGGGCCTGTTATTATGCCTGTTTGGCCTGGCTCTCGCCTCTTTTAGAAAATAATACGGAGTACTGTACTCCCTACGCAAGCCTCAGCTGCATCACCGCCCGCCCTCCGCGTCATGCTAGACTGAAAGTGAAAGGCCCATTTCGTCCAGGTGGAAAAGTTTGGGCTACACAGATCGATTCAGCTTGCGCGTCGCCTTGTATCTCCCTCGTCGCTCTCTTCGCACCGCCCCATACCAATGGCTTCTTGAGGGCTTCTGCTTTTCGACAGCTTTATCTTGCAAGAAAGGGTCTCTTTGTTTCCAAGCCTCTTGTTCTCTTGTCTTCTGCCTCCAGCATTGCGCGAGTCGACTCCACATTCTACTTGCTGGCCGCATGTGTTGATCACACGGCTTCCGGACAGGCGCACCTGCTACTAGTTGTCACCGATTGTCCTTGACTTCAGGCTCTCCTGCTTCGAGGACTGCGACATTGTCCTCTCCACATCCTGTGTTCCCAAACATTCCCTCCCTAATATCGATACCCCCTCCCACAAGATGGCGACCGGCTCCGGGAGATATCTGCGTTATATACTTTTTGCGGTGTTTGTGAGTTACACAACAACGGCCGAGTCCAGGTCTGAGACATCGCATACTGATCTGACATGAACAGGGGATTGCCATTCTATACTTTATTTCTACCTCGTCACTACCCGAATCAGCGGGCTCCTTGACCCAAGGCACGACTTTTGGCTGGGACCGGCCCGCAGAGTCGAAATCGAGTCCTGAGGTGAAAGATCCAGCCGAGCTCGTTCATCTTCCTCAAACAGATTCCGCTACATCCTCCGCTACCGACGCGCTACCGACTCTGGGAGTGACGACTCCGAATGTCGTCCCGACCATCCCCTCCGAACTCTCCCCTCCCGCGCCTGGCGAACGTGTCAATGCAACCTTCGTCACCCTGGCGAGGAACAGCGATATCTGGGAAATAGCCCGCTCGATCAGACAGGTTGAAGATCGGTTCAACCGAAACTACAACTACGACTGGGTGTTCCTGAATGACAAGCCCTTTGACGAGACATTCAAAGAGGTCACTTCCTCCCTCGTGTCTGGGAAGACGCATTATGGAGAAATCCCCGTTGAACACTGGTCCTTCCCACCGTGGATTGACCAGAAGAAAGCAGAGGCAGTGCGCGAGGATATGCGCCGAAGGAAGATCATCTATGGCGACTCGATCAGCTACCGACACATGTGCCGTTTCGAGTCCGGTTTCTTCTTCCGACATCCGCTGCTCCAACAATTCGAGTACTACTGGCGAGTAGAGCCCAGCGTCGAGTTGTTCTGCGACATTCACTACGACCCCTTCCGATATATGAAGGAGAACAAGAAGAAGTACAGCTTCGTCCTCAGCCTGTACGAATATGTCGAGACTATCCCGACTCTGTGGGACAGCGCAAAGAAGTTTATCAAGTCTCATCCTGAACACATTTCCCCGGACAATTCCATGGCATTCTTGAGCGACGACGGCGGAGACACGTACAACAAGTGTCATTTCGTAAGTGCCACACCGAATACACAAGAGATCAATGTACTAACGTCGGCTGCAGTGGTCAAACTTTGAGATCGGCAACCTAGACTGGCTGCGCTCACAGCCCTATCTAGACTTCTTCGAGTCCCTCGACAAGGACGGCGGTTTCTTCTACGAACGCTGGGGCGACGCACCTGTGCACTCAATTGCCGCTGGTCTCCTGCTCCGAAAAGACGAGATCCACTTCTTCAATGACATCGCATACTACCACGTCCCCTTCACACACTGTCCGACGGGCGACGACGTCCGCCTCAAGCTTCGCTGCCACTGCAACCCCGCCGATAATTTTGATTGGAAAGGGTACAGCTGTACATCGCGCTTTTTCGACCTCAACAAGCTTAAGAAGCCTGCTGGGTGGGAAGCTCAAGTATAGCAATCAACCGCCCGTAAGGGCGGAAGCCAACAAACGACCACAAACAGCCAAACCGGCAAAAGCCAAACCGGCACCACTGAAAGGCTTGAGGAAGCAGGTGTTTCTCTGGCGTGGGAGATGTTAAAATATGCGTGCATCACATTTAGCGTTGGCCTGGTCTTGACGATTATTTTATTGAGGATTCCCAGGACGCGGCGGAAGTTGCTTTCTTGGGCGGATCGAATGGCGGAGTGGCATGAGAGTGGTATTCACGAACCCGAGGACGACCAACCGTACCAGAAGACCGAAAATGCTCAGACTTGAGCAGTGCACATGCCACCTAATTCGGGATGAACAAGATGGCGGCAGATTGTATCAGCGTCGCAGAGGACGGTTTGATTGTCAACAACGAACAGCAACAACAGGAGAAGCAAATCTCTTCCCCCAATCGATCTCCATCAGATGCTCGACGCCCTCAAAGAACATGCTACCCCTTGATAGGCAAGTTCGCTTCAACTGTACAAAACAACCCGAGATCCATTCGAACGTGACGTTTCATACCACAGGACACAGGGACATGATGTGATGCTCAGGGCGCAATGGGAGGAGGCTATTGCTACAGTATTCAAGACACAAAACTTTTGCACGAGCGGCGTTGGGGAGACTACCTCGTTATTCGTACTCGGGAACTGGAAAATGGCACGGGCCAAGTGGATTGGCACAGATCGAGCTGCTATGCTATGCTCCTGTACGACTGTGGCGGCTGCAAATTGGCAATAGTGCAAGCGCCATCGAGCGCCATCAGATATTCGTTCACGATCAAATGCCTAGGAATTGGATTCCAGCACGGAGCAACGAGCGCGTTGAACAAGGAAGTACGGAGTACCCTATAACTTTGTGTTAGTTCTCGGAGCACGTGTCAGGTTTGACATTTTCTGGTTCTGCCATGCCCTAGACAGTACAAGTACTCCGTACAAAGTGTATGAAGGTTGGTACAGTTCATTCCACGGCTATAGGAGCGTTTCCGTGTTTTGGGCTGTCCCAAATCTACAGTACGCCATCCTGCTATCGCGTCTCTCGAGTGTTCCCAGCTTGATTTCTTGATACGCAGGGAAAGCCAGCACAGTACTCTTTCTGTCGGGATGCTGGCGCCCGTGTCGCGAGTCGTAACCTCGGAGCTCGCTGAGCTTCAACGCCTCAATCCCACATAAAGCCGTTCAACGGCCGTGACGAGGCAACAACGGCATACCGAGTCCGAGTTCCTGTATTCAGTAAGGACATGGACCGGAGTAGCAGTGTGACGGCCAGTCCGTCTCCTCTTGACCGGCATCGCAACCGATGGCGACCAAGCTTGCTCTCACGAAACGAAACCTTCCAGCCGCTGTTGTTCCCAGCTTGCCTTTCCTCTTGTCAGGCATGGCTCGCTTAGGTCGCTTTGTCAGGCGTCCACAACAGCCGACTCGCGCTGTGAATATACAATTTGTGTGACCCCGGTTATGCTGTCTTCGGTTTCTTGGTCCCATATTTCGATCGGCTCGTCATTCGCGTGGGAACACCGCCCTGTAGATTACCACGTGGTGATGTCAGTCAATGATCTTTGTAAACATCCAAAGCCTATTCTCGAGATGGGGCAGTGTGTCATGTCCCACAAAGCCATAGCTCGCTCCGCTCGAGCTTCAGCTTTGGTTGAACTCCAACTTCCCGAATCAAGCACGCAGATATATAGGATAGAAACGACATGTGGGATGGTCGAACTCACCAGGTCAAAAGCCCCCCTGACCAAATGATACCTCACACCGGGACAATCTTGACTTCTCCCGCCCCTGACAAGCACGACACTATGCTGCTGTACATTATGCCCCTCCCCGGGGATATACGCGCTGACCACCCTTCCTGAACTCAATCGGACCTTTGCTGTTTTCCTCTGTCCGGAGTTGGGTTTCTTGGGCTTCGTGATGCCCACTTTGAGGCACACGCCTTTCATGGCCGGTCGGTTTGCAGCGCTGAGAGCGGGAGACACGGCGTGTCGAGCTTTCTTCGCGTGGCGGCCATTCGTGCGCGTGCGGAGTTGGTTGAGGGTTACCGAGAGGGGGGAGGTGGAGGAGAATGAGCGAGTCGCCGGTGAGGGAAGGTGGTGCTTTGAGAGGATCGCGGGTTGTGATTTCGATGTCGAGATGGTGAGGCGTGAGAGTGCGCGGAGGGCGTGTAGCGCCGAGGCGGATGGTATCGGTGGCATCCCCAACGACTTGACAAGGATACACGGAAGAGAAGCAGAGACGGGTAGGAGACCAGGTGAGTGGGTTAAGCGAAGTGCCAGTCCTGCTCAGAACCGCGACGAGATATCGAAATTCAGAGCTTCGCACCTGACACTAGGCCGGATTGGGGAAGCGTCACAGCCTTGTCTTCTTGCTATGGTCAAGACAGCCTCGTCGCAGGCTACAGTAGCGAGGCGGCAATTGTTTCCTGCGCACCCAGAAGAGGGCGGCTAGACAGACGACTCGATCACAATATCCTGATCCAAGGTAACGGCGCTGAAGACAGCACAACAGTCTGTTCCTTCCATCTGAGCGAGTATCTGCATTTATCTGAAAGCTACTGTCTTGCAAATATACGCCCGAACCGGCTCTGTCCTCGAATCCTTCCCCTCCAAGTGAAATGAAATGGCAGAAGCAGCCGGGCTGGTCGTCGGCGCTGTAAGCCTCGCGGGTCTCTTTACCAACTGTGTCGACTGTTTCGAGTACGTCCAAATGGGCCGCAACTTCGGGAAGGATTACCAACGGTCCCTCTTGAAGCTCGACGTCGTGAAGCTCCGCCTGTCCCGGTGGGCGGAGGCTGTAAATAACTCCTCGAACAGCCGCCAGGCGGCCATCGATACTACGAGGAAAGCCCAGCAGGTCGGAGAGATCTTGGGGGAAATCATCGAGTTGTTTGCCGATGCAGAAAGAGTTTCGGCAAAATACAAGGCCAAGGCTTCCGGTGACGAGCTAGCCGTGTACAACACTGAGAGCGAGCTTGAGCCCGACATCCTCTCGGTGCACCGGAAGATGCGAGCGTTGGCACTGAAGCGCCAAAAGCGAAGCAGCTTCGCACAGAAGGCCGCCTGGGCATTGTACGAGGAGAAACATTTCCGCAGGCTGATTGAAGATGTCACAACACTTGTTGATGCCTTGTTGGAGCTCTTTCCAGCCACACAGGAGCGGCAGCGGCAGCTAAGTGCTGAAGAGGCCGAAGAAATGAGGGAAGAGCGGCGGCTGGATGCTTTGGAAGATGCCACTGAGGGAGTCGATCAGCTGCTTCGGAATTCCGTGCAACACGCAATTGCAAGCCAAAGTGGTCACACGTTCACTGAAAATTTGGCCATGGACAATTCTCGGGTCAGGTATGGGGATGAACATGCACCCGGAGTCCCTGGCGCTGGAGCTGGGCACAGATATGGGGGAAACACCGTACAGGGCAGCTCGAAAGTGCACTACGGGAATCGATTTGGGGGAAAGAGTGTGCTTGACGACTAAGACAACAAGGACCATCGGCGACGCAGTATATGGTCTGATCAGGGAATTTGCACGGCATCGCCGAGGGGGTAGGCTGGTCTCTCCTCGCGTCTGAAACATCTCCGTTCCTCGCGGACAAAGGATCTTACTTCCACTCTCTGTCAACCTGTTGGTAACACATAACTGTCTCGAGCTTGTACCTACGTGATACTAATCTGAAGCCGATATAGGGGTTTGGCGCTGCTCTTTTCCGGGAGGTAGGCTCATAATACTATCATTTCTGTTATCTGCTCACCTCAACCTTACAGCCCTCGGTTATTGAGACCACCAGAGTCATCGTCTGCTTCTCGACGCCAACTAACTCCACCTTCTCTCCAGGAGGTAATCGAATCGTTGGGTATCTTTGAATCAGACGCACGACAGCATATGCCGCCTCAGCGAGGCCAAAATCCATCCCCAGGCATGTTCGCGGCCCACCGTTGAAAGGAAGATACCCCCATTTGGAATTGGTTGGATCGTCATCAAGGGCCATATGTTCCTCCCATCGCTCGGGTCGAAATAGTTCCGCATCCATTCCATAGAAGTCGGGTCGTCTATGCATGGAGTATACGCTGTATGCGACTGAGGTCCCCTTAGGGACAAGCACAGGTGATCTGAGATCTGGCCCCCCACCAACTGGGAGGACAGTGGTCCTCAGAGCGGTCCGGGAGTTCACCGGCACAGAAGGGTAAAGTCTAAGAGCTGGATTTGTAAGTCAGAAGAAAATAGGTGGAAGATACGGCTGGTGTAATAGGTCTTACTCTCTTTTAGGACATTTTGCAGGTAGTTCATTCTCCGGAGGTCCGATCGAGTAGCCTCCGCTTGGCCGTCGAGGGTGGATGCGATTTCTGATCTCAGTTTGTCCATGACCCTGGGGTGCCGCACAAGGAGGAAGCTGCAATGCCTGTTAGCCTGATGGAAGAATTGGACGGCCTTTGCTTGCCCACTCACAATGTCCAGGAGATGAGGCATGCGGTCGTGTCTCTACCTGCAACCAAGATGTTTATGATTTGGCTTCGCAATGCTTTGCGATCTGGTGTGTTTCTGGCAAGGAAGTCCAGGAACACATACTTCTTCTGTCCTTTATCGCAGCCCAGGTCTCTGGACAAGTTCCGATCAATGATCTGGTCAGCGAAGCGATGAACATCATGACAAGCTCGCCGAAATTTTGATCCCCCTACAAGCCAATAGAGGTCTTGTAGTCTCATCCTTTTCGCAATGAAGTCTTGAGCGGTGTTGAACGCACTGGCAAAGTCGGATTCTCCAGCACTCTCCAGCTTCTCTAAAGAGCGTACGGACTCTCCGAACAAGAACGCGGTGGTCACATCCAGGGTCAGCCGGAAGAAGAAGGGTTGGAGATCGACGACTCCGTTGGCGGGTAACGCTTCCAAAAGATTGTCGACCGGTTCTCGAAACACTTCCAGATCTTCGTACTGCTTGTACACAAACTGCGGCCTCAGCATTTCCCGCGAATGTTTCCAGTCGGCACCTTCCTGGGTGAATATGCCGTCTCCGAAGAAGGGAAACATGACCTTTCGTCTTGGGCCCATGCCCCAATCTTCGAACTGGGTGCTGAGAATAGCTTCCAGATTGGCCGGTTCTATTGTCCCGAAGGCCTGGGAGCCCAGAAAGACTTGCTCGAGGGTTGTGCCCCAAAGTCTGAAATGAAATAAAAACAGCTCCATCAAGCGAGACTCGCTGTCTGCCCGGAATATTTGCTCGAGGCGATCCAGGCCCAGCGGCCTTTGGTTCAACAGCCTCGGAGGCGCTTGACACCCGTGAGCCACGTGCATTTGCATATCATCCTGCAGACCGTCAGAACGTTTGTCGCTGGTGGCAGGCGCTGATCAGACTTACTCGACGTTTCCGAGTGACATTGATAGCATGGTAGACATAAAATGCGCATATGCAGCCCAAAGCAATAAACAGTGAGGACATGATACAACACGGGCACGGTGCGACGTCCCCCCAACGAAGTGGAAAACAGCGCAACGACTGAAGCCAACTGGGGGGGACTTTTGGAAATTTGAGAGGCAAAGTACGAGTAGAGATGCTGTCAAAGAACCCCTTGAAGCGCGGGACCTGCAGAATTGGTTTCGGCGTCGCGCATTAGTGCAAACGCCACCTTCCTCTGACCTCCAGGTCGTCAAGGAAAGACCCTGCCTGCATCTTTACAGGTAGGAGTAATTATTCCGTAGTAGGAGAGGCCAGGCAATGTTTCATCTGCCGCACTCATGGTTAGACCACCCACGACCACAGCAACACTGGCTAATAAGCGCCGTGGCTGTAACTTAGCATGCGGACCGGCCCAAGCGGCAAGTTTGTCTCAGTGCTGATGGCAAGTATTGTGTGTCTGGGTGCTCTCGAAGGCGTTGCTCTTCCGCCCTCTCTCACAGTCGTCCCACTGCTGAGCCCCAAGGCACGTAGGGGCCCATACTCCGTACCAAGTGTCGGTATGATTCCAGCATGGCGGGCCAGTCGTTTGAGCGGAATCTCATCAACGAGAGCAAAGTGCATTTCGGGAACAATTATTACACTTACAGTGGAAAAGCCACCTCAGAATCCTCCGGCGCTGCTGAACCCGCGGTGACCCGACGTTGGATCGAACCGCTCCTTTCAAAAGAAGAAGATGCGTATGGCTTGAATGAGCTTTATTGCGTGCCTCGTTGCTCTCGCCCACAATTCGTCGGACGACAGCTGCTGGCGGATCGAGTGAAAGAACAACTCGGGCAGGCGAGCGGTGGCGAGCACAGGATTGTCGCTCTCTACGGATTAGGAGGTTCTGGCAAAACTCAGTTCTGCCTAAGATACGCGGAAAGCAATCGAGCAAGGTGAGCTGGTATGGGCCTGTGTGGCAACTGCTTTTGACACCATGTCTTAGTTACTGGGGCGTTTTCTGGATCGATGCCAGTACCCGCGAGAACGCTGAAGCCGGCTTCGCGCTGCTAGGGCTACAAGCAGGCAAAGGGTCGACCTTTGCGGCCGGCAAGTACTGGCTATCTCAGTCTCCCAAGCCATGGCTGCTGGTTCTTGACAATGCAGATGATCCCGACCTGGACATTTCAGAGTTCATCCCGGCCGGGGCGCATGGGCATGTCCTTATCACGACGCGGAATCCGAACGTGGCAATCTATGCTACAGCTGGTTCCTTCCGGCTTCAGGGCTTGGACCCGGAGGAAGCTATAACCCTCCTGCTTAGGTCGGCCTATCCCAGTGATCACGCGAGTGAAACGGGCGCGGCGAAACGCAGTCTGGCACAGAGCATTGCTGCCGAACTAGGCTATCTCGCTATAGCATTGGATCACGCAGGAGCGACAATACGCCGCAAGGTCTACACTCTGGAGAAATATCTCCACTTTTACCTTGGTTACCGCCATCGCTTGCTCAGTTCCCCCAAGTCCATCAGTGCCGACGAGGCGGATGTCATCACCACCTGGGAGATACCTTTCAGAAGGATCGAGAAGCGGGAATCTGTCGAGTATAAAGACGCTGTTGTCTTGATGCACATCTTCGCCTTTCTCCATTTTGAATCGATTTCCGAACACATTTTTCGTGTATCATGGGCAGCGAGCGAGAATAACTCTTCATCAGATGTGTTATTGCCGGATCTCCTTCGACTCGATTCGAGTTGTTCTGATGAAGCGCAGATACGGCTTAGACGGGCCATTGGAGTCCTCTGCGACTACTCGATCATCGACCATGACGTGGAGCGCGAAGTATGCTCCCTACACCCCGTCATTCACCGATGGGCTCGGACTAGGTTGTCTGATGGAGAGCAGCTTGTCAGCTGGCTGGACTGCACCATCAAGCTTCTCGTCCGATGCATCTCGCCCAACCTTGAAGCGTCCGGGCGACGATTTCGCAGGCATCTTTTACCTCATATTGAATCATGCCTGCAGATGCTCGAATTCCACACCCCATCGTTCCCGCAAACGAGGGAAAGGGCAGACCAAATGGAAAGGTTTGCATGGGTGTATGCAGAAAGCGGCGGCTGGAAGTCAGCTCTCGGCCTGCAAACTAAGATTATCGATTACAGAGCTCGCACATTGGGTAGAACGCACGAAGACTCTCTGAGGGCTCAGCGTAGCCTGTCTCAAATACACTGGAATCTCTTCAACGTGCAGGCGGCCCTGGATATTCAACACCAAATTCTCAAGGCACGATGGTGGTCAAGGCCGTCTATTGTGTACTGGGCGTCGCCATGGATGCCGGATCACATCAGCTATTGTATCGCACTGGATGACCTTACCCAGACGCTGTGGCTGGCGGGGCGAAGAGACCTCTCGAAATGGACAGGCGAGCGCGCCGTGAACGGCCTGTTGAAGAGGATCGGTCCAGATGATCCTCGAACATTAAATGCAATGTTCAACTTGGGTCGTACATACCTCCATATCGGCGACCTGGAGAAGGCGCACAAATTACTGTCAACAGTGCTACTGAAGAGGAAGAGACTCTTCGGTCAGAACCATCCGGACACCCTCATGGCGAGAAACGAGCTCGGAATGAGTTTCTGTGCGCGTAAAGAGCGTCTCGGTGTGGCGGAACGACTGGTGACAAATGTCCACGAAGCACGCAAGCAAGTGCTAGGTGAAGAGCATGCGTACACTCTGTGGTCGGCGAACGATGTATCAAAGGTCCTCTGTGAGCGTGGCCGTCCATCTCAAGCCATAGACATGCTGACAAAGCTGATCCCGGTCGTCAAGCGAACACTGGGGGAGGAACATGTCGGGATGAACATGACCAAGGGCAATCTTGCACGAGCATATGTGCTGTGCGAGAGATGGGCTGAGGCCGAAAAGCTCCTCCGCGAAATGCTCTCTGTCCTCAAGGATGACCATCCTGACAGGATTCAAACCGTGTCCGGGTACATCCATGTGCAGATTCGCTCTGGTCGGCTAGGGGAAGCCGAGAGGAGCTGTACAGAGGCCCTGCGCAAGATCTCGCAGGAAAATGGACGCTGCAAGGACGATCCTCGAGAGGCGGTCGTTGCGAAACAGCTTGCGAGCATTTACGTCGCCACTGGACGCTCTGACCAACTATCTGCCCTCACAGCCAAATTCCCGGCATTGGAAGGAATGGATCTAAAAGAGATCGAGCACGACTGAAAGTAGAGAATTCTGACGTTTGACACCGAAACCCATACACACAGGGGAAGTCATATGCGGTGTTGCAGTATCAGTGTGCCACAGCTTGTGGAGCTGAATGAGAAAACACACCACCAAACATGCAATGATGAGCCAGGTTTGAAGATCGAGAGGACCACCGCCAAGGAGCGGTCATTTCAAACCGGAGAAGTCGATGCTTCGAGCCACAAATCTCACAATATGCGAAAACTTGCGCCACAGGTCGGGTTATCATGAGAAAGGGCCGGCGTAAAGTCCACCTCAGCTACTACATGCATCTAGTATGGCTGGACTTTGATCGATGCTTCGACGTGATCGAACAGTTGCTCCATGACTACTTCAGCGCTGGAGTTAGGAATCTGCAACCTGGCAAGGAGCTAGAGAGTTGCAGGCCGCAGACTCGAATATGAGTAGTCGCCGATCAAGGAATGGCAGTCGATCGCATATCATGCTGAAGCCTTCAGGGAGCTTGGAGCTACAAAGGAAAAGTGAGGTACAGTATTGTGAACCAGCGAGCGCCACGAGAGCCGTCACTTTCCCCCAGGACCAGATCTTAGCCACCGTGGTATCGCGGTTCAGGACAAGCTCTTTGTGAGGCGAGACAACAACCTCTCAAACGACGGCTAGCTCCCCTACACCGACGTCGACGTCGACATCGACATCGATTTCGACATCCTCGGCTTCCATTTCGGCCTCACTCCTAGAAGCACCAGGAGGATATGTGTACGTCTATGTCCCTATTATCTATACACTCTATAAAAGAATAGAGTATAAGCGGATCAATGGCGTGCCTTCTACACCGGTTGGGTGGATCAGATCAGATACCCTGCAATCTCTCAGCCTTCTCTGCTCGCACGTAGGGAGTACTCCCATTCCTTCTCCCTCTCCCTCTCCCTCTCCTTCTCCTTCCCCTCCTCCTCCTTCAGACGCGCCATCTTTCTCAAATCCTTCCAGTACCATACTTCATCCACCAACCTCCCATCCCGAGGACTATACCCGTACTCACGCACCACGCCAAGCCTCTCATACCCGAGTTTCGGATATACCTCCTCGGCCGCGGACCCGACCTCGGTGTCGAGCATGAGATTCCACCGCCCATGGTCCAGCGCCACGGTTTCCAACCGAGCCATCAACTTCCTGGCGATGCCCCGCCGCCGGTGCATAGGGTGGACGAATAACTTCTGCACCTCGCCACGGAACGGGCCGGTCTGCGAGAACGGCGTTTCGAGGGAGACGACGCCGGAGATTTCAAGGGCTGTCGCTTGAGCATCTCCATCTCCATCTCTGTCTGTCGGCACCCGCAGCACGACAGGCCAGCTCCTCCCCTCAGCAGCCCACGGGGCCGTGAGGTCATGGTTTGTCGTCCGATCAGCCACGTTGGACACGGACACTATAATATGCCGTTCGCGGGCCGTGACTTCTTCGAGGCGCTTCTCCCACCACTGGTAGAGCTGCGAGTGCGACAGGGGGGGCAGGAACGTGGCGAGCGTGTGGTCGTGCAGGATACACGCGGCGTGGAGGTGGACTATGCCGTCGATGAGGGATGAGACGGCGGGGTCGGAGGAGGCGTCCGCGGCGGTGGTGGCGGCGGTGGTGGTGGAGACGAGGTGGATGCCCGGTGTCAGCGGGAGTGTCGACGATGAGGCCATCGTGTTGAGGTCTGGGCGGAAATCCCGACGAAAGCGACAGGGGATGTTAATCGATGGATCTCGTTGAATATCTCTGATTTCCCAGTTCGATGTATCCCGTCGTTCGATATCGGATCGTGCTGTACGTACTTGAGACGTCGAAGTCGCTGATTATATTCCGTCTTCGCTGGGATCTCTGTGTGAGGGATCCGGAAATACGCTCGCTCCCTCTTTTGGAGGATGGAGCTATGCCTATTGCTGTAGCTGTACCTATTGCTGTAGCTGTACCTATTGCTGTAGCTGTACCTATTGCTGTAGCTGTACCTATTGCTGTAGCTGTAGCCGTAGCCGTAGCCGTAGCGGGAGCTGGAGCTGAATCTATAGCTGCTCCTCTTATATTCGCTCCGCACGGAGTAAAAATTAAGTATGTCTGTCGGATCGTCCTTTATGTGGGATGTACTCCGTACAGTAATTACCTAACTGCACCTAATTAATTACCTGTACTTACCTACCTACATACTTAGCTACCTACATACTTAGCTACCTACATACTTACCTACTGTAGCGTGTGTAGGTCCCAAGCAGAAGTTTTCAGGTACATGCTTCACTCCAAAGGCGGACCTTGTCGTCTCGGAAAATCATCGACACGACGCGACACATCCACCCAAGTTGATGTTACTTTATCTGTGGAGTAAAGGCAGAGTGCGTGGTCGGTGCGCACAATGCGTACGATGGGCAGGGTCAAATGCTGTGCAGTAAGGATAGTGTTAGCAAGTGTCAGGCAGAATCCAGGCACCGTTCAGATACCAGCGTATGAAGCTTCGTTCTGTGTGTGTACGTATGTACGTATGTACGAAGGTAGCCTGCGTCGGGAGGCACGCTCGTATGTATACAACGTCAATCAATCAATCAATGGTGAGATTTCATTTGTGCAATGGGGATTGAATGTTACGTCGGATATGTGCGCGAAGACAAGACAGTACATACCTAGGTAGGTGCGGAGTAGGTAGGTACGAATGGCAGGTCGGAATAATCTTCAAGTACCTAGGTGAGTTGTGACGGAATTCCGTAATAATTAAATTGCAATTGTAATAGCAGATGCTGTGGACGTCAAAGAGACGCGAAAGTTGATCCAGGGTCAGCATCACGGTATCGGCATCACAGTATCGGCATCACAGTATCGGCATCACATTATCGGCATCACAGTACCAGCACCACAGTACTAGCACCACAGTGTTAGCATCATTATTCCCGCGTGTTGCTTGCGGATACAGCTGGTCCAGGAGTCTCTTTCAGGTCACACTCCCCACGCAAACTCGACCAGGAAAGGCAGATGTTCAGAAAGCCAATGGTATCAGGAAGAGGGGACACCATGATCATTTTTGCAGGTCTCCATCGGAGGTACATTGGCTGGATCAGATGGAGTCACAATGGTCGACTGTCAGGGAAAGACTCGCACGACGCCCCAGGGAAATGTGTCTGAAGTGACAGTGAACGCGCGACAGTCTTGCGTGGACGGATATGGGGAGTTCGGCTTGATGCCCCGTTTGCAAAGAACCATTGGATTCGGCACACGAGCGTCATGAAATTCTGCGCATTCGTCGTGGTACGGACATAGGGAAGGATGAGGTCACCCGCTCTCACCCAGATGGATGCCATGCCGCAGCGCACCTTCTGTCTGGTGCAATCTGGCGTGAACATGTCCTCCCGCCCCTTCTGTCTGCTGTAAGTTGGCGTGATCATGTCCTCCCTCGCACCGTTGACCACGTGTGACTGTGTTAACCTTGCATCTCCAGTCCCCCAGTAACATGAATGGTCTCCCCCGTGCAATAGCTCCCCAGAGGTGACGCTAGGTGCACATATGCTGTAGCCACCTCAACAGGCATGCCGGGTCGTTGCAACGGGGCTTGTGAGACACCCAGGGCGCTCATCGCCTCGGGCGGATTGCCTTTCGTTGCAGGTTGAAGAGGGGTCCAGCTAACGTTCCATGAAATTAGCCAAAACTCAAAGGTACGTAGGTAGTTTGAAGAGCACACAGGATCGGCAAACTTACATGATACCGGGCGCAACAGCATTGACCCTGATCCCTTTAGGCGCCAACTGCTGGGCTAAACCCCTTGTGAAGGTGACGATCGAGCCCTTGGTCGAGGCATAGTCCAACAGCGTCGGATTACTCATGTATGCCGCCACCGAGCTGGAATTCACAATGGAAGACCCCCGTCTCATATGCGGCACAGCGTACTTGGCCATGGCAAACATCGCAAGGATGTTGGTGCGGAAGGTCTTCTCGGTAACGGCCAGGTCGATATTGCTGATGTCTTCGCACATCTCCTGCATGGCGGCATTGTTGACCAGCACGGAGAGCTTCCCAAACTTGGACATATGAGCGTCGATGATCTTCTTGCAGTTCTCTTCCTTGGTGACGTCTAGGGCGAGAGGTTGCGCTTGACGGCCGGCTTTCTCAATCTCGGCTTTCGTCCATTGGGCGTCTTCTTCTTCCTCCGGCAGGTAGACGAACGTAACATCGGCGCCCTCGCGTGCCATCAAGACGGCAACTGCCCTGCCGATGCCACTGTCGCCGCCGGTGATGATGACTGCTTTGTCCTTGAGAAGTCCTCGGCCTTCATAGTCCTTGAGATACGGAGCCTTTCCTTCGTCGTCCCAGAACTCGAGCTGAGTCCAGTTGGCGCTCGGGGTCATCTTTGAATCGAGCCCCTTACCGCCTTCTTGATTCTGGGGCTCCAGCTCTGAAGCCGGGTAGGCCGTTGGAGGGGCTTCCGGCTTGTCCGACATCCTGATGACTCGTCGCTGTATGTCTCTGTTTAATCTACGGAAGAGTATGATGAGAGACTAGGCGGCAATCTCGATACTTATCCTTGTCTGTCCTTTTTCGATGAATGACATCAAGATGATCGGGTCGACAATGCCGTCATGGCACGCATCCTGCGAATCATCTTTACCACGCTTCACTGTCCTCATGCTGCCAAATTGCAGGCGGCTTGGGCCAGGGAACGAGGGCTGCAGCATCACACAAATCTCGAAGACGACGCCCTTCAGTCTTGAACCCAGTATGGGCAGGTGTGAGGAGAGCATGAACAGCAATCCGACGGATGTCTCTGTCTCTGTTCCTGCGGGGCATTCCATACCACGGGAGTCTTTTCCGGAACCAAGCGGAACAGCTCCCTGCAAGCGGGATCGCCTATCACAACTGTTGATGTCGCCAACGACTCGTGAAATCAGCAGGACGATAGCGTCGCACGCGAGGGCCGTAACTTCGTCATGAGTCGTTGCTGTCACTTATAAGTTCAGTTTTCCTCGAGGAGAAAGCCTCGAGAAGTCTGGTGTGTTGCCTGGAACAACCGCGTCTCGACGCGTCTAGTCCGGCACGTCAAGAGACTGACTGGCCGCGTCGATCTCGCTAATTGGCGCCGCGACCTGCCAATGGTGGCTTGCTGTAAGGCTGGGGGTGACAGGCTTGGTATACTCGGAATCGCAGACTCTAGTCTCCACCATGAGCCTGGCTATAGCATCACAGATTATCGGATTCATATCCTTTGCCGTAACGCTGGCGACTTTATTGGGTATGTGAAGGGCGCCGGGGGGACTGCTCTGCCCCACACTCTTACACAAACGCAGGCGTGTATCGAGATCTCATATCGACGATGCGCACGGCAAATACCACTATTCCACTCATGCTAGGAAACCTTCGTCAGGAGCTCGAGGAAGAGAGGGCACTTCTTCGCTACCGCTGTCTCGAGGGCGATCGGTACAACGTCTTCCCTTCCCTGCGCAGACGGACGCGCAAGCAAAAGGAAGTCTCCAAGCTTCTTCAGTCAACAGTCGACAAACTCTGGCAGGAATTCAGGAACCTGGAGCGCCCCTTCCTGATCAGAAATCCAGTTCGCGCAGAGGAGGTCCACAAGGGCGATTACTGGGGCGCTAGCGACCTTGACGAGAAGGCCCGTGGAAGGCCCGATAGGATGAAAGACAGGTTGGATGATGCCGAAGCTGGGCTGTCATCAGATCCCCAACGACGCTACTACCGGACGGATCTTGCGCATCGCTTTATTTGGTGAGCTCCATTATCAACACCAATGCATTGGCCTCAAACTGATGCCCCCTAGGTGGCAATCTCAATCTGCTGTGGTCAATATGTTGGATCAAGTCCAGCGTATCCAAATTCGAAGAATCGAAAGGGACGTGTTCGAGACTGACGAGCTAGTAAAGCGCTGTTTGGACCGGCTCGACGAGCGTGGCGGTCGAGGGAGGACCGGAAGCAGTCGTCCGAGCAGTGGCGGCAGTGGCAGTGGCAGCGGCAGCGGAGGCGTCAGAGGACGGAGTGTAAGGTCAAAGCCAGCAAGTGTGAGGATGTCCATCCGACGAGGAAGTGCAGTGCGTGGTAATTTCCAAGAGGTGGAGGAAAGAGAGGTCATAAGCAGACGTCAACATGCCGAAGCTAGCCATACGAGAAGGCCGCGGGAGCGAAGTCCTCAGCCACGGTATGAGTATGAAATAGTCCAGCCGGGAAGGATATTCGTGGACGTCGACGATGGCGAGCCTCAGCGGCGACCTCGGATTGTCCAGACGCATACTTATAGCCGGGACAGAGATAGACTCCGGTACTCTAGCACCGAAAGGTGAACATACCGTGACAAAGAGGGTCTGGCCGAGCCGTAGACCTTGTGGCAATGTTTGTTTCCTGCCGGGACCCTCGAACGTGTGACAATATTTGCCTAGTCCGCCACTTCACTCCTTCCTCCAAGCTATGAACTCCTCCTGGAGATGCGCCTTGAGAGCGGTAAACTTGTTCGCGAAACTCCGTCCGCAGCGCCAGCACTTGTAATCCTTTTTCAAATTGGCGTTTTGATAACTGGTCTGACGCCGGGGATCCCCCTTGGCCAGCGGGAAGTCTCCAAGCGGGATGAAGAAATCGGTGTTGAAGCTGTTGTAATGTTTCTGGTGCTTGAGCCGCTCCGAATACATGTCTCGGCTGATGATGTGAACGTGGAGATGATTCATAGACGGATGTGCATGAACGCCCACCTTGAACTCTTGGGAGAAGTCCCGTCCCGCCGGGAGCTCGGCTGGAGGATCATCGCTCTCCATTGCTGCTATGCGAGCCTTGCACGATTCTGAGTAAGGACCGATCAGTCTTGACAGCTCTGATGCGGCCAACTGCAGGGCTTCAGCTGCCTCCTTCTGGACCATGGCTAGGAAGACCTCATCATCAAGGGCATCTCGGGGATTGATGTGCCATTTGGTTGAGTCTCGTGGTAGGAGAAGTAGGTGGACTGTAGCTTTGGGGAAGGCATCTCTGATGAGCACAGTATTCTCATTGTGTTGGATGACGATGTCGGAGGAGAAGCTGGTGGGATTGAGGATGTAGGGCAAGAGGCCATTACGTGCGTCTCTTGGATGGTTGTGTTGTTGTGGTTGTATTTGTTTCGCCTGCTTGGGTTTCGGCGACATGAGTTCGGAGAAAGCATTGCGCTTCCTGTCGAACGTAGGGGAGATCTGATCCTTGAAAGCTTCATCGTGCTTTTGACCCTCGTCCAAGTCACGACTCGATGTCATCGCCCCAGAACTCTACGGCTGGGTTGTTGTGGCAAGGGAAACGTTACAGGTGGTCGTTTTGTCAACGGATCGAGGCAGCCACAATCTACGTGACTCGAGGCGCTTCACTCGGTTAAACTTCGATCAAGTGCAACCGGCGACCCATGGTACTTGTCGGGAATCATGCACTGTATGCCGACTATGATATCAATTATCTGGGCGTAGTTTGACGGAGATTGAATTCAAGTGCTGGAAGAGGTGGCCTTGTGCCTGTGGCAGATCCCCTCCCTGTGACCCTTAGTCTGTACCTGGTGGAAAACTTGCATCCCTCGGAATTGAACGCCATTTCTCCATTCCCCTAGCCGTAATAAAGAAGATAGTCTTTCGCTCTGCGGCGCAAGCCTCAAGAAATCTTGCATCTCTCAATGACTTTTGTGGGCCACCCCAAGAATAATGCAAGCCAAAGCCGGTCCAGGTACGTCCAGTTATGCTCCAGAGAGACATGCACTCTCAACTCCATGCGGCGAAAGAGCTCCAGTAATACTGTGCCGGTACGTTATGTGGTGTGTGCGATCCCCAATTCCCTTTCCTTCCCTTTACATAACCACACACCGGCTGCAACAGCCTGCGCTCTCGGCTTGGTTGTCCGTCTCCGGTTTCTGACCCAGGCCGTAGGAGCCCAAGGGGGGCGCACCGCCAGAGTATCCCGACATTTCCCGGTTGTACCTTCGAATCTCCCTGACGAGGTCGTAGAATGCGTTATCGACGTTTATTCGCGACTTCGCAGATGTCTCGATAAACTTGCAGCCGAACTGCTGAGCCACCTGAGCTCCCTCCTCTTTTGACACCACTCTTTCTCCCTCGAGATCACACTTGTTACCGACAAGAATGATGGGGAAGTAATCTTTGTCCTTGACCCGAAGAATCTGTTGCTGGAACGTCATGATCTCTTCGAAGGACTGCCGAGAGGTTATTGAATAGACTAGTAAAAATCCTTCGCCTGTCCTCATATATTGCTCTCTCATGGCCGAGTATTCTTCTTGACCGGCGGTATCAAGGACATCGAGGAGCGCGGTTTCATCGTCGATAATGCATTGCTTGCGGTATGAGTCTAGGCGTGTCAGCTGGGGCCTCTCCTCTGACCCTGGACAGATTCAAACACACCTTCGATGGTGGGGTCGTATTCATCGACGAAGTGGCTTTGGATGAGTTGGATGGTCAAGCATGACTTGCCAACGCCACCTCCTCCTACAACCACGAGCTTGTATTCGCGCAGGAACTGGAGCGGCTGTTGCGTTAGTCGGGCCATTTTCTTCCGCAGCTGCAACAAGGAAAAAATTGTGGACTTGGGGTTGAGGCACCTTTGAAGCCATCACAGAGAGCTACGGCCACGGCTCGGGGTCTCGGATGGTGAATCTCGCCAGAGACAGGTATTCCAAAAGCGTGAAAGTGGCGTCAATCCCAGCACTGGGGTCTTGCACCGTGCAATGCGATATAGGAGCACTTGGCGGAAGGATCCCAGATCGAGAAGGGAAAGGTTCCAGCCGAGAAGTCTCGTCTCACAGGAAAGGCGGCGAGATCGCAGGAGCAATTCAGTGATGTGTTGGGTGAAGGTATGCCGTCCTCCGGACTTCCGAGTGGAACGGATGTTTTGGAGCACTTTGTAACAGCGATTTGGAAGCAAGTGTAGGCGAAGCGAGGATGAAAAGGGACGGAGGTTTCGACGCTCGGCAGGTCTGCGGTGTTCGAGGGGTTCGCGTTCGCTTGGAAGCTTCAAGGCTTGGTTGAACAGAGTCTCCAGGTGCAGGCGCAGGTGCAGGTTCAGGTCTGTTGTGCGCAGTTCCGAGAACTCGCGGAAACGGATATGGTGAGTCGTATCGACGGAGAGAACAGTGGAGAGAAGGTTCAAGGGCAAGTGTTTGGCGGCAGGGAGGTAGCGGAAGTGGCTGTTGAAAGCGTCGTATGAGACTCCAGTTGCAGGGATGCCAGGGGTATGACTAGAGAAGAAGGGGCAGCTGCCACCACTTTATCACACCCAGGACGTGAGTTGGAGATAGGGAGTATCAATTGTCAAGCCAGAGAGTATCGTCAGTGTGCTACTTATCTCTGCGCTGGCTCACTGTCGCGTGGAAGAAGAAATGTGATTACCCAGCGGATGTGCAGCAGAGCAGAGAAGGAAATGCCCGACACGCGCGCCTATTATGTGTATACACGGTACGGAGTACGCTGGATCTGGCTTCTTCACCTCCACGTTCCTCTCCATTTTCCCAGCCTGCTTCTCCCTTGACTGATCTGTCGCGCACGATATCCTCTTCTTGAACATGAAAACCACTCATCGGTCACCTTCCTTCGCCGTCAATGTCCCCTTTCCTTCTCTGCTGCCCCTATCAAGTTCGGCTCCTCCAGCGACCCAGTAGAGTCGTGGTGGGCCCCCGCTGTCTAGCGCTGTGCCAGGTTAGTGCTAGAGAAAATGCCTCCCTTTCATTGCTGGGGCCTATCAGGGCTGCTGCAGTGAACCAAGTGGGCGGTAAAAGCTGCATCCCCTGGCGGCGGGCTAACTCGGTGCTGCAATGTGATTCGATCATCCTCCGACCCATCACGCACCGTTGTCCACCTGTGCCAACCTAACACCGCGCTTCTCTGATGGCTAAGGGCGTCCGTCATCTGTGATCTCGGTGACATCGTGGTTTTCCTGAGGTGAGTTTTTAGGTAGTGCTAGTACGTCCTCCGGCCAGAGCTTTGAGCGATCCTTCCACCTTATGGAAGCTCCCGTGGCGCTGTAGCACCCCCGAAAGCCGCCTCGAACACCCCCAATTTCAACGTCTTGCCCACGGAGCACTGGTACCAAAATGCAACCGACAGAGACATGGCTTGAAGTCAAAAGCAAAATGCACCCTTCCGTCGAACTGGTTTCAAGCCACTGGCTGGATTCAGTCTAGAGAAAGGCCCTTTGAAGGTCTTGTGCACAACAGGAGCACGGGAGGAGTTCTTGTTCTCGCCTCTACAGTGGGTATTTCGACTGGACACGTTAGGGAAGCGGCCGAGCGATATGGGAGGCAGGGATCCAACCATTGGCTCCATGCATCTCTACACGTCGGATGGAAGGGTTCGCTGGGCCACCCCGAAAACACCCCAGCAACCTTCGAGTCGCCCAAGGTAGCATTCTGGAAGATTACCCAAATCTGAAAGTCGACATCACTCGCCGATCCTCACGATCAATCGATTCGAACAACAAGGTGCATCTGGATTTGTACCTGACATGGCAATGCTTTGGCCCACGTGGGTTTCCATTTGTTGCACCCGGAGTCGTTCAGGATTCGGGCTACTCTTGACGTACCGGAATCAAGGTTGATCCCCCACGTTCTCGTTCTCTTCCCCAGCACTCCTTCACTCGGACAAATGACAATGTGCGATTCGTAGCCCGGCTCGAACGTGGCGGACGATCCGTTTCGAGGAATGGGGAGGGAATGACCAACACGAGATACGGGTTCCTATATCGAGGCCATGCCGGTGGCTTATCTGCAGGGACCGCTACAATCACGCGTCTTGATCCTTCTTCACGTCGGTCTCGTCGTCGGTATCATCCTCTCCTTCTACGAGGACCCTCTTGCCCTGCACGCCTGCGGCCACCTCGGCCTCTAATGAGTCCATGTACTCTCTGTCGTTGCCGACCAATGTCACAGCATTCCTGTTCTTTCCCCATCGCGGATAACTCCCAACCTTTACACCCTTTGGTTCCACTTTTGCAGCCAGCTGGGTAAGGTAATCCGCAATTTGGCTCTCTGCTATCGGCGTACTGAAAAGCATGCGATACATGCCCTTTCCTTCTGGGTCTTTCAGCCGTGGCAGTAGCCGGGGTTTGTATCCTTCTAGCATTGCCTCGAATAACCTAGGCACTCCAGGCAGGATGTGGATATTTCCGTTCACCACTGCAAGCGGGACCCAAAGGTCTTCCTTGACATGGATGGCCTGTTGTTCATCAGGGATATTGGGATCGGTTGGGAGTTGTGCCATTCGCATCTTGGCCGTCAACGCGGGTGACGGTACGTCCCAGTCAAAGTTGGGTTGCGACTTATGGGGCCTCGAGAACTTTCTCATTTTGGCCCAGGTCGGCTCGTGCAGGCGCAGCTCGAGCCCGAATGCTTTGGCTATTGACTGGTAGGTTATATCGTCGTGCCTGTATGCCACAAGCTCGTCAGCTGCGCGCACTGGGGTACATATATGGTGGAACTGCAAACGTACGTGGGACCAATACCACCACTCGTTACCACGAAATCATAGTTCTTGGACATGCGTCTCGCGGCTTCTATTATTTCATCTTCGTCGTCCGCAATCACCTCTATCCTCCTCAACTGCACCCCCAAGGAGAAGCAGAACTTTGCGAAATAGGCCGAGTTTGTGTCCACGGTCTACAATGGCCAGCAATTGTCAGCCATGTTTTCCAATGCTTATGCAACGCCCATAGCCTGCGCAATCTCTTTTCGAGATACGGAGTTATCTAACCTTACCGCCCAACACCTCGTCGCCTATTATCAGGCATCCCGCCGTTTGTATAAGTCCTTTTTCTGGCCCAGATACTGTTTCAACGTTGGATGATGATGTCATTCTGGAGGAAGGAGAGGAGAATGCAGCGGCAGAGCGGTGCGCGTAGTTGGGCAGTGGTCGCGAGAGGTGTCTTGCTAGCTGGGATAGGCGAGAGAACATTGATCAAAGGAGTAGAGGGCGCAGACGGGTGAAGCCAGTCGGGGCGATGAGGCTCTATTCGACGGTTGATTGCAAAGAGCAGTGATCAAAGGTGCAGGAAGCAGGTCAATCGGGCGCCAGCATTTTGGAGATGGAAGCGAGAGTTGACTGTATTGCCCCACCACGTCGCATCTGTGCCTGACAAGCATCGACCAACGACCAGAACCAAGACTCGTCGCTGACGCTGCATGGATAGAGCTGAAGATATTTGAACCTATTGACTTCCCCCCAAGCAGGCCGTCGACTCGAGATTATTGCCAACTCTGCTGCGACTCTCACTTCACTTTCACCTCTGAACTCACCCATATCCGGAATACCCCGCGGTCTCACGGCACGAGCGGACGAGGCTGTAGAATCGACAACGTTGCCCAGAGGATCATCTTCCGGCTTGTCCAGCTTCCTACAAATAACCACGCGCGCTCAGGGCTAAGACAGTCGCAACTACAGTTTCGTCAGAGGCATCGAGCCACATCGCAACCTCATCTTCGATCGCCGCTACCCGAACCAGGACGCAGAATGGTATTTATCCATGTCCTCCTTTCCGCTCCCTAGCGTCAAGAGACCATCAAAATGTGTCTTCCTCGAAACGGGCCTCGTATCGCTTGCCAACTGACACTCCCAGACAGAGTCGAGGCTGTACAGCTTCTCGCAAGAGACCAAGGACCAGTTGCGCAAGTTTCGGCTAGGAACGTCCAGGGCAAAGACCCCATTGGCAAAGATATGTAAGCAGGCAGAGTATTTTCTTGGTTCCCAGTTTGTTCGGCCAGTAAGGACAAATCCGCTGCATGAGTTCAAGCGCGGTCATGGAAGACACCGCACCAGTACAGGAGTTGAAGTAGTGGTCAAGCCTGAACGGACGATGGGACGCAAGAAGCCTGGAACAGATTGAATCCCCTCGCTACCCTGCTCGCCGTGACCTACTTTGCTCCAGCGAGCTATAGTCTACCCAATTGCTCCCGCACGCAGTGCAATGCAATGCAATATCAACTACTAACCGTACCGGCACCATGTATCCACACAGACCAAATCGACGCCAAAACGCAAGAAATCAAGCCCTCCTCTTCGTCGGACGAAACGTACGACAACCTCCTCGACTTGGCAGATGATCTCCCGGACTCATCCCCGCGCTTCATCCTCCTAAGCTACCCGTTGACATTGGTGAGTTCCCGTTCGATGCCCTGTCTGCCTGCTCCAGCACTTGGCCCCCCGGGCACCTCATTCTTCGTTTCTCCCCTGTCCGTCTGGCCGATTTTGCTAACAGATGGCGTCGAGGCCTCGGGCCGCCAATCTGTCCCTTACGTTCTCTTGTACTACCTCCCCGTCAACTGTAACCCGAATATGCGGATGAGTTACGCCGGCGCGGTCGAGCTGTTCCGGTCGACCGCCGAGGTCAATCGCGTGCTGGAGATCACCGAGGCCGAGGACCTGCAGGGCATTGAGGAGAAATTGAAAGGCGAGGATTGAACCTGTTCGGTAGGGGTGGCATCATAGCTTGTGAGTGAGCCGTGAAATGTGAGGCTGCTGTGGCGATCAGGAGGTGGAATTCAAGCCGAGAAAAGGACGGAGCATCCAGTGTTGCCGAGATATTCGTTGGATGGTTCGGCTTTCTTTCATCCCTCATGCTTCTGATTTACTTGGATAAGGTCGGACGAAAGGGAAACTGAGATAGTTTCAACCTTCAGACTTCAGTGAGGGAGACGGTATGAACAGTGACTGGTTTGGTTTCACGACTCGCTATGTCTGCTTGCTTGCTTGCCTGCCTGATAAATGGAGAGCTGATTCCAAGACTCCGACTGCCCTAAGCCATCATGCACAATGCTCGCGGAATGTCCAAACCGAAATATCCAACCAAGTTACAGTTACAGGATGGCGCCTTGATTTTCGAAAAGATAGCGTAGCGAAATCCAGCTCATGCGGCTCACCCATTCAACATCGACTCGCTTGAAGAAATGCAAAACTCATGTTCATGCAAAAAGGTCACTCCAAATCGTCGGCCTGCTCACAACTGACTTCTTACCCTGTCAGCGCCACCCCCGAGCCCGGTCTTCACAGTGAAGCTCCGGAAGTACCCTTCCAAAGCCTCCACCGTGCCGCGTCCTTCGACAAGTCTTACGGCAATGCCAACGTGACCGTCCGGCCTCACAACCACGACGGCGCCTTCGTCGCCTTCGAGACCGACCTTCGCGTGCGCCGCAGCCTTGGAATCCAACACGCGCACATCCTTGCGATCGTCCGCGTAGACCTTGGCCGCATAGTCCCGGAATAAGGCGGGCAGGTCGGAGATCTCGATCTCGGGCCTCTTGGCCGCGAGAACGAGGGCGAGGCTGAAGAATCGAGAATGCGGGTTGTCGCTGTCGTGGTGGATGTCGCGTGACGAATCGCCGTAGCCGAATCGCGTGTAGAATGAATCCGGGGCCGACAGATGGCGGGCAAAGTCCGCAACGGCTTGATGGCCACCAGGTCTGGGGCTCTGGCCCAACCCTGCGAAGACGAACATCCTGAACGAGCCGTTGAAGGGGATTTCGTTCTCGAGATGGACGACGTTGGCGTCGACCACCCTCGTCACGTTGCTGGGCGGCATGATTCTTCCGGGCCGGAGTTTCGAGCTTCCGCTGATGATGAGCGGGTGTTGGAACTGATGGTCGCCGGAATGGTTGAAGATGTTGCCGTTGTACGCGACGCCGAACCCGGACGTGAATTCACAGTTTGCCTTGAACATCTCGACGAACTCGTTCTTCGTCTCTTTCTGCCCGCTCTGGTGCGCATCCGAGACTTCACTGGCACTGGGCTGTCGTTTCGAGAATAGCGCGGCGTACTGGTTGTCGAAGTTCAAGAGTGTCTCGGCGATGAATTTCCGTTCCACTTCGTACGTGGACAGGACGTCGCGGCTGGCGAAGCCAGACTCCACCAGGTGCATTTTCCACGCGAAGTTGATGGCGTCGTGGAAGGCCGTGTTCATTCCCTGCCCGGCTTTGGGCGAGTGCGTGTGGCAGACGTCGCCGCCCATGAAGACGCGGTGGTCGAGCGTGTACTTGTCGGCAATGCCCTGCCCGATCGGGTACACAGAGTACCATTCCACACGGTCCCAGTCGCAGTAGTACGGCGCGAAGATCTTCTTCGCCGCGGCTTGCACTTCTGCCACGGTGGCGGTCTTTCGAGGCGAGAAGTCCGGGTCTGTGGAGCTGGCTATCTGGATGTACAGGCGCACCATGTTGTTCTCGCGCGGGATGACCATGATGCTGCCGTGGTCCGAGTGGATCGTGCATTTCATCTTGATGTCTGGGAAGTTCGTGCGGACGACGCCGTCCATGACGCCCCACACGTGGGAGATGGGGTCCTTATGCCGGATCTGCACGCCGAGCTGTTCGCGCACAAAGGATCGGGCCCCTTCGCCGGAGAACAGGTACTTCGCACGCACAGTGTCGGTGACGTTGCTATCTAGGTTTTTCAGGTCAACTTCGACGGGATACTCCGGGTTCTTGTGGTTCGTCTCGAAGCGTGTGATGGTCCAGGGTCGCTGGACCTTTGTGCCGTTCTTCTCGAGGTCTTCAATCAGGACGCGCTCGATGAGGCCCTGGTGGAGCAAAGCTGTGAAGGGATACCGTGCGTCCAAGAATTCTGGACAACTGGCCCATGTGCCTGTGCGGACGATCTTGCCGCCGGGGGCCGGATCCCAGAATGCGACCTCAAAGACTCTGGCGGGGTCGTGAGCCATGATTTTCCGCTTCAAGCCCATGTTTTTCAGGATTTCGAGGGAGCGCGGTTGAATACCGTCCGCCCGGCCTGTTGCTGTAGGCACCGGTCGGTTGTCGATGTGTCGGACTTTGTAACCCCATCTTGACAGTGATACTGAGAGTAGTAGACCAACTGGACCTGCTCCTATGATCACAATATCGTACAAGGGTATCTCTGAAGGCATGTCGATGTGCTTGTGGAACCACGTGGGGGTTGAAACTGGGAAGATGATGAAATGATCGCTGACAGATGTATAAGTTGTCCACAGCAAAGAGAACAGACAGATCCACGGGTCTTGGGCTCAAACACGGTTGATGATGTTGAGAAAGGAAGTGCGAATGCTCTCAAACTTATGAAGCGATTTTGAAGTCACGATCAGTCGATCGGCTATGAAGCATGGTAAATATCTGGAGGGCGGGCACATCGGACGAAAGAATGAGATCAAGCGAATAGGATGTCCGTTTCCGAGCTCGTCAACCGAGACTGTTGCCGCTGAAGCAAGCAGCGACTGCTGCGGCCGTAGAACGGCGAGAGGGTGGGCGTAATTCCGAGCGTATGCAGAGCCCCGTGGAGCAGGTACCGACTACTGGGTCAGAGAGGCCTTGAGTCTCTCGTAGCAGGAGCCCGGAGAGCGTCGGTGGCGCCATGAGGGCCATTCTTTAGACACAACAAAGCGTCATGGTAGGTGAGAGTCTTGTTTGCGGGGATGTGTGGCAGCTCGGTTGTGAAACACGGGAAGTGGGAGTGTCACGTGAGGCCGAACGTCTAGGGGTCACGGGACGTCTAGAAAGCGTTTAGCTCCTTGGCCAGAATGCACGCCTTTTCCAACTTCAACCAACGTCAGTTTCTCTTTTCTCCCCCAGCAACAGATTGGCTCCGACACATGTCGACACTGTTGTCCTGCAGTATGTGAGCTATTGCGCCTAGACACATGGGCAGTTTTTGTCGTCAATGGGATATGCAACGCATTGTGTGTGCTTGAAAGATCTTGTCGGACGCTTCATCGTGGTACAGAGTTATATGATCGGGAGAGGAGACTCCAGACACAGCTATGATGTCTTCTCAAAATGAAGCTCTGGGTCTTTTGAACTGGAGCCCTCACAAGCTGCTCCTACTCCTGGCACTTGTCCTGAGCCTGCATGTTCGGTGAGATGGGACAATGATCAAGCTGCTCCACCTATTGCTGTGATTGCAACATCGCAGCGACCCAGGAAAAAGGCCACTTTGCTGCAAGCGCGTGTCTTGCCATCCGGTATCCTGTTACCTTGGTGTTGTTTCCTTTTCAACGACTGGGAGGTGCAATCAGTGGACGATCTTTGTTCGGCTATCTTGATGATCCGTTGAGGTCCAAAATAAGTGAGTACACTCTTCAATGTTCGGTGGCACTACTGCAATGGCCCATAAACAGAGGGAGTAGACCAAATCCAGCCGGCACATCTGCCCTGGAAGTGGTATCGCCCACGTTGTCACCGTCGTTGCATAATTGTTTCTCCGGCTTGGCACGCACCGACAGCGATATCACCCAGGTCAATTTAACGCCATGGACATTGTTCGACGTCCCGACCACTTCCCAAGTTCTTCTCTGCATGCTGGATAGGGAGTTGGGTGTCATTTTCTTGTCTCATTCAGTCCATGTACAATTTCTCTTGTTCAGGTCCTGTTGAACGCGCTTCTCTTGCTTTACGCCATCCTGGGTTGTGATTGCGCTGGTCGCACTCACAGCTCGTCCCATTTCATTTCTCACGCCTTTTCTTGTTGCACCAACATGGATATCACGCGCCGTCGCAATTTTACGGCAGCGATCCCATCCCCCCTACTAAGAAACTCGAACAACTTCGAAGACTTCGGGTGCTTTGATGAAGAAGAGTGTCGCTTCTTCTTGCGTGAAGTGGGCGAGCGTGTCGTGCCAGTCTACCCTTTCTCTTTCGGTATGGAAGAGGTGTACAGCTGGATACTCGAGCGGTATGGGTATTCCGGACTGCCAGATGCCACGAGCGTACTTCAGGATCTGCTTGAAAGTGATGGGACCGCAGGCGGCCTGGGAGACGACGGAGATGTTTGGCGCTCGTGGCGACACAGTTGGAGACATCGAAACGTGAGTGCGCTCCATTCAACCACTACACTGTCGTTAACTCGGGCCCAAGGACGATGCCCTCAATCCTTTCATTCCGAAGGTGGGAACCTTTATCTTGCAGCCTCCGACTCTGCCACACGTTCGCAAGATCAAGGCTCTTAACTTCATTCGTATGAGCGAAGAGTCTGAGAGAGAAGAGCCAGCTCGAGATGCCGTTATTGCTGGGAAGAGGAAGGCGTTTTGTGAAGTGACTCCAGAACGTGGCCGAGTCATGCCAGCACCAACCACCACCACTGTCAAGCAGCAACAGTCGGAAGAAGGGGACCTATACCGACTCCCATCCACAACATACTCCCATCAAAGAACCAGGACCTTGCTGTCGTCAAGTCGTGGTTCGCCAACCTCGAGGCAAGAACAGTATCAGAGACCTGGCACGGCTAGGGAGTCGAACAAGGTGCATCAGTCTTTCGGAGGTTCTTCCCAGCCAAAGCTTCCCGAGGTCGATCCGTTGCTATTCGATGCAGATATTGATCCATCGCTCCTGATCACATTTGGAATGCTGTCACCGAGCAGACCTTCCGGAGAGACCGGTTTAAGCCCTAGCTTAAGAGGCGGCCACGGCGAGGCAATCACTTTCCAGCCGATCAATTCCCAAGGCAGTCCGTCCAGCAAAATTCCTGGGACGGTTCTCAGCAACTCGCCTCTACCCCGTATTCAGTCCAGCCCATTCCGTGTCTTTACTCCTGAAACTCCTCGAAGTCACGTCAGGACTGATGCCAGCATCCGCTCCAGCCGAGTCGTTTCGGAGCCTCTTCAGGTCTCAGTGAAAGAGGACAAGCAGGGTTCTGTGGAGCACGATAAGTCAGTCGAGCGACTACGCAAGCTTTCAGACAGTCTCAGACCCTTTGTCCGGCGTCCAGCGGGGGACAACTCGGAGCGCAGCAAGAGAATTCGTGCAAACCACCGTCAAGTTCGAATACTGGATGGTGTCATCCTTAATCCCAAAGTCCGCAAAAGATTGTCGTCGCCTCCAATAACTGCCGTGGAAGATGAGGTGCCGGTCGAGGACAAGAAAAAATCAGGTGTTCGACGCAGCCTTACGCCGGTGTGGCAGAAACGCGATTCTTCACGTCACAGCTGGATGGAGATCATGCGCAATTTTTTTCGCACTGAAGCCACTGCCAGCCAGGCTGCAAAACAATCGAAGCGTGAGTCTTCAAATCTTTCTCAGCCTGCAATCAGACCTTCAACAACACCCCCAAGCCATCACACAAACGACAACAGTCAGACTACTCAGCGAGAGCAACCTTCTTATCTTCTTGGACTTGACGGCACCGTTGATCCTCGACCTTTTTTCTTTAGAACAATCGCGTTCAGGATGTCGAGAATGTCGAGAATGGACTGCAATAAGCCACTCCCATTGAGCCCGCCTGGAATCGCCCGCTCGTTGTCAGCTCACCCCGGATTCCCCAACGCCTTCCAGCCTCGTCCTAGCGATTCTGCTATTCTCACTAGAGCCAACACACGCGCAGACCTCAAGCGCAACCTTCAGGCACTGACAGCGCACGCCCTTAAGCGGAAAGAAATCCCCGACAAGCACCAATTCTGCCCTGTCTACGACGAGTTGGAAGGTTCCTTTGGTGATCAGACAGCAGACCCAGCCAAGGCCTTACAACAGCCACTCTCGTAAGTTCACCTCCTCTAACTTGAACATGAGGTGTTAACAACTCCCCAGAGCGCTCACCTACTCCAGTGTCACGAACGCCAACCCTTTCGTGCACCAGCAGAATGTACCACCTTCGCCTCGGCAATCACAACCTCCATTCTCGTAAGTAGCTCCGGGACTACTGAGAAATTCGGTGTTGACTAGCTGCACAGTGGCATTACGTACTCGAGTATCCAGAACGCAAACCCGTTCTTCGGCGCGCCAGACACCCCAAGTTCGGGCTTCTGCCCTATTCCAACCTCGCGACAAGGCAACCTGGATTTCTCCCTCCCACCGCCAGCATCCAAATCGCATTTCTCGACCATCAGTCCCCAGGCATCGACCCTCAACCCAGCGGCCAGTGTGTTCACGCCGTTCAAGAACCTCATGCGCAAGGGCAGCAGCTCCAAGGGCGTCAATGACAACGCGACCACAGGAGGATCGCCATCTAAGCAACACACGCGCAAGATCAGCCTTGGAAAGCTGGGCAATTTGTTGAAGAACCCCTTCATGGTGGGCCTCTCTCCTCGCAAGTAATTCACTTGATTGTAATTAACTTCAAAGTAGTCTCAAGTGCCAACAGAGGAAAAGATCGACCAATGGATGGCAGGAACTAATGTTCCGTCCACTCGTCCTGCTGCTGCTTCGCCCGCTCGTCCTCCTGTCGTGTCACTTGATCCGGCTTTTCAAGCCTACGTGTTGGGCCAGGTGGAGGGCATCCTGGTCAAATCGACCAGTGGATTCCTCTTGCACTCTGGCAAAATGAGACGACTAGACCGGGGTCTCGTCGAGCAGGTCGCTTCCGCCTGGAAGGAGGCCGGGCGTGCCCCGGTCATCGACTTCTTGTACGACTGCCAGACACAACGGCAGCTGGTACTCCGCCACGCGGCGACGGTCAAGTTCAACAACCTGGACAACGACCGCTTCGCCCGTGCGCTGGAGCTGTGGTCGGCTCTCGTTGCGGCGCTCTCCCCCCGTGTCCTTTGTTTGACCGACAAGGTCATCTTGGGACATGTCTACGCCTTACCCGAGGTGCTCAAGATGCTTCGTGCTCCTGAAGCCACCCGGTTGGCTGCGCGGGACCTGGGGCGGAGAGTCGCTGCCGAGGTCGACAGCAGGAAGGCTGCCGTGGCCAACATGGCCGGGATCTGAGATCCTCGGCGTGTTGTGCCGTGGTTGTGGCGTCGTGGTGGTATTGGTCAGTGTGGTGTCTTGTGCGGTGTCTGTCGTTGTGTCGCGCTGGCGTGGCGCCATCAAAGAGATGGCATAAGAGTGTGTTTTGACGGAGTGTTTTCCTTTTTTCCCCCCTCTTTCTTTTGTTTTGGAAATAGAGATGGCGAGGGGCCGACCCCGAAATCAAATGGCTGAAAGTGTGAGCGGAACGACGGCCTGTTTCCATTGTCTTATGCAGTGATGTGTGATCTCGCTGTCGTCGACCCGTTCCCATCTCGTCACCACGGCGCCGTCACTAACATCGGTACACAGCATATACGGGAAGTCCAGCCTCCTATTCAGCGCTATGTCCAAGTGACTATCGCTGTCGCTGTGGGCAGCCCATCATATCGCGTCATTCACCAGCCCACAGCGTGCCCTTCTTCTACCCATCTCATACCTGTGTTGAAACCGCCGTCGCCATGGCCGTCACTGTCGGAGCCGCCATCGCCTGCCCTTCCTCCAGTACCAACTCATTCAGCCACCAGGCCAAGCTCAAGGTGGACGCTGCTGGCATACCAAGTCCCAAGATGCCAGTATGTCAGTATGTCAGTATATCAGTGTGTCTTTACCCAATGCCACCTCCCCATGCGACCACGCAGCGTAACAGCCACGTTCAGCTCCTGACGTAAACCCCCTTCTCAACCTCATCGTCCAGCATATCATCCACTGACTACTTGTAGTACGGCAGATGTAGTCGGGATCATACTTACCGAGCAGATACAATGCACAACTAACGGGCGTGCTACGCCATGCATCACATACTGATTCAGTCCATTCTATTTCCGCGTCTCTCTGATGTTAAGCGCTACCCCAGGACTCCCCAGGAAAAGGCCACTATCCAAGTCACTCCTCCATAAATCTGTGCAGAAAAAATGGAGAGTACCGAAGTGGAGATGGTGCAGCTACGTGTATACTCGTACATACAGATTATATTTGTGTACGTACATATGTCTACCTAGTATGTCATGTCATGGTAACTTATAAGCCTATTCTCTACCGTCCGTCCGTCGTCCAAATCACTACGCATCACACATAGAATGGCGTTCGTACCAGAACCGAGTATTCGCCAAAGGGCAATGGCAAAGGGCAGAGGGAAGCAGCAAGTGAGACTCAGAACATTGATTGCCACGTTAGTGTTCGGATAACCGACTAATTCCTCTATTGACGATTCGGTACGCGTTTATTCTGCCTGATTCACTCCACACTGTACAGTCAGTCCAGTACCGAGTATGTCGATGGGATTCGAGCATGCTGTTGTCTGTTGCTATCCCTGTCACTGATTCTAATGGTATTCCTATTGCCATCTATCCGGCCAACCGCGCCAGCACGTCTGCATGGCACGGAGCGGATGATGCTGACATTGGCAGGACGAAGTTACGTCACCACCGCTGCTGTTGAGAAACAAACACCAAGACAATCGAGGGATATTTGCCAATTCTGGATGAATGTCAAGCTCCCGCTGGTATCTCCGGCGAGATATCACCACATTGAGCTCTGCTTCACATTCACAAAACACTCACGCTATGCTTCATTTTGCGTTCCGACTTTTCGTCTATCGTCCCGTTCATGAGAACCCATTCAATCTTGTGTCTTCCAATGCCGCCTCATCCTCAAATTCCACAAATCCGGACAAGGTAATCAGCCCGGTATAACACCTCACGCTCTCAGCAATAAGAGGTCGGATTTTCTCGTCGACTTTGCCATTGACACCTGCAAACTTCTTGAAGACACCCACCATGTTGGGTCTGTAGTCAATCAGGAATGTCCGAGCGCGGTATTGAATTTGTTCGTTTTGGGCACCCCGAGAGAGAAAGGTCGATAGAAGGAGTCTCAGGGTGGAAGAGAGTAGTACGTAGTATGTGTATAACGCGGAAGTGGCAGAGTCAGGAACATACGGCGAGTTGTTGTTGTCGGCGGAGGACGGGAGGGGAATGCCTAGATCCGGGTCTGCTCGGAATAGCTGAGAGTCCCGAGCAGCTTGTACGATTCCGGCGTCAAGGAGCGCTCCTGCGCCGTCACGAGTCCGTGAGATCTGGAGGAGGAGGAGCATGCGCGCTTCGAAAGTTGAGAGGAGGGAACTCCGGTCTGAATAGATTCATTAGCACTAATCAGGGCATGCCAGAGTCAGAAATATGGATTCGGCACTTACAACCCGCCTCTGAATCTTGAAACTCCAGCGCGACATGCTTTAGAGGATCAATCATGATCTCCAGCATGTTGGCCTTGACAAGCGAATCGAGGATCAAGTTGGATTGCTCCATCCTGGCCAGAGATGTGAGCAAAGCGAGAAGGCCAAGAGCGTTGAGGCGGCACTCGTCGACTCCGTCCTCGGCATCATCGCACATGACTTGCACGAGACGCTGGCTCGCCGATCGAATGCAGTCCATGCTGTTGTGCCGGGCTTTGACGACCACTTCAGACGCGACAGTCGACGAGGTGAGACGGGCGAGGTATTGCGAACAAATGCTGTAGAAAATTGTCCTCAGGGCTGTACGCGAGTTGGAGGCCGCGATGCCTTCGATGGAGGCACGAAAGAGTTGGAATAATTTCTCTGTGACGAGATTATCCAGATGGGTGTTTGTCAAGGCCGTGTGAGAGAGCGCAAAAAGCAGGGCATCAGCTGCCCGAGCTAGTTCAACCATATCGGCTCTCTCGTCCACGATGAAAACATCGAGTTTGGGGAGCATGACCTGGATCATGTGCAGGATGAACTGCACCTTCATCGTGGCCTCCATTGGGCAGCATTCCACGACAGCGATGACCATCTCCGCGTATTCGTGCAAGGCGTCGCTCCTCGCCTTGAGCACGACTTCGGACCGGTTTCGAGCTTCGATGGTGGCAATCAAATAATCAGCTTCATCTATCAGCTCCTGCTCGTCAATTTTGTGGCTGCTTGTTGTCGATGCCTGCTTCTGCATGATTGAGGCTCGATAGGCATTGAGGTACTCGCGGATCATCTTGACATCGTAGACACTGGGCTGACTTTCCGTGGCCTCGGTCAGGTAGACCTTGAAATCTATGCCCGCATAGTATTGAGGTTCAACCTCAAAACTTGCTGAGAGATCGAGGTCGAGAAAATCAAGGAGCGCGAATATGTCCGGGTTGATGATGACCGTGCCATCCACGTCGCTGGTCTTGCCCTGAAGAGTCGACAGAATCTGTCGCAGATTCGTCGAGAGACCCTCCTTTGAGGCTGCTCTTATCTCGGTGACAACGTAACTGTACAGAGAGCCTCGAAAAGCGAGGAATTCAGCCAGGGCTTCGGCTGAGGTGGTGTACCAGAAGTCCTGTTGCAACAGACTATTGGCGTCCCATAGTGTCTGCTGCGTGACAATAGGCTGGCTCAAACACAACGACTGTAAGAATTGCAGTCTTCGCAATTGACCAACGACGACACTGCTCGACAGTGAAGACGACCACAGATGTCTCAAGACTCGGAAAGCAGCCGCTTTCATGTGTATCAACCATGAAGCCATTACACCGTTCTCGTCATCTGGATAGTTTTGTACGAGATTGGCAATTGAGTTGAAGACTGACACGCCCGCATCTACCGAATCTGAGATGGCCAGCCGCTCGCCCAATCTGTTGAAGCCTATCAGGAGGTGAGCAATGTTTGGCAGGTCAGGCTGGGTTTCAAGGCAAGCATTGAAGAAAGCAAGGATCCCATCTTTCAGAAGGTAGCTGACTGACTCAAATCCTTGCTCGAGCTCGCGGACATCAAACTGTAAACGGGAATACAGGTTCCTGGCAACAGGTTGAAGCTCGAAGCCCGGATCAGGACCCAGCATATCGACAACTCTTCTTGTTCGGCCACGGACATCCTCCGTCGTCAGAAAGTGGTTGTTGAGCTTCGGTGAACTCGAAAGCTTTTGGAGTAATGCAAGTGCCCGAATGGACAGCTCGGAATGCCCAGTGGCGGCGAATTGGCAAAGGTTAAGCACGATCTCGGGGTGTGCAGCGAGAGCCTCTTCCAGAGCATCAATATTGGAGCGAGTTGGCGGCCCATCCTGGGGCATTTGGGATTGAACCAAAGGCCTCACTATGTCAAAATAGGTGGGCTGAAGATCGAGCACTCGGTTGATGATGTCAATTGACCGTTGCAAACTGAGCAGTAAGGGCGAATCTGGGAGCGCAGCATCGGCGGATTCGCCGGACACCCGCAAGCATTCCAGCAACAGCTTATGCACGTCGCTGCTGAGGAGCCACTGCATGAGCCTGGCAAATGGACTGCGCTGAGCGTACGAGAATGCGCCCGGCACCTCCTGCAAGGCATCATGGCTGGAAGTGGCGCGGTCGAGCATTGCCACATAATCTTCATTGACCCCCTCAAGTCCGATGGCCATAAATTCGAGACAATGGAACGACCCGATCAATCGCTGCAGCTCATCCGCAACTTCGGGGATGCGCTTTGCAAAGACTTGGCCACAAACAAAATCGATGTAGGGGCCAATCCCTGGGCGTCTATAGTCCGAACCCAGATCTTTGGGGAATGGAAGCAGATCAGGACCCAGGCCAGTAGACGGAAGAGTGACGATCAAGTCGCGAAGGAACACGACGCACGCGTCGTACTGATCAAAAGAGGATGCAATGGAATTGAGGGTGTTCTGCAAGTTGAGTAAAGTCGGCTTGGGTGGCGATGCTGTGGTGGCAGCCGCTGGGCGTGTTCTGTCGTGGCTGTGTGCTGCCCAACTGTCGAGAATCTGCCACATTATCGCAGCGGTGTGCGCATTCTTGTCTGTCAGCAGCGCATCCAAGGTCGAGAACACACTTGCCCTCAGATAACTGGGGACCGGTCCTGAGCTGAGAAGTAACAGAGCCTGAGGGAATGCCGGAGTGACCGTCTCGAGAATATGTTGGCGGGTGCCGCTCGGTTGGCGACTGAGGTGCGCCAGTAAGCGGAGATAACACGACAGCATGACTGGGCTTTCTAGCTCGTT